GAATGAATTTCTTTATAGATTCTTCCTTATAAAGTACTAAATCACACCATCTTTATGTATGAACGACATAGTAACAAAACACAAAAAGGTTGAACAATAAAAATGACGAAATTTTGTTTCAATAATTCGGTATCTGATCCAACTAAATCATTACTTATAGTTACGATACTATCGAACTAGAGGTCAGATATTCATGTGAATGTCTCAACTAAAACATAAAACACTGACCTAATGACCACATGACGAAAGACTTATTAATACGATGATAGATTACTGGAAGTAAATACTATAGGGCAGAGATCGCAAACCTTTGGCACATAGCACAATATTTTCGTTACGTCACTAATCACATAATGGTCGATAATGCACTTGTCATATCATTTGTGTTGCGGTTGTAGTTAGGCACATTATAACCGACCATTTGTGGCCCTTAGGTTTTGTTTCTTTTGATTATAAAAAGGAGATATTATCTTGTATAAAAACCAAAATTATTTGATAACACATCTAGAACATCAAAAATGTTTCCTCTAAAAATGGCACATAAAGGTTCAACATCCCTGCCCCGCTGTATACACTACATAATATCAGTAAGAAATGCGGGTAACGATTGTTTAACACTGATTGCAAGTATAAGATAAATAGCCTTCAGACTTTTGGCTGTTGTGTATAGAATGTAGACTAACGACCCTATACAAAGCTTTGTGGCTTTTGATACTACTTTCTTTGAGCTAAAATTAATTATGTATCCCTTTATTTTCTATATTTCTATCGTATCATTGCTTGTTGCCTCGTTGAACACGTGATGTTATGGTTTTTGATAACAAAATTGTGAGTAACATACGCAGAATTTTCGTAAACCTGTAGTCTTTTTCGGAGCTGGTAAAGCTTTTGTAAAATGAATTCTGTTTGTTCCCATAACCTATGATACAATATCTGAAGTTAGATTAAAACTATCGTTTTTTTCTTCTTATAATATTTTCTGATTCACTTCGTTGCGGGAACCAAGACAGTTATTCATGTCCCTGGGACGCGCCGGACTGCAGTGTTCCGGTGTTTTTTATAGTTGTATCTATGGTAGATCCTGGCTCACAGGAGTTATAGCGGTTTTGGAAGGTTGTGCCGGGTTGTCCAATGGAAAAAAATGAAGTTAGATTTGCCCCCATTTTACATGCAAACACAGGAGTTCTTGAAAATGTTAAGAATGGACACTCTCGAATTGACCTCAGCCATCGTCCACAACTTAACTTAAATCTTTCGTATAGCTTGAAATCCCGTTGCACTGGCTACTTATTATAATAAAGCCATCTTCGGTAGACTGCCACAGCAAGCTATCTAATAAATACTCAATATGGCTTGGTTTAAGTTCCTTAATAAACACATATAAGGAAATTCAACTTTTATATCATAAGTAGCATCATTTGAAATTTCTGAAATGCTTTCGTGTCTAAAATCTTACATTCCTCATAGAATAGTCTATGAATGTCTAGAATAGTCTCCAAGTTTATAGGCCTAATGATAGTAACTGCATGAGAAGTGTGCCTAGTAATATTGGCTTAGTAATTGAATCTGCTTGCGGCTAACTCATTTATCACGTGCCTATAGCATCGTGAATAACATTAATTGCATTATGGCACGCGGTTTTTTTTTAATGTGATGACTGACACACCTATTTTGATGGAAGTAAAGTAATAAGTAAGTATGGGCCATTTGTGGTCAATTTTATTCCAACGTCCTTTACTACTTTGAGTGAAGTAAAAGTAACTATCATTTGCCTGTTTACCGCTTCATGAAAGTACTATCGAGATACTTCTAAAAATTTGTGGTTTTAAGTCTATTTTAATCAGAATAGGTTAAATGTTACAAATACATAGCTGGTCTACTGCAAGTTAAAACTAAAATTCGAAAAAATATATGACGTAAACCCATTCGTCGCAAAGTCCATGTACGGACAGAACACCCGTTCGACCGGTCAATGGAATTCATAACGCGAACAAAAGATTGCATCAGGGAGAATTTCTAGCTAATATTAGGCGGTGCGTATTGTTCCACGGTGTTTTTAAGAAACCGATGTTGCGAAGTGACCCGAGTCCCGGCGGTCACTCGTTCATTGACCTCGAGCCCGCCAACGTCCACATTGACAATATTATCGACAATATTTTACAAGTACCTACCATTGACATCTTGGACTGCACTCGCTAAGCTTATTTCCAATTAAATCTGCATACACACTTACCACGCTCCATGAAGACATAATAATATAAATGCAAAATAAATCCGACCACGTTCTGCGGACTAGAACAGGAAACCAAGAGATTTCTAGCTGCAGTTATGTAGGCGCTCAACGTAATGCACTTCGTCTAATGCTTGTAATTACGTATTCTTGTTTGTTTATAGGTATTGTCTTTAACTCACATTTAAAGTTTTAATTAGGGTATAAACAAAAACTCGGTAACGGTGCCCACTACGTAGCTTATAGACGATAAATTCGTTTAATAAGTAACGTCGGTATACATATTAAACTACATAATCATTATGAAAATATTTTACGCAAGAACTTACAATTTTCCTACGTAAAATAAGTAGTAACTTACGAACCATAATGGATAATACATGCATCCACTTTTTTTCTTAAAGAAAACTCGTTACACATTGATCAAAAATATTACCTATCTAGCTACATAATTTCAATGTTATTGGATATAAACAACTTTGTTAAAGTCAATCGTGTTCATCTATTCATAGCAAGTGTATCTCAAATAATTTGTCTCACTCTTGTCCTAACCGTGTCGAACACAAAACACAAAAAACACGAGTACTAGTTACTTATACGACGCAATTTCACGGTATTTCGTTATTATGTCCGATGTATTGGGAACGTCAAACTTGTCACTCTACATTATCAACCAGTTTTTGACCTTGACTGGTGCCTACACTTGTTTGCTTTTTGCTAATCTTACGACCCATGGCTAAGTATATGTCCTATAAATAATATAAAGTCGTCGAGGCGTATCGTGAGGTCTACAGACCATGACAATCAAAGCAATCATCCTCTTAAATCTCAGTAGAAAGCCCTTAGGTCCTAAAAGTCCTTGTATTTCCGGTGAATTATAAATTGCATCTCGAAAACTGCACAGGAAAACTAGCATCCATTCGTAGTTACAAGCAAAATGAGCTTGGAAGGAAAACTTTTCTTGGCTTTGCAGATACCATTTGATACGTAAATAGAAGGAATTAATGTTGCGGCATTTAGCAAACAAGAAGGAAAATCAAACCGTTCAGTCACGCTACGACACACGCAGTAATGACTTCATACCACACTATAATTTATAACATGACAAGTGCAAAAACTGACAATAATTCCTTCAAGGTCCGTGTGGTAGGTACAAGACAATTGTTAAATAATGCATACATTATTTGGATTCTAAATCTAGTAATCTGCGCTAGCATAGATTCTAGGAAGCTATCAAGCCGGGTCGTGTGGATGCGATCGTGCGCGCCCGTCGCCCTAAGGGCGCGACCCTTTATGGCCTGTCGGTTTATGTGGCCGAGTCGTCAAGCGACTTTCCTTGTAACTTCCTCCATTCTTTAAGATTGATCATTATCTCGAGTATGCAAATAATGTTTTGTTATACATCTCCCTGCGAGCTCTACACGCTATTTCCAGTACAGTAACTTTAACTAAGAGGGTTTAATATTCATACTCTTGATAATATCTCATATTAACTCCAATAATCATATGGTAATAGTAGGATATATATATCACCTTTATCGCTTTAGTACGACACTAAACGTCAAAGGATAACAACTTAATATTTTTCACGCCTGTACTATTTTCATATCTCGTCATACGTGTGCAGAAATATAAGAACGATAATAAAAGTGCACGTAAGATCTGAATCATAAATCTTGTCTGATGGAATAAAAAGCCAGTAAACGTTTGAAGTGTAAAAATATGAGCGATATACAGTTTTATCACATTGAACTTGAATTGGATCATCTGTGATCAATGCTCTATGAAATATTTATCTGAAATTACATTATTTGTAATGGTCATGTAGCGCCAAACTGTCGGCATTCAATTCCTAAAATATTATGTTAGGAGACATAAAATTGTTAGAGATTAAACGAGAAGTTTAGAATAGTTGGTTATCAACGTGAAACAAAAGACAACAGCAGAAAGGCATTCCCGTATCGTACGATCAGTTGGTCTGGTCGCGGTACTCGGCAGACTCGGCAGCCCTACAGCCAGTAAGGCCGCGAACCGTCCACGATACAAAGAGCAGTGATTTGTTGTCGGAGATTTTACATTGTGGTGCCCGTGTCGTAACGGTTTGTTGGTTTATTTGTCGACTAATGTAGCTCCGCGCTGTGAGCGTATTTGAGGTCAAAATTCGAGCTACATTTCTACGCCTGCATCTTTAGAACTCATAGTATCGATCGCCGGGAGCAAACTAAGTTGTCAAATGACCGTCATATAACATCATGAAAATAATTTCCTGGTGTAATTACATTTGACACCGAGACAGATGATTGTCTAACGGTGAAGCTGTAGAACATAATTTTGTTTTTTTCTACCAATAAGTCAAGCTAATGGTACAGGCGGTCCTTGGGAGCATGTCGTCATTGTGAACGTATAAATCACAGAAACAATGTGGGACCTACATGCCGATCGATCGCGTGCAGCACCATACAAGGCAACCCTGACGGTAACGATGGCTGCAGGAAGTCCTTGTATATACCTTCTTATGGGTACATCGAACAAGTTGTGAGTGATAAATTAAATGCACTCATTGCCTTACAAATGACTAAAGAAAGCGCATAATTTTTATTCATGAATCCATAAATCACGTGTGAAGTAATCGTGAATCTTCTAAGTCAGTTACGGCTAAAATATTCTCTTTTAGTTTTCATTTTCTTTCATTAAAATGCCATTCATCGAAATGAGTGTGTTGTATATTTACTTTCATAATTACCTAACAATTAAATTTTTTTGAATACAGAATGCGGAGAGTACGGGGGAGTTCTCCCCAGTGGTTACAGCGACATGCAAGACTGGTGTTATGGCAATCCACATACAGTTCAACCAGCCGTTTAATGGTGTTACACATGCCAGAGAATTCAGGTGAGCATTTGTGCAAACTTGATAACGGGAGTTATCGTGAAATCCAGTTTATCGAGGTACCTACCTAATATTAAACATAGATTATTTAATGAAGAACGGCTTGTCATTACACATATTCTCCATATAACAGAACGTTCCAATTTTCAATAAATAAATGCCAGATACAGTAGTAAGCCAGGACGAGTTGAAAATTGAACCTCGATCTTGAAATTCATAAATCTTTGACATCTACATCATTACTATATTTATTGCTTCAATATAGACTATTTATAGTGTTCCATAAGTGTAAATGACATGGATTTAGATTTGTAGACTAATCTCTTTATACTTCCCCATTGATCTCAGTTCCAAAGACCGGCAAAGGAAATTACGTTTACAGGAGTATCACTTCTATTCACTGTACAATAAAATCCGAATTTCTCTTTCCAGGACTCCAGCGTGCATGGCTTTAGGAAATGGCACCGAGTCTTTGAGTTTCGATATCAATCTGATAGCACCTCAAGGAGCACCCGATTATTGTGGCGTGTTTTGGAACAACGTGAGTAATATAACTTTTATCAGTCTATGAGTCAACCTATTTTCTGTGCAAAAAGACTGTCTATTATTGATACATGCCCGAAAGCTTCCTAAGATTCTAAATTTTCATTGCGTGATATCTGAAGTATCTATACCTACTATACGATTACAAAAAGCATTATTCAAAAATAAAAAACCATTTTGAGAATATTTATAAAATTAATCGTTCAATAACCCTGTAAAACGATACCTATACCCTCATTAGTACACATGCATACAAACGAAGCTCATAAGCCAGACATTCTTATCATAGCATGACTAATCCATGCAATTGAAAAGCTCGCCCTACCCTGTATAATGTATGTATTTAACATAACACATGCACATTTCAGCGCACAGACGAACGCTCGTTGCCGCTAGCGGTTCGTGTGCATCGAACCTTAGAGTTGGCCGATGACAAATTCTACGTAATCACTTGTGGCAAGGCAGGATTCAGAAATGCTCGGTACTTGAACACATTTTATATTTAAATCCGTTGTAACAAATCACTATTCTGACCTACATTTTGGCAAGCACAGATAGAAGTCGCTCCATCTAAATCTTAAGTTTATTTAAATAAAATATGGGTTTTAAGTTCCGAATTTTAGCTGGAATGTAGCAATGTTTAGAAAATATAAATGATACGCGAATAGTATCCTAAACTTAACGATGCAGATGATTTCAGTACCAGATAATTGTATGTAGTATGAATCGAAGTTAATTCTCGTTCGTAGAAACCCATAACTTGATTGTAAAATTATTCAACATGTTTTTTACACCTAGCAATCAATGCAATAAACTATTTTATTACATAGTTATTAAGTCTTAGTGAACATGGCTTCTTATTAACCGACTTCTTTTTCAACAAAAGGTTAGGCAATATAAAAATAAATATTAATTGTTAAGACAAGAGTCAAAGCATATATTAAGCATTCATAACATGTTTAAATGACTAATGTAAGAGTTTATGTTTTCACAGAAACGAAACTTCGCTCGTATCGCTGCGAATGTTGGACTCACAAGGTCGAAAAGTATTGAATGCGGCGTTTGGTCTTCCGTACACGCTCAGAGCCGAAATCAGCAAGCCTGATGGTTAGATCGCTATCATTATTTCGTAAATTCTTATTTTCATTAACAATGTATTGCAACATTAACGTAATACGTAATATTTACTATTGTAGGAGCACACGGAATACGTTTGAAGAATTGTTTTGCTTTCAACATGCGGAATTATACAGCTGATCTTCTAGACAATAGAGGGTGAGTGTGAACAATAAGTAGTGTACTTCAGAGCGTATCTTTTGTGATTGAATGTCTATAAACATGGGCTATATTTACAGATGTCCTATGAAGCAACAGTCCCTTGTAGTGAAGTCCGAGACGGGTGCGGCCGAGCTCGCGATAGCGTCCATGTTCCGGTTTCCGGACTCCTCTCAAGTCAACTTTCAATGCGATATCGCTATTTGCAAAGGTGAATAATACATATTCCTATTTATAGAGAAGTTCTTCCTAACGTACGTAACGTAACACTTTCTTATTAACATGAATTTTTGAATATTAATTGTTTCGATTTTCCTAATTCTCATCCGACCGTTACCAACTTTGTGATAATTCTGTCTCTGTGTAATTCCAGGCACGTGTTCTGTAATCGACTGCAGTACAGAGGCACGTTACGAGAAAGGCGATGAGGAGAGCACAGTCACCGCGTCCACCGGTATATTCGTGCTGGACCCCAATGACAATGGAGGTAAAGACAACCAATATAAAAAAAATTACGAATGACCCGTCGCACCTTCACACAGGTGGTATTGTTTTACATTAGAGTTGTTAAAAGTGCGTTATGGCCTTTTGGGGATTAGGAGATTAAGGATTCGGGGATTAGGGAAATTAGGGAGAGGGGTAATTAGGCCGATAACCTCACTCACACAACGACGCAACAAACACAAATTGTAAGTTCTTTTCTCTAAAAAAAGCTTTATTCTGACCTTCTGACAGTACCTAATAAATACGTCACTAACTTAACCAATTTGTGCAATCATTCAGAAGTTAAGCGCACAAATATTTTGGCGATATCATTCCTTCAAATAACAAGCAGTTGGCATAAGTTTTACTTCTGGAAATACATTAACTGTCTAATCAGTAGACACAACATAGAACCGTCTATAAGTAAGTCAATGTCACGTAATATTATGCAACTCAGTAGGAAAATAAAGGTAATAAAATTTTGTTGACCTTGTGCACCCACGCTTAGATAACCACCAAATCATTAGACAACAATCGCTTACTTCAAAAATATGACCATTGATGCACCTTGAAAAGAGAAATTGATGCGGCAAATTAGGGTTAGAATAAAATAAAAAAAGTTTTATAGACATAATTAGGCATATGGACATAATTTTTTCGTATATTTTGGATTATCTTTTCATTTTCTGCATTACTCAACACAGGCAATAGAGAGACGATAATGATTTGATGACGAATTTTAGTAAACTGATGGAATCACTTACTTGTTTTCCAGTGGCAGCACTAGCGTGTTCGGACGGCAGCGTGCGTCCTCTCTGGCTGCTGTACTTGGCCATCGCGCTCGGTGTCATGTTCATCGTGATGCTACTCGTCAACTGTTTCCTCTGCACCGCCATGACGTGCTCATGCGCGAGAACCGATGTTAGTATTCACTTCAACCAGATAATCTTAAGAAAATACTTATAAGTAGTTTCTACGTACCTACCTACGACTATGATTATTTTTTTATCAAATCGCCTTGTCCATTGCTTGGACCAATACGACAAGATTTTTTTTATATCTTGTCAATTTATTAGTCTGTAAAAAAGGGATACTGTAGGTAGAAAGAATGCCACGGTTATAATAAAGATAACAACATAACATCCAGCCGCCATCCCCGATGGGGTAGGCAGAGGTGCACATTACGGCCCTTAATGCCACTGTAGAGGTACATATGTGACGTCCACTTTTCACTATTTATGTTATGAGTCCCATGCAATAGGGGGTGAGCCTATTGCTATATACCGGGCCCATTTCTAGACTCCGGGCCACTACTGAGATTTTATATAAAACCCAGTAATACTTAGCCCGACCCAGGATTCGAATGGCCGGCAGTCGCACTTGCGACCGCTCGGCCAACGAGGAACGAGCAGATTAATAAACATAACATTACGTATAATTTATTTCCAGGTGATTGAGAAGGACCCATCAGTGGTGGAGGACTACGACCCGTACCGCAGTTGGCACGGCAGTCAATATGGAAGCCGATACCCATCCTCAACTATTCACTCAGCAAGGTAAGTCACGACAATCATAAAACCCGGATGTAAGAAACTTTAATTTTGCATGTTTGTTATATTACAAATCCCCAAACGTATCATATTTGCGGAATACCTATAGTTGAAGAACTTATTTAAAGGGAGGAGTATGAAGATTTCAAGATCGAGAAGAAAGCGCGAATGAAATCGTGGTCCAAAACTGGCATTCATTTTACTAGGAACCTTAATCAGCCACTATAATTATTTATTACGTTTACGTTATTAATGATTAATGAAATTAATCACTGATACCTATTAGTTCAGTACTTCGTTAAGTGTATAGTAGGAATTAATTTCTGATCTATTTCTCAGGTCCGTTTCGGACAACAGTGACCACTACGCGATAGTGCAATCAAGGCCGGGCAGTCGACATTCCGGCATGCACCGAAATAGACATTAATCAGGTAAATTATATTGTCATTCAAATTACTGCTTTACCTAACAGAACTGTAACGAACTTATTAAAGTCAGTTCACTGTAGTAGTCTTATTTCAAAAGTTGAAAGATCCTTTTATATCTATAAGTTTGTATAAGTTTTTAGTATCCAGTTAGGTACTGACAATTTCCTAAAAAAACTGCGTACTAATGAAGATGAACTAATATGTTTTGTTTGTTCTTGCAGATAAGAAACAAATGCAAGCGGAGGCATTAACGAAACCTACGAACGTTGGTACATTATTTAGATATCATCTTAGTCGATTTACCAAAACTGACCGTTTGTATTATCTCTTTGGATATCTAAGTATATATTCTAACTTCAATTAAACTACATTATCTACTTAACAACAACGTAATAGTAATGGTGCTTTGAATCTCAAATAATAAACAATTTACTAGACAAGCGATGTTACCTTTATAAAGAAATACGTTCAATCGTTCAGATGAATTTAACTTGTGCCATTTTATATGCATGTACCTTATGTGGTTTGTAAGATTATAGGCAATATTATGATATTATTGTTAATTGTATACCTGAATCGATACAACGAATCCGTCCAAATTCATGTGTCAATTATTTAAATTCATATTAATGATATTATAGAATAAAATAATGAAAATTAGGTCCTAACTAAGTAAAACTTAATCTATGTTTAAGGTTGTGTTTGTACATTTATTTGTAGAACTATTGTTAGGCATTTAATATTTGTGCTTTTTTGACGCACTGACTTAAACTCCGCAATGTTGTAGACAGTAAAATAATGTAAAAAATCAATGTACTTTATGTCACTGTCCTTTAAAAAATCATATATTAGCTACGAATATTGCGTATGCTCTTAAAAAAATACTTTCTTTTTTTTAAGAGCCTACTGATAGATAAAGGTTCAAATAGCGCTTAATCGACTCGTTTTAGAATAATCGGTTATTTCTATTTAAACCTTAGTTATACCTAGATAGTAATTAAAACAAATACCACATCATCACTGTGAAATAATATTTAAATAATAGTGTAAATTGCTTAAACGTAATTAGGATATTAATGAAGTGAATTATTAGTTTTAAGCGAGAGTATCCATTATGTGGCTATGAGTTAGCACTTGAAAATGGACATGTATTTTATGAGTACGAATTTTTGAGTAGAAGTATTAAAAAAGGAATGTGTCTGTGTGAATATACTATAAGTTCCGAACTTACGCTATAATAAAAGTGTAATTGAGTGTGAAACCAATAAATTCTTTTAACACTGATTTGTTTTTTACTTCAACTGTCGGTTAACTATTAAACTGCTAGTAGTGTTGTCACACTAGTATTGTAAGTTTCTTTGTTTGTATGTTCGTCCGTCAATCACGCTGAAACTACTGAACGAATTTTGATGAAATTTGGTATACAGGCAGGGCTGACTTTTTAGGTGATAGGATACTTTTTACCCCGATTAAATGTTCCCATGGGTTAAAACAGGAATCATATTCTACGCGGACGAAGCGCGGGCAACAGGTAGGTAGTATTTAATAAAATGAATAGATACTTTACTTCCCGATTCTACAACATTCATAAATTTAAGGTGTGTAGTCTTATGCACTATATCTCGAAACAAATATTGTACTCGATATTTCTTTTACAAACTAGCGCTTAGGATGCAGCGAACCATATCGACATTAGCTTTTAAAATAGACGCTCCAATAAAAATAAACGTAAATTTATCATCAGAAACCTATTTAAATATCAAGTGGTAGTGCAAATGTGGTATGTATTACGAATGAAGCCGATAAATAAAAGCCAGACATTGCACACTGATCATACTTTATTGTTGTGTCTAATATACATACTTTCGTGATTTCATTTAAAGGTTATGCATAATTTTTATACCATATAATATTAAAATATCAACTATAGAACATGAAGGTGTACATAATTAATACAAATTGTCAAAATTTGTCAATATAACTATAGAAACAATGGAAACTATCAAACATTTTAACGTCACAGTAATTATTTTACAATTTGGTATTTTTATAATATTTTCAAAAACGTTCTTAAGTTACGTACACTTGAAAAGGACTATAAAATTGGACTAGAAAGTTCCTGGTCATGTGCAACAATAACTACGAAACATTAAGTTTACACAGATCTAAAAATATAAGTTTTATTGGTAACTAACGAACTGTACTATCTTAGACAGAATAAGACGCTAGATAAAAATTCAAAAACAAAAATATAGGTACACAAATAATTGATTATCATATTTACTCTTATTTTATAATGAAAATCACTCACAGTAACTAAACATTCATTGGCAGTAGGCCTAAGTCCTAATACAAATGAAACTATTATTTTTACTATAGTTAATTCTTTGTTTTTAAGGGTACCCGCAACCAGCATACTTTGGAATGTGCATGAAGATAGATGAAATATGAAACGTAAACTCTGCACCGTTTTATAGCATTGTGAAAATAGTGCTGAAACTATGCATTTTTCTTATTCATCTCGTTTTCTAAAGTTCCTTCTTATTTAGTCTTTCACAGCGAGCACCCTAATAGAAACAGATCCAGCGTACTATGGCACGAAATTACATATTCATTACAGTAATTTAAATTTATGCTAGGCACAAAATTATCGAGTGTATAAGGTATAACAAAAAGTACTTCAACATTTTCTATAAATGTGTTTCCTACCCTTCAATCTAAACAAGCTATATACATACGTCATACATAGATGAATATTTTTACATAATTGCCTGTTGCCATGTTTATATTGCGGTGGGATAATTATTGTTTCTCCGGTTCTTTCTTCTCCAGAATTGATTTAGCCACTTGTTCATATAGAGATCGTTTGTATATCCTGGGTTGACCATCGCGTAGTCCGTGTGGGTACATTCCGAAAGTTGTATCGTCATCGAACCAGCTTGTAGTAGGCTGAAAAGTAAAATTTTACATATTTATTAAATTGAAAATCAGAATTCTAAACTAAAACAATGAATAATAAGGATGAAACTAAATAAAAAAGACCTCTTATTAGGCGTCAACATACTAAACTTAAAACAGTAATTTGGTCTGAGTACGACGAACATAGAACATGTTGTAAAACAATGAGTAAAATGAGTTAAAACTCCCCCTTAAAAAATAAGAACAAATAATTCGTCGTACGTTTACGTAAACTTCAGGAATATGCACGACTTAAACTTTTAACTTCACAATTATAATGACATGATACAGATATACGTAAATAGTTAGGCTACAGATAAACTATACCTACATTCCAGAGAAGGTACCTAAAGCCTTGAATCTCAATCGTTTATAAATCACCTTGATATACTATGCGCAATCTACTACTTGAGTAAATATTTTATGGACTCCACGTAAAACAAATCTAATAAAGCTTCCTTTAAATTTAATCATAGTGGATTAATTACCTATTTACGTTACTTAATGAGATTTACCAACAAAATTGTACGGTTTACGTGACCACGGTTATCCATGGATTAGGAATCCGATACCTTTCGACCTTCTATTAAAAACATAGATAAGTGCTGTGTTGCTGGCAGCGTATAGGCATAGCTTTACCGAAATTCATTTTAAGAATTTTTAATGTGAATGAGTGAGTATCGTAGGTTGAAAACTACTTGAATATTAATTTAATCATGAAGAAATCGGCGATGACAAATGTTTAAACGCCTACTAAATTACAATAGCAGCAACAAGTAGGATGTAGGTACACATTGTAACCCTATACGTAAATAATGATGTTAAAAAAGGAGGCTTGAACAATTTACAGAATAAATACTGTGAAAACTGTGTACTATACAAAAAACCCTTTCTAGCTATATTTGTGGGTACAGATTTTAAGGTCAACGGATGGCACATAAAGTGATAGTGTTATCGACTCCGAATGACCGTTTTATCAATATGTAAGTATACACTATCTATAGGTACAAGTATACTGCGAATTTAAATCGATAGCGTCAATGTGCAGAGAAGTATTCTGTTTGATAACAATCGTAAATCGAATGAGCATCTGTCACAGAGTCACAGCATAACGGTAGCCTTCCTTATATCTTGATTTGGGATAATGGTTTTAAAGTCCTCAATATTTGGTTTATGCAGTCTATTGCACGTTCCTGAAACTATATTCAGAGGCTTATTTCGATCGCATAAGGGCGATATTATGTTAGCAACAATGAGCGATTGTATCTTTTCCTGTCCTCCAAACTCTTGTTACCACGTAACACGTATAACCTTACATCGCAATAGGCTTTACGACAGGTCACATTAATCTGACATTCATTTATTTTTAATCGTGCGTAGGACGATGGGCTTACGTCAAGCCGTAGTTGGGAGCTTTCATCTGACGCAGGTGTGTGACGTCATGTAGCACATTGTGAGCACACATGTCCCAAGTAATTAAATTCTGGGTTGACTGTTTTCAACCCCAGTACCCCCCAGTTGTTAGTACTGAAGTACTATCTTATTTCGCTTATATCTACTTCACGTGACATGTTCCTAAATAATAAACTTACGCCATGATAAAAAAATGTATGAAATATAAAATTATAGTAGGTAATTAAAGTGATTAAGTGAAGAATCATTCATTTCTATGAATATACAAGAAAATCACATTTTACCTTAAATTTTATGAAAAATGTAATTTTTAGAAGTTGGATTAAACCAACATTCCGTAATTTGAATGTTCTATATTTTAAGCGTAATCAGATGTTATGAACTTGGAGTAGGTATATAAGCTTTCGATCTATATTGGTCTATCAACTGATAAGTATTCGTTTATTTGGCATTCGATATGGCGTAGTACACTCATATAAGGTTTGTTCAATCTTTTGCTGTGAAATATCCAAGCGTTATCGAATTTGTCATTCTAGCAAAAGTATTGTCAAAACTGGTCATATGTGTGTCCTATAAATCTTTAGTGCCTTAGTTTGTATAATATATACAAATAATAATAATCTCACCTCCAGTTTAAAGTTGAGGATATGTGCAGAGCTCTGGTGGCGTGGCACGGTAGCGACGCGCGACACTGGGAAGTAGCCGGGGTGACTCGCCGTCACCTCGTAGTGTCCAGGAGTCAACAGACGGTAGTAGTCGCCGTATGCACCTATAATTCAATAAGTATATTTATGAATAAGAATCAATCTATTCAAAGATGTCAAAATCATCCGTATTATCTAGCTTGATGAGGCATAATCAAACTTCAAAGAGCCATCAGATCACCACAAATGAGGACCATTAAAGCAGATGCTCAGCTAGCGGGTTATGGGAGCTCCGGCTCAAACCAGGAGTAGAAACAGGGTGGTTTTTACTCAGTAAAAGTCTGACACTCGCTTTCGCCTCACCTAAAGCGGAAGAAGTCATTGGATAACTTTCCCCCTCAAAAAATAGCCGCGTGTTAAATATAAAAGGGACAAACGTGATTTACTAACTCGGTTTCACGATTGATCAGTAATTCACTATGTACTTATATTTACTTCTTTACCTTTAGCACAATGATGTAAACTGAAATATTTATGTTACAGTGCGGAAGAACAAACATTGCTACAATGAAACTCTGTAGAATGAAGTCTCCACATACTCAATGTTGATTACATGCACAATTGCACAATTTAAACCGTCTGATGTTATTTGACACGTCTTTCAATTAGTGCAGTAACCACATAATTATAGTACCTAGCATTACAGGGACCTATGTCATTGCAAACAAGTAATATTAAATAATGTAACATATGTAGTAGTAGCACGGACTCTGGAATTGTGCCCGGTATATGGCAATAGGCTCACCCCCTATTACATGGGACTAATAACATAAATAGTGAAAAGTGGGTGTTACATTGTACAGGGGTATAATGTGCACCTCTGCCTACCCCTTCGGGGATAAAAGGCGTGATGTTATGTTTGATGTTATGTTATGTTTTGTAACATATTAATAATTAAGTATACGAACAAATCTATGAATATATTATATTAATAATAACATGGATTGGAAATTTGGAACCTCATAAGTAACAAAGATAACAATATAGCCTAGTGGAGTGATTTAAATTTTTTAAATTACAAATTGCCTAAGAACATGATTGCAATTCGTGATTCGTTTACATAAAATACAAAGACTTTATTCTGCAGTCTTTATTACTGAGAAAATCAAGTACCTATCTAAATAACCTTTACGTACATGTTTCTGTAATAAGTGTGTAAATATCAAAATGTACGACTGTCAATTCAGTTTGTCCTTTACACGTTGTGGTAACGCGGAAACAAAAACAAGAATAATAACAAAGATCAGTATTAAATGAGTAGGTACTACAATGTAATTACTACGATGAACTATCGAGGGCTTATCCATGGCTAAAACGGACAGAATGTAACTTTATACTAGGCGAGCTTAGTCGCAGGAAAATCGAGCTTTAATAAGATTAATAAATAATGCAATTAGTAGGTACGTAGTAGTCACGATATCAATATATTTACGGGCAAAGTTACCATTATATGCAAGTAAATAGTTCGTTAGGCAAAATTTGGAAGAATGATTCTGTATTATGACGTACATCCTTAAAATGAAACCGAAAATGGCCTAATTAAAAAAGGTAATTTCGACCTCCAACCGTCCATTTATTTAAATATTTCAAAAATAATGTGCCAACTTTACACGCATTCCTATTCAAGAAGAGTAATGACGCTCTTTTGTATTCAATCGGATCGTCAACCTATTTTCACAAAGTTACGAAATAAAACTAATGTGATGTTATTTGTAATCCACGCGCTGCAGATGGTGTTACAATGTTTAGACTTTAGCTCTAAAGACATGTGAGCAAACAAATAAATGTGGGATTTTAACCATATTGCGGATATCAAGACTAACTTCTTTTTTAAGACTTTAGCTAGTCCACAAATTCTAATGGGGATGATGACAGGGTATGAAAATTAAAAATATAATTAGTCCGTAAGTTAGGTAATGAAAAAATATTAGACACGTATTTTTTTATTTTGTCGTATAATAAAACAATACTTAGATAAAACGAATCAAAGTTTAGGAGTGGGGGCTAAAACGTTATTACTTAGTATAAAATGTACTGAGAAGTGACGTCACGCGACATTTCAAATCAATATATCTTCGAAACTATTCGTTTCTGTGAGAAAATAAAAAATACGTGTCTAATGTTTTTAAATAATCTACCAGACGGACATTAAAATAAAAATTAGTCGTCTACCCCATTAGCTATGGGCTCGCTGCCATTGCAGCGGTAAGTCCCCTCTTTGAGGAGTGGCTTGAGAGACGCTACGGCGTCCTCACCTACCGCCTGACGCAGGTCCTCACCGGACATGGAAGTTTCGGGAGGTACCTGTGTCTGATGGGGCGGGAGGAAACGCCCGGGTGTCATCACTGCGAGGACCACCCTGAGGACACGGTGGAACACACTGTTGCGGAATGCCCTGCGTGGGCTGAGCACCGCCGTGCCCTCAGGGAAGTGATCGGCGATGGAGACCTCTCGCGTCCGGGCCTAGTGCAGGCCATGATGCGGAGCGAGGGGGACTGGGATGCCGTCTCCTCCTTTTGCGAAGCAGTCATGCTGGCTAAGGAGGAGGCGGGACGCGTGAGGCAGCGAAGCGCTGCCTCCTCGCAACCCAGCCATCGCGAAGGACACACCGGGCGTCGGGGATCGCGGGACGATCTCCGGCCACCGTAAGCGCGGGCCTGCGGACGGCGAGCATGGGTGGCTCCCCGTCCGACCAGAAACAGACCCGAGCGTACGGCGCGTCGCGTTCCGCGCGCGCCTCAAAGAGCCATCAGACCACCACAGATGGGGCCCAATAGGGCCGATGCCGATTCGGAGTCGCGGAGAACCTAACGGGTAACCGGGGCTCCGGCTCGACGTGCAGGAGAAGGAACGGGGTGGTTTTTAGTCAGTAAGAGTCTGACACTCCCTTCCGCCTCACCCAGGCGGGAGCAGTCATTCGATGATTTTCACCCCTTAAAAAAAAAAAAAAAAAAAAAAAACCCATTAGCTACCTAATCATCAATTCATCACAGTGTGTGGATGGGTAATCAAATCATCCCTGAGCATCGAACTTCTATTATATCAATATCTATCCCGAAAATAAAAATCTTTACGTAAGTGACTACGTAATATAAAATAATTATGTGCTTCAGACATCGTGACTAACCAAAAATGTGGAACATCACTCTTTAAATGTTGTGAAGGGCAAATAAAAATACAATACTGAACATTGAAGAAGGGCTTGTGTGTGACAGTCACTGCCTACCTACTAAATTGTATTATTAAACAGTTTAAGCCATAAATATCTATGTTCCTCGGTAACCTACTGTTTGATAACCTAAATGTAAAAACCCAGACCGCCCGAGTGACGTTGTATCAGAATTATTCATATCTAGTTATTATTCTCTTAACCGTGGCTACGACGAACCCCACAAAGCAAATATCCTGGTAATCTAACGAACCATAGATATAAAATATTTGTGTGTAACAAACCATTCTAAAATTTTAAATGGCGTAGAGTAACTAAAACTAAAATGATGAATGACTTTATTACACTTACATAATTATTGTTGTTTATACCTACCTACTTAGATAAATTAAGTCGTAACCCTTATTATACAAAGAAAGCCATAAACCTATTTTAATTACATACATCGATAAATATTTAATACGAGATTACTTATTTAGTTTTCATTCACTTTTGTAAACTAATAATAACAATGTGCAATGTATTTAAAACAAAAAATAAAGAGTTTACACGTAGGTAAAATCAAATGCAGAGAACGGACAAATGCTCACAAATAATTAATTGAAGACGTCACGACATCGGCCCACGAGGAAACACTTAATTACACCAATCAGTATTAATTTACTGAAGTGAATGCAAACATGTGCCTATTTCCTTGCACTGGACAAAGAGTTCTTTTACAGTTTACATTCTAGTCGTAGAAAATGTTTCATTGTTCTATTTCTAATAACAATTCTTACTACGCGATAGTCAAACATCGAGGTATTACAATGAGGCTGAGAGTAACGTAATACAAGAGTGTATTAAAGTTTATAAATACAAAAGATCAAAATATTATTATGACTGACTGTCCGGTGCGCGACATTTTTGGACCCAAATAATGTATAGCCTTAGAGCCTTAGACGAAATTACTGTGAAAAGACTTTTTTGAGCAGCCAACCCCTGCTGCAATAATACCAAAACTATTACCTGGAGATTAATTATTTTACGTAGATGAGGGTGATAGTCCAGCAATGGACTGTCATCAGCTGTGAAGTAAATAGTTTCACAATAGAAACCTTCGATAATTAAATACCAAATGGAGACCCAGGAACCTCGTCTAGGACCATACGCTTAACAGAAGAATCACTTTAGACTAAACAAGAAAAATCAAGGAAATTTCATCTTCATCTTAAAACACTAGCTAAGCTAGAAAAGATTTCCAGCATTTCCATTTGGTCATGCGTGGTGTGGTTCACGCAGAGGTTGGGCCACTGGTTAATGTAAATGATTTTGGTGCAAACTGATTCCCGCAACAATTTCTGAGATCAACAAATTGATGTTCGGCATTCGTATGTGATATGTTTGTATTACCAAACGCACGCACAACATAAGAGAATTGCTAATGATGAGATTGTTTAAAAAAGTTAATACGTAGGTGCAACGAAACATTACATCACAGTACCTAAAATAAACAAAGCAAAAATAAACTACTAATATTGACAATTTAATACGTTTTATACACGGAACAATCAACACTATTGGTTACAGTGCACGCATTATCTATAACTAATAGGTATAGGTACCTATGTGGAAATGAGATTAAGAGTATATAGTATTAAGCGACGGAACAAAATTTTACCTGTGGTGACGTCATGACGGATAGGTCTTGGGATTGGTCCGGTGATGTTGACTACAGATATGATGGCGTTTTGTATGAATCCAGAGTCGTCAGACACTATTCCTTTGATACCAGCATGTGCCTTCCACAAGTACGCCAGCAACGCTTCACGGTTCCTTTCCCATTCCTTAGCCAGAGCATTTGCAGGGGGATATTTGTCGCAGCCAAGTTCCAGGGTGATTTCGAACGCATTTGTAGCAAGATAGTTAAAATCTTGCATACCTGTAAATACACTCATTTTATTGTAGGATTTGCAATGGACCCTTTTACCTACGCTACTTCCCACTATACGACCCCTGCCTTAAACCCTGTTCGAGTAGGGTGACCATATTTTCAAATTAATCGCTACAATAGACAGGAAAGACTGAGAAACATCTCTTTATACGAAACATTAAAATAGGTACCTTAATTTACCTAGTTCTAGCAGTTAAACAAAAATTGTGTCACATTAGTTTAGACCTCTAAACATCGAAACAGACGTGTTCGAACTCCTCAACACAACACAAGGTAATATAAAAACAAGCAAATTAGTTTTCACGCAACTATTTCTTTAGATCCATTGTTAGATAACCAACTTTAGCTTAGTGACATGCATTGCTAATCGCTCTTTATACTTATAAACATCGTCAACGGTCGCGTGATCGATACAATTGTTATGATTAAAAATCATTGAACAATGCAGCTAAAATTAGCATTGCTAAGCCAACCGAGTTTCATGGTCAACTTCAGTTAAATGTTAATGGCAGTACCTACAGTATAAAGTCAAGTGATCAATTGCTTAAGCTTCCTGCTTCTACGACTTCCTACGTATGAGGCGTTACTTTCGAAAAGGGAAAGAGTCGGCGACTGCGACGACACACGTCAGTTACACAAGATTGTACGAGGGACTTGTAAAACCAATATATGGTTAAGTTCTTTTGATTTTAACACTAGGACAACTATACCTATATACCTACTTTCGAACTATAACTACGATCCATAAACATATTGGAAACATTTTTTTTTATGGGAATAACCGGTAAACGAGCAGGCGGCAGTGAGCAATCGACTTCGCCCATCTGGAACACCAGAGGCGCTACAAGTGCGTTACCGGCCTTTTGGGATTAGGAATTTGAGGATTGTTGGGGATTTAGGGATTGGGAAAGGGTGGAAGGTAATGGGGCCTCCGGTAACCTCACTCACACGACGATACACAACGCAAGCGTTGTTTCACTTCGGTCTTCTGTGACGCCGTGGTATCACTCCGGTCAAGCCGGCCCATTCGTGCCGAAGCATGGCTCTCACACACTTATTATTGCACAGATCTGTTTTTGCTTATGTAAGTTTATAGAAGTTGGTATACGGTCACTGTACGACATTTACATTTACTACCTAAACTAGACTAAGCTAGGTATATAAATTCCTGTTTTATGAAGGCCATCGAACACGCGACGTAAATACCTATATTATTTTTGATTTAATTGAGTACAAGTTATGTTCTTCTATTTATATTGTTAGCTATACTGCTAAAGAGTGGGATTCTTTGCCGGAGTCTGTATTTCCTAAATCCCTTTAGAAAAGGCTTCTTCAAGGCCCGAGTGAATAGGTTGCTTATGAGACGACGTGCTCCATCGTAGACCGCATCATCGCTTACCACCAAGCGAGATAGTGGTCAAACGTCGGCCCATCAAATATAAAAAAAAGCAATTTGAAATATCTTTTTAAGAACATTGATGCGCGATTTATCAGTTAGATACTAGTTCTCGTTAGTCCTTAATGTAAAAGATGAAATATAATTCACACACCGACCCATATCAAAAAAAAATGGACAGAATAAGTTTAACCATAAAAATAAAAAGTACTACTTAAGTATTAATTTCCCTTTGGAAAGACCAATGCAGGATTAAGGTTTTACAGGCCAAACATGGTAACAGAGCATAGGTAACCTAGGTAATTTAGTGAACGTTTTTTTATCTAACAGTAACAAGAAAGTACTAAGTACTGACCTCCTTTCAAACTGTACCAGGCTGCTCCATTAGTGACACCTCCTTGTTTCCCGAAGTTGTAAGTAGCAGACTCATCAGAGCTGGTCGTGTGACAGCCGCGACGGGTCGCTGAAGCCATATCCGCGTGAGCCGACGCATATGTCATAGCTAACTCCCTACAATATAACGTCACCTTTAATGGACTTCCTAGTTGTAAATAATGTAGATTTAATTAAAATAAAGTTTGCTTTCTCCTAACAATTGATTATCTGTTTGAGGTTTTATTACTAAAATGTATCTTAGAGTTGTGGTTGGTTTTTAATTACATTTACATTAATAAAAAAAGGTTAGTTATTATTTTTCTTGTCTTGTTTTTTTTTTTATTTTAATATTTTTTCATCACAGGCCAGCAGGAAGAATTTCCAATAGGAATATGCCACACCTATATGTACTAAAATTTTATAAATACGTTGTGCTGTGAACTGTATGTTACACAGTGAATAAATAAATAAGGAAAGTAAAAAATATGCTAAGTTTTATAATATTTTTTACCTGAATGTGTCATCATCAGGGCTAGCCGAATATTCAGAAACAGGAGCCCCACTCCGGCTCTCATCATAGGGATAGTTAGCTACTAGGTCACCTCCGTGCATTGCTGCACTCAATACAAATGGTACAGACATAATCCAGCGCATAACAGCCCGAGTTTCAGGTTCCAACTAAAATAAATTCAAAATAATGACTCAGTACTGTAAATAACATTGCCAAAATTATAAATATGTCTTTCCCAATTTGCCAAGCATGTTACTGTCAAAATATAAATAAAAGTCTTACCGGTGCAGCAAGACGAGTCAAGTCTTTCAACAAATGGTTATTATGATTGATGCCTTGGCGTTCAAACTCAAATGTGATTGCATCTAGATCTGGGAAATTTCTATTTAAATCCACTGAATGGTTATTGGTGCGGCCAATGAGATAATCTAATGTTCCCTGTAAATAATGAGACATTATTAATTATTATTTTAAGAAAATTATCCATATTGTAATACATATAAACATGTTCTTGTTTTATATTTGTGGCCACTTACAGTAGCGGTGGATAATTGCCAGCCATCTGGATTCATGGATGGTAACAAGTGGATTCGTGTGGAATGTATAAGAGCACGGATTCGGCGATCATGACTGTTGTACTGATCACAGAGGTAATGAGCCAGTCCTAACAGCAATTCCCGACCCAATACCTCGTTTCCATGGATGTTACCAACATATTTCACCTCAGGTTTATCTAAAAACAAACAAATGAAGGTACAAAACTAAATATTTGACGTCCGAACCCGAAGTTATTTTAATATATTTTTTACTTACATGGTTGGTGGAATCCAGGAGTGTCAGCGAATTCTATTACATACAAAGGAACACCACAAACTGATGGTTCAGACAAAGCATAAACTCTCGTTATATTTGGACACTTTGCATGAACTTCTTCCAGCACGATGGGTAGTTGCTCATTATTATGATGTTTCCACGCAAACTCCGCGGATGTAGATATTATGAAAGCGAGACACAAGTACAAATATGCAGCCATATTTCGGTTTATAATAAAATTTATTCACTTGAAATATTATCTTAACATTATTTTCGTAAATGTCTTATTGATACACGACTGCACGTCCACCTGCCGCAACAACTAACTAAAACAAGTATCGATCGATTTTCCCGCCAGCACCCACACAAACATCGTTGATGACGCACATATGCTCGGCTCGCCCAACTCGACTCGCCACTCGCCCTCTGTAGGGAGGGAAACGGAATCGACTAAACAAAATAGTATATCGTAAAATAGCGTTATTTATCGAACATTATCTTGAACCGTTTCGACTCGAATGGTGGTCTATGGTCATTAGTTAATTACTAATATCAGTTGGAACAAAGGCTTTTGAGAAGAAACTTTTATTAATATTTGCAACATAGTCTAGCACTCCAAAGAAAAGGCCTTATAGGAAATAAATGTAATTTACATATTTGTAGTTACAAAATAGATAAAGATATCGAATAAATAATACAGTCCGTTTTTGGACAAAATATGTATAAAAACCATCTAGACAAAAAGTAATTTTTATGATCTTTGTCCATCTTTGTCAGATACTGATATGTAACTATATTTATCAGTTTTACAATAAGAAGTTTTAATAAATTAAAGTTAAAATACTGTCCAATTTCAATAAAAAAAAAATGAAAGCCCTTACGAAGATAAAAAAAATAAATCTTTTATGGCATCACATGGATTTTCGAGCTTAATGGCCAAACTGGTCATATTCCGTAATAAACTGAAATACATTTTTATTCAACTCGTAATTTTCTACACTGTCAAATGCATGGATATTCCATGATCAAACGGTAACGCAGTATAATTTTACAATAGACGCTCTCAGAAATATATGCCTCCAAGTACCAATTGAAACATGACTAGGCTAGGTATCTAAACTGATTTGAATATTATAATTGCTGCTATTAACACATTGAATGCCGTGTCGGACAATGCTGTCCGACGCTAGCGGAGGATTTGCCTTTAACAGTTTTTGTCAGCAGTTAAAAGCTTAAACAGCTAAATTAGATTAGATACCTCTGAGATCTATAGAAATAGATAAATTTCAATAAAGAATATTCGAATGTACTTATTTTTTTTTTTAATTAAATTTTTTTGGGGGTTTACAGTAGTGGCGTTGCTTTGCTTGCAGTATTTGGGTGTCGGTGTGGGTAGTTAGTTACTCAATAGGGGATTCATAAAAAAAAGTGATTTTTGTATTATATTAATTTATTCTTTTATTAATTGAAAAATATTAGAATGTACCAGTGTATCTTTCTCATCCCAAAATATATTTAATACTTACTGAATGTATAATTCACACTGTTAAAGAAAAAACCTACATACATTAGATACTTAGACATTGTAACTCAATCAACATGTATGCGCTCTTTCTTCTGTTTGTGATGGTGAACATATAATTCTCCTAAAAACGTTGCGATTGAGAGCATAAGTCCAATTGCGTAGACAATAAATATTCCCTGAAAACAAATAATGCTTTCAATACCTAGCTTCAGATTATTTCACAGGTCTAGCAAATTTCCTAAAAATTCACAGCAGTAGGTATTATGTTGAAATAAAATTGTTCTACTCGTAGGTACCTAAGTATCTACCTATATAGCTGAGCAATAGGCGTAGGTTATACGTACTATAACATTTCCAAGATTTAAAGCCTTCGTAGTCCCCACATCATTTTTACTCCTTGATAATCTCACCTCAACCTGAACTTTGTAATTCAAATGTTTCAGAGCGACCTGCAGCAGAAGTACTTATGATAAAAGGAATTTAATTTAATCACTCCTTAGTCTCCTTAGACATAAATATTCATAGGTACTTCAGGTCTAGGTGCAGTAATCAATGAGTGATTATTTATTTGAATAATAATCCCAATTGATTGCCTCGTTGGCTGAGTAGTCGCAAGTGTGACTGCCGGGCGAGGGATCTCGGGTCGATTGGGACGGGTAAAGTATTACTAAGTTTAAAAAAAAAATCCGTAGTAGCACAGAATCTGGAATTGAGTATCGGTATGGCAATAGGCTCACCCCCTATTACATGGGTCTTATAACATAAATAATGAAAAGTGGGTGTTACATTGTACAGTGGTATTAAGTGCCGTAATTTGCACCTGTGCCACTGCCTACCCCTTCGGGCATAAAATGGTTTAATGCTATGCTATGTTTTCACCTGAGTTTCCCAAGCTAGTAAAAGTCCGGACTGATGTAACCGTCCTATAAGTTGGCTAACTTTTTCGGTGTAAGGAGAACTTTTCCTCATCATCACGACGCACTGTTCGTAATAAAAGTCTTCAAGCATCACCATCATGTCTAGTATAGCTTCCTGTGTTACGTATTCACCTATAGCGAAGTTGCCTAAAATGTAATGTAACTTAGTCATATAGCAATATATTTATGTGATTTGTATGTAGTATAGGTACTTACCTGCCGGTAACTTTTCTATGCTATATGCCATGCTACGAGTAAAACTTTTACTTTTCAGTTCGTCAAATGAATAAATACGAAACTGGCTCACCAGCTCTTTTACTAACGGCTGGAATTACAAAGAAACAATTATTTGGACTGTTTTTGATTGAATTTTTATTCTTTAGCTTACCTCATTTGATACCAACCTCAGTCGACAAAGTCAAAGAAAATATCCAAGCATCATGGGTGGCTCCCCATTCCATTTTCCTATCGACTATATCTTGTACCGTGTCAATAGATGGCTCATATCTAGGAACTGTGAATGTAGACGCCAGACCAGCCCCGTACGCACTGCTCAGAATCAGCCCCGCTATCAACAACCAGCCAGTGACACTTCTTATCTTCCATGAAGGTTTTCCTTCATACTGAGACTGAAATATCTCTTAGATTAATCTTTCCATGTCTATTTTTGTAAGTCATAACTTAGGTTTACAAAATTATATATCGATTCTTTGAATGGGAGCTACCTTTACATTATATTTACTTTGCAAGCTATAATGACCAATATGTCACTACACCACAAATAGATGCATGGTCATCAACAGACCTTTTCAGTACATCAGTAATTACTAAAGTAAGGTACATTTGCATATGAACAGTCGTGTTTGCCAGCTACCTCCCCGTTATCTAATGGATACCTGACTGACACAAGAAGACATTCATTGCTGAAAAAGGAAGCAATCTAATCGCTTTCCTCTCCTTTGAGGAAAGCGATTAGATTGCACTTAGATTAACATTACTAGATGCTACTACTTATCCCTTGCCCTTACTTGCATAAAACTACATAGGTATATTTTCTTCAATTTCATAGAATTATTTCTAGACTTACTTGTCCAATCATCATACCAAAAGCATTTAAAAATGGATACGATGATGAACCATATCCCTGTGCGGTTAAAATCCCAGTTGAGGCATAGAAATAAGTAAAAACAACAGCAAGCCACATGTACCACGTAAATGGCATTAGCGGCATTTCCCAACTGGATAATAGTCTGTAAACCGATCAGAAAATGCACGAATTAATAGAACACTTTTAAATGTAAAATTGATTGCTATACAATCCTTACCTAGGAGCTGGAGCTATACAAGTAATAGCAGTCCTTACTCCCGCAACCGAAAAATCCATCACTCGATATTCTTCATACCAAGAATAAAGAGCAGCTGTAATAATTTACTGATATTAATTTAATTCTTTGTTATGCAACATGATCGTATCCCATACAGTCACTACCTACTTAATTCAGTCTCCACTCATCATCTTTCAAATTATTGGGTAGGTACTTACTGATTCCTAAATCTGCACGATCTTCTACGACACTTCCAATAACTCCGATGCCACCGGATTCATTTTTATAAATTTCTCCCCACTGATCCACATCTTCTCTGACTACTTCTACAGTACAATTTACCCACCTGTAGTTATAACAACATTGTTTAGATTGAGCAGATAAAGTTAATGATTTTCTTAATAAAAATGTCAAAGGGTTCTAAATGTTGATGAAAATGTATACTATGAAACCTTACCTGCAAAATTCATCCACGATTCTGATTTCCACACCATCCCTGCCCAAAGGTTCAATAGCAGTATCAATGTCCAACAGCGCATACGGTTTGTATGTAAAGCACGCCACTCTCAAAGTCTTCCCAAACAAATTAGTCATATCATGAGGAAATAAGTTTGCATTATTCTCAAACTGTTGTGAACAAGAATCCCAACGATCCAAGTATTTAGGGAGATTACTCACATCATCAGGACCTACGTACTGATGTGTAATCAAATCGAATTCTTTGCAATCAGAGTTGCTACTATTATGGTTGATGACCATTAACATATTGGCCAGGTATTCACTTCCTTTCATGGAAAATATTAATGAAGGTAGATTTTCATCATTAATATCATTGTATTCCTCATTATAAGGCAGGATAATGACTTTTCTGTCACTTCTTCTTACGTTTCCAATATGAACAACGCGTTCAAATGCTGTCATAAAGTTCTGAGGGTCTCTCATACGAACTATGTAATCGGAACATCCCCTTTCTGATACGTTGTATATCTGTTCCACTAAGTTTTCTTCATCTGGTATTAAATAAATGAAACTTGTTGAGAAAATTGGAGACAGAGGTTTATCTGAGAATACGGTGACGCAGTATGATGAATCCAAATATTGGATAATGATCGTGTTTAGAAGAATTTCTAAGGGAAGGGAAATCGTTGGGAGTAACATCTTTGATAGCAAACCAAGTCAGAATGCCGCTAAAATTGATTGCTAATCGTAGTGTAACCTTCTAGCTTACTTAAATATTTTAGGATTCCTTGAATATTTTATAGAAACACGATATCGATGACGATACTTCGCAAAACAGAATATGATGTATGAATTGTTTATTTTTATTGATGTTTGCCATGTAAGCTATTGTTATTTATAACAGTTACCTAGACATCATTTTGAAATCACTAAAACAAAATGTTTTTCTAATACCTACACAATGCGTACCACTAACTACCCTGGAACTCTGAAAGTCTCGGCCGTTATAATAAATTGTGTAGTAAGTCTCTAAAACCGTCTCGGAGAACCTAACGGGTAACCGAGGCTCCGGCTCGATGTGCAGGAGAAGGAACGGGGTGGTTTTTAGTCAGTAAGAGTCTGACACTCCCTCCCGCCTCAGGCGATGATTTGCCCCCCTTAGAAAAGTCTCTAAAACCGCTTTTGACTCGGTTATAAACAAAAGCTGTAATGCAGAACCCACGCCGTTGGTTTTCATTTAAGTAGGTAGGAACATAAAAAGAACTTAAATATGTTTATCTTTGAAATCGATTATTTAAATATTCTAAAAGAGCGTTTTGTTTTACCTCTACTATTTACAGTCATCAGTTTTATTTGCCATAATTTACTACCATAAAGAATTTTATGGAAAATTTATAGTAATTGCGTCCGTAACAAAGAGGTTTCATTACGGAATAAGTACTTGAAGCTTTTAATAATACAGTGTCAACATTGGTTGAGGTATAACGTAGGCTAATAAATGGTATTCACATTAAACAAAATAAAATATGTAGATGGTTGTGTTATGAGTCGGCTGCACTGAACAGAAACCACTAAAGCTAATGGATATTTTGTTATTGTTGTGCGACAAGACACACGCGGTTAGCGCCACCTTTATTTAGAACATACTACAAGTCTTGATACTTGATCGCATTGAAGAAAAAAATTGTTAAATAGCGTCATTATTTTTAATTTTGTTCCCGATATTGTTCCTATAGAGTTTCGTATCCAATGTAAAAGTTATTAGAATACATGTAAAAGTATTTGTAGACTCAACATAAGTACCAATATCAAGAAACCAAGTTCACAAGTATTAAAAATTCAGGCATGCAGTTTTGTTTACCGATAAAACAAACAAATAAAAATATGTACATAGCTAGCTATTGATTTCTATTTCAAGGTAAGTTTTCTTTTACCACGGAAGTATGAAGATTGTTTAGTCGGTGTACAAAGTGTGTGTGGTCGGGAGCTTCCTTGCCGCCGTCGGCTAATTAAGGAACTCCCGAAAAAACTGACTACTTCACACGCACCGACTCGGCGTCAAATAATACGATTCACACCCGCACCGCAAACAAGTAGGTATATTCCAACCAAAAAAAATATTTTCTAACTAGAAATTATGATAAATTTTAACATTATAATCAAGTACCTAATTATATTTTTGTAGCAATTGCGAAATAGATCAATCTGTACTTGATTATTACGCGTAAAAAATATTATTTTAAAAATGCTACGTCGGTGCTACGAAGCGTAGCGCTTAACACGTAATTCATGAAATTATTTCATGGATATATTCATTGTTTGATCTTAGAATTATTAATTCCTAATTTCTATCATATTATATAATCATTAATTCCTATTATAATAGTGTTTCATAAAAGGTTGTAGTAGGCCCCCATGAAAAAGAAAAATAAAGAAACTCAGAAGAAAATAATAGATACCGAAAATGTAACACCCTTTTAAATAGTAATTTTTCTTAAAAAGTTCTTGTTAATTTGCCTTACACATACCTACTCTAATGTGTGTACGATTCCCCAAAAGAATAACAAATTAAATATGAGCTCTGGAGTAGAGTTGAAATATAATTTCTAGCTAATATATTTTAAACCTTATGTTTTCGTGAGAATGTACAAAATTCGTTGCAGTAAATATATCATAAGTCTCTAAATTCGTGTCCATAATGTTCAGGTTGTTTGAACAGTAACATTAGCCGGTGCGGTGACAAGCGCCAGAGTGCTGCACTGATGCGTAATACGATACATCTGTGTTGTTTTGTTTGAGTTATTCAACATCTGTTTAATCGAAAAGTTTTTTGTAGAATAAAAAATGTTTAAGGAACCACAACCTTTATTTTTGCATTTACACATTTTTAAGTAAAACAAACATTCATAAATACATTGACGATCTAATTACAAGATTAGAGTACAATTAATCCTTCTTTCTGAGTCTAGCGCTAGAGATTTCGATGGCTTGGAGCCAATGTTTGATTTCCTCAGGACATTCAGGTTTCTGATCAGCTCCAGGGATGCCTCGGAACAGTGTCTCAGTGTCTACATTGATGAGGTTCTGTCGCGACAGGACTACAGCTCGCACGAAGCCATCGTTCAACGTGATGAACTTTTGTTCAATGAACAGCGTTTTGTCTTCCCAGTAAGCCAGCTGGAATTAACATTTAGACTTATTTAGCAAAAAATATAAAATCCCAAAGTCAGTGCACATAATTTAGATACTTATTTGATAAAGTTGCATAACTATCGGTGCTAATTAGCTACGACTGCTACATTACTATCTTAATCATTTTGTATATGTATTTTGTCCTCGATAAAGCTACTTACACTTTGAAATAATAAATAATAATAATATTTTTATATCTTAATAAGTTACTTTTTAGTGCATGCATTGTTTGCAAAAATATGATTTTAGTTGTCACTGTTGAATTTTTGGATTTCACAAAACCATCATTTGGATTTTTAGCAGAACTTGTGATAGTTATGAATTGTTTGCAGTCTTGACTTGTAGCCAGACTGTAGCTATTATATAAATGGTTATCACATAACCATGTTAATTTACATTACATTATACCTTTTTAATATTTGTACCGAGATGTAAGTAATTTAGCACCTTATTGTGTAGAGAATAAACTCACCTTAGTTTCGACCTTATAAGCACTGAAAATAGGGATGGTTCTCCTGTAACGGATGCTAGACGCGCCTTGCAGTGCGTGACCATCGACAGCCTTGATGTTTTCGTAAATACCGGTGCGGTCGTAGAAATGGAATCTCGCAAAGTCCAACTCTCGTACATAGCGAGCGTTGTTCATATGTTTCAGGAAGATATCTACATCTTGTGTAGTGCAGAAGCCTGAAATTACATAAGGATGAATTATTAAGTGATATTTTAATATACATAAGTGTACAACTGGCTGGAGAAGTTATGGATGATATCCCCTCAAAAAAAAAGTATTCAGACCATCAGCTGTAGCCAAATGACATTTAACGCTTGTCTACTTGTAGAATAGAAAACTAAATTATATGGAATTGACGAAAACTTTGACACTTGTCAGTGTTATCCCCATACATTTGGTTTTCTCTCTGTAGACAAGCGCTAAAGTGGCGTTTGGCTAAAGGCACTGGACAGTGGACAGTTTGAAACTTGCAATTTTTTCCCGACGTTCTAATACTTAGAATTATTTTTAAGTTTAACTTCAATATCAGAATTGGAGATGAAGGATCATATCACTATATGGGTGCATACATTATATTGTGTGTGCAAATTATAATAATTTACATGTTTATTTTCATACAACTATAACGATGACAGATCTCGTAGTCATCTAGGACCGAGAACCGACGGCATTTTCTTTTCCTTCGCATCGATTTTGCGACTGGTATCCGACGGCACGTGGTGGTGAGTGGTGACGAAAAGAATATTAGACCGTGTAATAGTGTGATACCGTGCGTCATTTCATTCAATGATCTCGTAATATTTGAAAAATCGATTTGATTAGAATTCACTGGATATGATATACTAATAAGATTGTCCCATCTGTCTATTTAAAAATGTTCTTATCATTGGAAATTATAACGGGATCATTATCTTGTTTACTGTTTTTTGTCAATTATCAATTTTTTGGTCTAGTTGTCGTAGGTAATCGTAGTTGTTTTTATTTTTAATCTTAATGTTTTTGGCTTCGCTATAATTACAATGGGTTGAGGACTTGTGGGTGTGTTAGTTTATAACAACTTATAATATCTTTGCATTTCGATGAGAGTTGTAAAAACATATAATTTTATTGGTATCTATATCTACTTAAACTGCCATAAACCACTTTTTGGCAAACACACTTGACAATTTACGACTTAACTACACATTTTTTGTGGCATGCGTATTGGTAAGTTTCTTAATGTTTTCATTTACATTAATTATAGTTGCTAAATTAAATAAATATTTTATAGGGATAATGTAATGAGGTATTGCTATAATATTTTCTAGAAATTTGGTAGTCGTATGTAGAGGTGGACCTCTACATACGACACTTCTACATACGACTTAAGACTTAACACTTTTTGTGATTTAGTAAAAACAAGTGTTATTGTAGGTACTGTGGAAACTTTTATGTATTTAATTATTTACGTTATTGGGTATCTACTTAATGGAAAATAACTGAAGTAAAGTAGATACCTACTAGGTACACCATACTATCATGACATGACAAATTAGGCCTAAAGATCTACTAATAAGTAGGTACCTATTCATTGAATTTTTTTCGTAACATGATAATTTTAATACCTGAGATTGGATAAATAGCACGCTAAAGCATTTAATATGTTCTTACTTATTCATTAACATGAAGTACCTAAATACAAATTTCATGGCAGGTGATGCATTCATTAATATACGCATAATTAACAAAAACACTGACTTACCGTAAATTGTGGTCGTATCATTAACACCGCATTTCTTTTGGAACAGTCTGCCAAGTCCAATTGTAAAAGCAATCCTTAAAAAGTAGTTGACATCCCAGAAGACGTAAGCAAGAGCTATTAAAGTCACTATTATACAATACATTGCTGGTATTATTGTGTAGTAAAATTTAAAAGGCCTAAATACTACGGTAATGTATGACAAAAAGTAATCGTAGGTCCACTCTAACCGCTCAAACAACACTAAGTTTTCTTAGGCTGACAACGTAATATAAAAGTTTTTAAAGTATTATGTATTCTTATAAACATTCCTAACGCGACATAACGTTAGTATGACAAAGACAGCAATGTTGTAAGTTCTGTTGTCCCTGTTTAACTTGTTACTAACTGTTAAGGTGGGATAGAGATGGCATGTTACTTGAATAGTGCTGAACGGTGGTTATTGAGCAGTTATCCGTCGTTTGTAAAGTGGTACAGGTACATTTACAAGTTCAAGTACAAGATCGTATAGTACCGAGTCACTGACCACTGCAACGGAGTGACGTGAAGATAGTTGCATTCAGGTGCAGTTTGTCCAACATGCAAATGACAAAAATCTCAGTAATGTAAGGAATGCTAACCATTGCACTGAGATGAACAGTTTAAAAACACCACTTGGGTACCATGACAGGTCTTGGAGCTTTAACGGCCAAAATTAAAAACCGATCTTGATTCAACATTTCCGGATTGATTTCTATAGGTACCATAATGTAAAAAAAATATTAACCACGACCTTTTCTAAATAGGTACCCAGATAACTTAGTACTTTAAGCTGTTAGGCAATCACCATCAATTTATTTATTCTTAGTGTCTTATTAAGTATCTTGCGTAACTAGTTTTGTAGCTGTTATTAATGCAATTTTAATATGTAATTCTAAACGACACATAATTGTACTGCATACAGATTGTGCAATAGGAAGTATTAAATGACATGAAAACAACATAGTAAGTATCCCGCCTTATATTCCCCGAAGAAGTGGAAAAAAGTACCTAGACATATTAAATGCCGCCAATTAATTAAGTATCTTTATCAGTTCAAACTTTCGAAAATGGCGTATAGAATTCGAGAACACTTGAAATGAAAAAAAGAACAAAAAATATTAAAATTTTCTTTAATTAATTAAAGATTCCTTTCTCAATTTCGCGCTGCTTATTCGCATGCTTTCCAGCCAGTGTTCAATATATTCAGGGCAAGATGGCCGAAGTTCTGAACCTGGCAGGTTAGCAAGTAAGGCGTCTGTTGAGTCCCCATTTTGTCCTATCGCGTGCTGTCTAGATAATAACAGAGAGCGAACTTTACCATCTCGTATGGTAACCACTTCATGTTCCAAAAATAAAGAACGATCATCCCAGTAGACGAGCTGAAAATTCAAGGATATTCAATGTACAAAATACATATAATAGAAAGTTTGGTTAATTCGGTTTAACATGTTGTACAGACGTACCTATTGTCAATTTCTATGTATGAGGGAACATGCATCATAATTATATGTTCACCTAACCCGTCGTGTGTCTAAACGTGGATCCACGCGAAACACAGTGTATTTTCTATTGTGTCTCATATGCGGGCATTCAAGCGGTTAAAAAACCCTAAGTATTTCAACAAGCAGTAAGTACAAACAGCCGAGGTTGCTGAATTAACTTGTAGTGCAATCGACTTCTGAAAAACGATTTCCAAACAAACCAACATAAGGTGAAAAGTCAGACACTGATGGTCGATTCGCTGCTTCGTCACAGGACTAATTTCGTATGCGCAAACTAAGTAGGTTATCGTAATCATGTACTAGTTACCTTGGTATTAATTTTGTAAAGCGCAAACAAAGGCACTGGATCATCGGTTACAGTAAGTGTACATCCTTGCAACGATTTGATTTTGAGCTCGCTACTTCTTTGGTAAATTCCGGTCCTCTCATAAAAATGATACCTCGCAAAATCAAGATCTCGAAGCAGCCTGGCTATTTTAATATTCCTGAAGTTTATATCACAGTCTTGAAACGTACAAATACCTGGGAATATAAATAAAACTGAATTATTTTTTTTTTGCTAATTATATAAGTAAGTAAATTAAATTATGAGTAGGTAACTGTTATTTAAAATTAACAATGATCAGTACATATGTACCACAATGTATTTACATGGGTACAAATCTTTAAAATTACCTATACGACTCTCCTTGACGCATTAAAAATATATAAATTGAAAACAGCTGAATTATACACGTGAATAGATTGTACCTAGCTTAACAATCTATTAGTTAAACATTAAGTATTGTATTTTCCTAATATAAACACCTAACAACACTACAATAATTATAATGAAGTACCTAACTACATAATCACAATTCCACTTACCGTATATCGTCGTTGTTTCATTCAAAGAATATTTCCTTTGATACAGCCTTCCAGTTAAAACTGAGATTAATGTTCTAATCAAGTAGTTAATGTCACAAATTATGTTCAATATTACAAACACTAATACAACGTATTGTAACATATTGGTATCAAAATGTTTCTTTGCCTTACTGCTACTGACTTTGGAGCAGTTTTTTATCTGTGGAACGAACGAGCGACGGATGTCATTGTATGTTAATACTACGCTGCTCGTCTTGACCTTTGTAATAGTATTTAGCTAGAATTTTAATTGTTCTTACAGAAAGAATCCAGACGTTCAGTTTTAAGTGTGTTGTTATTTTTATGTATGATATTGATTTATATATATATAACATCACGCCTTTTTATCCTCAAAGGGGTAGGCAGAGGTGCACATTACGGCACTTGATGCCACAATGTAATACCCATTTTTCACTATTTATGTTATGAATCCCATTTAATAAGGGGTGAGCCTATTGCCATATACTGGGCACAATAGGCTATTTGATTTGACAGTATTAAAAATAATGTCGTAATTGTTGATATTCGCATAGATTATGCTGTTTAAAAGCGATGACCATTAATCCGACTAAAAATAATAAATTAATTATTAAATAAACACCCAAAAATCGCGTCATGTTTTTAGCTGGTGTCTTTTTATTGAAAATATTCTGAATTGGCTGATTCTACGATGACGTCACAAAACAGCAAAATGACATGTGTTGTTGGAGTTTTGGGGATTAGGAGTTTGAGGGTATGTGCTAATTTCGTATTTATAACAGTTTATATTTGTTTGCAGAGTTGCACGAGAATCTTATGGAGATGGATGATACCATTGATTACGTCCATTTCCGTCGTGAATCTGGCCTTTGTACAGTCAAAAGCAGGATCTGTTCTAATAGTAGGGGAGCCCACGATGCTAAATTTGGATTTACTTGAGCGTCGTTGGGACCTACTGGATTATGAAGATATGCTGATAGAAAGAAGAAATGGTTTAGTGACAAATTTATTCCACCGGTGGGGGAAGGGAGAAACCACAGATCTTTGAAATTGTTAAGCGTAACTTGTGTTCTAGTGGTCGAGCGTGTCAGATATTGATAGTGTACATGTTCCATATGTATTTACTTAATCTGCTAGTTTGCATGGTGGGGTTGAATGTTTTGGAGAGTACAAACGAGAACCCTTCAAAATCGCCCCACTCTTGCAAATCAAGTTGGAATGGGCAGATCTTTTAAACGCACTTCCTTTAGCATGGTACTGACCTACCTTCCCTTAATCTGACGAAACTGACTTTATTTAGTCAGACTTTTTTTAATTTTTAGTCCCCCCCTTCTAATCAGATCGGATATATGGTGGGTATATTTAACATGACACTAGGTTTTCCCCATATGTTAATCTGACGCGCTCAAGTAACTACCGAAATCCCTTCATGGGCTCCCCTACTATAAACATAATGTGCGAGCTAGTTCTTATAATGTGACAATGGTGGTGGATGAAAATAAAGGTGAAATTGTGAATTGCCAATGTCTGGACTGTGTAGCTTCCGCTGGAGGTTGTAACCACGCTGTGGCCTCTTTAATGTGGGCCAATCGACGAAGTGGGGAACCTTCTTGTTCTAAAATGGAATGTTATTGGAAAAAGCCAACACTCTCCAGAGTAACATAACATAACATCCCGCCTTTTATCCCCGAAGGGGTAGGTAGAGGCGCACATTACGGCATACAATGCCATTGTACAATGTAACACCCACTTTTCACTATTTATGTTATGAGTCCCATGTAATAGGGGGTGAACCTATTACCATATACCGGCTTCAATTCCAGACTCCGTGCTGCTACTGAGAATTTCTTTAAAAACCCAGTAGTACTTTGCGTAACCCGGGAATCGAACCCGAGACCCCTTGCCCGGCAATCGCACTTGCGACCACTCGCCCAACGAGTTAGCCAATTATCTAATATAATCTATCTCTAAAAAGGTTTGAAAAAACCATTTTTACATTGGCTACTAGGCCCTTTACAACAACGAAACTATAGCTGTAAATATACTGAGTTGTAAGTCCTAACCCCTGTACTACTTACCTAGGAAATATAAAAATACTCTTGACTTTGTAGAATGAAATAATACTCTGATAAAGAAAGATTTGTATTGTCTAATCTAATAGCCATCCACCCAGTTTGTTCTCTGATCTGTCTTCGTTTGTTAGATGTCTACACATTTCTCAATGACGCACAAAATTGCCCCGAGGTGGGGAGATACCGATGTCCCATAGTCCCATACCAGTTATTTAATTTATTTAATACAACTCACAAACTGCTTCGTGTCAGTCGAGAAGTCACTAGAGTCAGTGCCGATGCTGAACACAATTCTTATGTCAATCCCAAATATAAGAATACGGTTGGACGATTTCATCTCCAACATTTTTATTCACTCAAAAAAGCAACTAGTAAGTAGCGGGTGTGTTAAAAGTAAATACCTATCTCATAATTTCATCCTTTTAATGTTGGTTAAAAAAACATATTATCTAATGCTATTAAGTACTACAGGTGACGCATATAGACACAAATAAAACAAAAGTTACAATATAAAAGATACGATTTAATAATAATATTAATAAATAACAACAGCAGTTTAATAAAAATTGAAAATCTACAAGCCTAAATACAAAATTCTTTGGCATTGGATTATTATGGCAGCATAATTTAGCTTGAAAGTAATAAAATACTAAGCTACGCTAAAGATACAATGCTAGATACAAATGGTACCTACAATACTAATGATACCATCAGAGTGACGTAGTAGATACGTAGATAGACCGTGTACGAAAATTATTATGCACGTGTCTAATATTCTTAATAAGTCTACCAGACGGACCTTAATAAAACATCATGTTTTATACATAGTGATCCTAATGATGGTTACACTGCCTACAATCAGGAGAGCACGGATTGCAGGGTGCTGGCGGTGCATGAGGGTGCTGTAGAGGCAGTAGCAGTGGTCCTGAGAGTGCAGGTAATGCTGGCATCGGTATCAACCAGTCAGAACCGCACACTCTCCCCATAACCAACGCCGGTAGTATTGGAGCTCGAGGGCCCACTGGACGGAACGCTGACCACCTAGACTCGACCTCTTCGGAACTTGACACCGACGCCTCGTACCCGCTACTAGTACTGATTCCTGGTATCTTGTCTCGCTGGTCCTGTTAATCGAAAGAATAATTGAACGAAACCTTTAACAAACTTTTTCTATTGCCAATTATAAACATGAAATAGGTACACTGATATGTCTATAGCACGTAGTTAAAATTGACAAACAGTGTTTTACTGTAGACTCTAATTAAAGCTCTACAGCTTTTATAAAAATTAGCATAATTGACCCTATTGTACACGAAATTAAAACGATATTATCTAGATATCCAAGTTAAATACTAACAACAACAGCAAGCAAAAGTATACAATTTCAAAAAATAAAAAATATTACATACACGCGTAGCATTGAAGTGTTCTACGGCTCGTAGCAAGTCGTGGTTGCATCGTCGTAGCACTAGTTCTAGCACAGAGCGCTTCTTGCCGGGAAACAGTTTGCGCAACATCTCTAGACCAGCTGTGCTTACTGCATTCTCACTTTCAGACCCTTCTTCACTTGGCCTGTGGTAGAAAATCAGAATCACATATTATTTGAACGCTACGTAAAATTAAACTTTATGATAAGATTCTCATCTTACACCATTCAATAAAGTAACTGTTTAAACGTTTCAAATTTTGTAACGAATTAATCATCTATGATAATGATAATCATGTAAGATAGTTATTTATAAAAAAAATTAACGTACCGCACTGACATAGAGGCCGAAGAATTACCAGCAGAATCTGGTGAAACAGTGCAGCAGTCGGGCATAGAGTCACTCGTCTCACTGTCGATGTGGATTGGCTGTAGGACAAATTATACAACACTCTAGATCCAAATGTTTCATAGGTATTCATGAGTACGTAATTGCTCAGTCTTTACCCCTAAAATTGGCCTTCCTGCCGTAAAATTACCATTGATCAGCAATTTACTAAGTCACAACAAAAACCTAAGCTACAAAATTAGAAGCTTTGTTTCTTACGGTATGGTCATCAGCAACAGAGTCGGGCTCCGGTCCAGGGCTGGGGCATGGGCCAGTGACTCTCATCCCATATATCCGACCTGGAGGTAGAGCTTCCAATGCTGTTCCACTTTCTACCGAAGCCAAGTGCAAAGCTATTTTATCTTCTGCGGCTTGCTGCCGCTTTAAGGCTACCTGGTGACAAGAGACAAGACTCGTATGAAAAATGTATATTTTTTATCTATTTTATGCGATTTTAAAAGCTTAACATATTTCCATGGATTGTACTAAACGTAAAGATAATTCCTCCTAACAAAACCTATACCTGAACTGTAATAAAAACTACGATAGAAGCCGAAGGGAGGAATGATAAATACATGATTGTATTACAGCAACCTCGTGCAGGAAATGTAATACTATCAAATTAATTTAGCAGAAAATCAATGACAAACACTTGGTGTTTATATTTGTTATCTGCGACCACCCTAGGGACTGCACCGGACGGCCGGCGAGCAGGGCGCCGCCCGGGGCCCTGCGGCTTCATTGCAAACGTAAACAGAACTCAATCTCCAGTAAATCAAATAAAACGCTTTAGGAATTTATATTAGCTCAGTGGCCTTTGTATAAATACTAAAATAGAGAGAAATGAAAAGGAAGAGGGTAAAGTTTGAGGATAAATCAATGAGCGAATCCGTTTAACTAATGCGATTTCAACACAACATTGGCAGTAGGTATCTATATCCCTTTATGATTAATGAAAGCGCGTTATCCCAGATTTGAGATGCAAGTGGTGGGACATCGACAGCGATGCATTACTGTGTAAACTGATCGATGGTTCATCCGGCGTCTACAGTAAACACGTGCCACTTGTTTAAATAAACCGAGACGCTGCATTAGCTGGTCTCGATTTCACTACATTAAAACACATTAACTCCTCTAAATTGCGTGTTATTTCTGTACTAAATAAGGTATTAGTGGGGAATTTCCTCGTTTCATTGGATCGATTCATATTTTTGTTGCTCGTTTCATCGTTAATTGTTTGGATTTTGTTCTGATGTTTTTTCCTTTTACGTTTAGTTTTGATGAAGTTTTTAGATTTAGAAAAAACATGAAAATGTATTTTTAGGAGAAATAAAATATGTATCTGTGCATTATGTTTAAACTCTATTACTTGTCATAATTACACATACTATTTTAGGTAGGTACTATCTAGTGCTAAAGCATTTACTTTTTCATAAAGAACTATACACATACATAATCCTCAAAGAAACTATCGGTTAGTTATGTCTCTCCACGTCTAGATTTTTTTGTGTGCTATTGACAACTTTTCGTGGATATTTAGTAACTTGTATCTAATGGGGTTTTTGTCCTGTATTTTAATTTAGTCGCGTTTAAACTTTTTGTAAAGTCAGATTATAAAAATGGTTAATTTAATTAAAACTTTTTTTAGGTGTAGGTATAATAAGTAGGTTATGTCTAACAAATCTTGATAAATTAGTCCATGTAAGTTATGGGCAAGTCGTAACTGCGTAGCTGTAGCCTATGTAGCAGGCAGTAGCCGTGTAGCCTTAGCCAGATAGCAATTTAGCCGCGTAGCCACAAATAAATGAATCGACCTTTACTAAGAGAATGAATCCTAGAAATGATTACTTTTCAGTATGTGAGTGAAATTGAAAATTAGGTATAATTATTTGATGATGACGGTACAAACATGGGCTGTCCACTGCTTGACATAAGCCTCTAGGCCTCTCCAATAGCACACCACAAAACTTGATCTCTAGCTCTTCTCATCCAATTACTATAATCCACTAATATAATTAAATATTTTTAGAAGTAGGATGCTATAAGTAACGACCCACTCTAATGCTGGCGACTTTTTCTATTCTTCATTTTCTAGACTTTATTACCTATTTTTGCTTAATCTAAGTAGGAATCTCATCTCATAATTTAGGAACGTACAGACCAAACTTTACAAAATAATGATTTTACTGTATCATAAAGATAATTAAGTTTTTTGACCCCAAGGTGGGATTTTTATTTAAGGGCCGATTATCAGTTTATTCATAACTGTAGATTAAAATAGACATTTGACAGTATTTAGTATTAAATAATTATTTTTTTAATGGGACAAGCCCGCCACAACCTCCCAAAACCGCTGCAACTCCTGTAAGCCAGGATCTACAGTAGATACAACCATGAAAACACCGGAACATTGAAGTCCGGCGCGTCCCAGGGACATGAGTAACTGTCTTGGTTCCCACAACGAAGTGAATCAGAAGATATTATAAGAGGAGAAGAAGAAAAAACTATAGTTTCCACTTCCCTCGGTGAATTACTGAAGGAGACAGAATGAATTAAGCCTGAAGGCACAAAGAAGAGACTGTACAACTGGGTGAGTATTAAAGAATTGTCAAATATTCAAAGTTATCCTCAGTTTTTATCTGGTGTTCGAAAAATCGGCTCTAAGATATCATTTAGCCCTTAAGACTAAGTACCCATTAACAATATACTGTAATACATTTTTATATCAAGTTATGTTTAAACTAAGAATACCTAGTTTCCTTTATTAGCACTTTTGTAAATGTCCATAGCACTTGTTTTGAAACTTTTTAGAAACTGGTTTTTAGTATAGTCGCACCGGAGATAGTAGGTATAGTGGCATAAGTATTGATATAAAAAATACTTTGTTGTACAAGCATAATTTGCACAGCTTTTGTTCTTATTTAATGTCAGTTCTCTTTTATAAACTTCAAAGTACCTACTTACCGAAGTTAATTATTATTTTTATGAAGAAAAATTAATTGAGGACGGTACCTTCCTGCGTAATATGAATCGGTTTATGAAGAATACAGACATAGGGCACCAGGAAGGTATACCCGTACACAAGTGAAACAGACTCATAGGCAGATAGATACCTACTCATGACCGACAAACGGACAGACGGTGATTTAGGTAATTAACCGTCCGTTACCGACCGTTACCTAGGTAGGTACTTACCTAGGTGCATAGAGTAGTTGAAAGGGTATGAAAATTAAAAATCAAATTAGTTCATCGGTTAGATAATGAAAAAATATTTGACACTATTTTTTTGTTTTCTACTACGTAAGATGGTTAAGTACTAATATTAGTAATTTTCTTAAACGATCAATTCCGATTTGGCTGAATATTGTTATCTAATACTAATTAATGTTAATCATTGTACGATTTTTACTCTTCTTTTTTTACGTGTTAGGTCAGTATTTTCTGGTCATTTTTATGGGGGTGAAGTGAGAGGGAGTATCAGACTCATACTGACTAAAAACCACTCCGTTCCTACTCCTGCATTCGAGCCGGAGCCCCGGTAAATTGTCTCCGCGGCTCACGGAGCCGATATTTGATACGGATCAAGTATATTCCAGTCTAAATAACACGTTTCACCAAATATTTTTGTGAATTAAATAATGTAAAAGATAGATATTTGTAAGTATTTTATACCTCAGCACATACCTGAGCAGCCATAATTCTCTGCCTCTCCTTGATCAGTCCACATTTAGGGCACTGGCAGAGTCGATAGGCACAAGCTTTCTTATGACCTCGTAAACTGGAGATCAGACCATGGTTTCGGCAACGAGCACACTTGGGGACCCTTGCACGACCACTATTCATCATCAGAATCACTCAATAATCGAATACACTGAATTAATCTCGTAAGGGACGTTACTTTTTTTTTCTTGGGTTTGTAGCACTACGTAGAGGCACTTGAGATTATCAACTTAGATATTCGCGAGTTTAAACGAATTAAAATTTCTGATACAAATGAAAATGACACCAATGATATTTTAGATACTCAAAAACAATCAGGTAACAAACATTTAACACTGTTTCACATAATTAACTGTACACGAAGCGCTGAGAGAGCCCGCCCGCCCATAATACACTCCGCCCTGAAACTAATATCGATATGAAAACTAGATGTTCGAGATGATAGATGAATGTGAAACTGGGAGGAGTAACAACTGCTGTATCTGAAAAGAGGTTCTTGGGAAAATGAACTTCATTTTCTAAGGAGTTAAACTGAAGTTGGTGTATCGCAGTGTATCGACGTCGCAACATCCCGCTCATCCCGAACCGCCCTTCTCTCCAGAGCGACCAATAGGAACGTGCTCCCGTTAGGATTGGTTACAAACTTAGAAAAACAACGGAAGCTGATCCTTTATGATTGTGTTTCATTTAAACAAGCAACAGTATTCTGTTATACTGTGCAAACTTTGAGTTTTTTGTTCAGTGAGGAACTACAAAAATATTATGTAGGTGTGTAGTCTTGTCTACAAATAGATATACTTGTAGATATGCAGATACATTAGATATAATATACATAGGGTATACATACATAACATAACAACACGCCTATTATCCTAGGAGGGGTAGGCAGAGGTGCACGTTACGGCACTTAAATGCCACTGTACAATGTAACACCCATTTTCACTATTTATGTTATGAGTCCCATGTTATAGGGGGTGAGCCTATTGCCATATACCGGACACATTTGCAGACTTCGTGCTACTACTGAGATTTTTAAAAATCCCAATATTACTCGACCGACTCCGACCCGGCAATCGGACCCGAGACCCCTTGCCCAGTAGGCGCACTTGCGAACACTCGGCCAACGAGGCAGGTATAATTATATGCATAGATATAAGTATTGCACACTTTAAAATTATCTAGTATTCTCGGTTTTAATTCATAAGTCGGTAAGTACCCTTTTATTTGGTTAGTACCCTTTTATTTGGTTAGTACCCTTTTATTAGGTTAGTACCCTTAACCGACGAGCATGCATGAAAATATTGATGACTGTTAATGAAGCGAAAGAGGTATGTAAGAATCGTAGTAATTGGCGTTCCTTAGTCTCTGCCTACCCCCATGGGAGACAGGCGTGAAGTTATGTATGTATGTATGTACTCCCGCGCGGTATTGATATTAGCGTGATGTTTTGTAGTCTATAGTCTTCCTTGATAATTGGACTATCCAAAACAAAAATAAGTTTTCAAATCGAACCAGAAGTTCAAGGGATTAGTGCGTACAAACAAACAAATAAACTATTCAATTTTATACAATAAAACTAGTAATGGATTATAAGAAATAAGACATAAGATTACACTTTTAGATTTTTTGCCTACCTTTTTAGTGAGGGAGTGATAATTGCGACTATCTCTGATTCAATTGCCGGATCGGCTAAAGTACTTAGAGGTATTACTACCTTATCATTATCTTGTACTAGCTTTTACCCGCGGCTTCGCTCGCGTCACAAAAGGATAAAAAGTAGCCTATTATTTAATCCAGACTTCTAACTTTACGTCTGCAAAAATTCAAAGCAATCGGTTGAGTAGTTACGGCGTGAAGGTGGAACAAACAAACAAACAAACAAAAAACAAACTCACTTTCAGATTTATAATATTAGTAAGTAAGTAAGTATAGTAAGGAAAGGATAAGGATATTAGGTAAAGTACCTATTACTGAAAATTTAGTCATAGGAGTCACCACTTTTTGAAGAAAAGAAAATAAGCGCGGCATCCGTAGCAAATTCTATAATCTATTCAGAACCCGTTGATCTTATCTGGCCCTGGTAGCTGGATGTATGAATTCAACTGAACAAGGTCGTGGCGGAGGTAATTCGCCAAATTATCAGCGCTAAGTTTTACTATACCTAGAAAAAATCTAAAGCAGACGAGTTTGGTTACGCGGGACTCCCGCATAGGTACGCTATGAGCGTCATGCGTATGCCTCGTAGGCTCGTAGCCGTAGCATTAACTAAGTATAGTACGCTTGGTTAATGCGACACTGTTTTTTTTTAGTTCAGTATTTAGGTAACAAGGTAATTTACGTTGGGATTAGGAGAATCTGAGCTGATTTGATGATGATAATTAGAGCCGTAATTTGGTAGGTTTTACTTACTTACGTTAGGTAATACCTACTATATTTCTTGTAGTAGTAGGTAGTAGTCGATAATAAATATAGCGTTTCTTTTCTTTTTAAAACGTTGAACACACTAGGACTTTGACTGTGTCGTGGCTACGTATACAAACATATAATATCACATGCACATAACACTCAGACCCGAAACAACAATTTGTGGATCACGCAGTTGCTCCGTGCGGGAATGCAACCCGCTAACATGGCATAGCAGCTAGTTGCTCAGCCACCGCGCCAACCGTGCAGTCAATAAGCTATAGCTTTTAAGTAATTACCTGTATAACTAAGTGCTATGTATTGTATTAATAGTATTTATTTCTCTAACTAGCTTCTGCCAGCGGCTTCGCCCGCGATCCCAGGGGTAAAATGCCTATGTATTACTTCATACCATAATCTACCTCTATTCAGAATTTCATTCTGGTCCTTTCAGTCATTTTAATATGACTGAGTAACAAACATACACACAAACACATAAACTCACATATTTTTACATTTATAATATCGGTTCAAGCTAATCTCAATCCCCTTTTTTTTTAATGGGGGAATATCATCGAATGACTGCTCCCGCCTGGGTGAGGCGGGAGGGAGTGTCAGACTCTTACTGACTAAAAACCACCCCGTTCCTTCTACTGCACGTCGAGTCGGAGCCCCGGTTACCCGTTAGGTTCTCCACGACAATCCCCTACCCTACAGTTACAATCCCCTACCTTACAGTTACAGCGTAAAGTCCACTGCGGGCAACTTACATTCGACAAACTTATATTTGCGTTTGGTACAGTAAGTGTGCCTAGGGATTGAACCGCACAATTAAGTTTGTTAGCGTATTTCATGTATTTTAGTGTTTCTATACCGATTTCAATTTCAGTCGCGGAGAACCTAACGGTCGCGGAGAACCTAACGGGTAACCGGGGCTCCGGCTCGACGTGCAGGAGAAGGAACGGGGTGGTTTTTAGTCAGTAAGAGTCTGACACTCCCTTCCGCCTCACCCAGGCGGGAGCAGTCATTCGATGATTTTCCCCCCTTAAAAATACCGATTTCAATGATTATTTTTTTATTAAATAGGTAATATTGTTGACTTTTTTAATTTTGTATGAGTGAAAGTATTATAAAGAATCCGAACTGCTAAGCTATCGGGAGTTACATGTGTTATTGTGAATCAACCATAAAAGATAGACACACCAGTCTTTATGCTGTTGTGAAATATTTTCTACCTAATTTTATGTAGAACATTTCTTTCATATATAATTTATATGTAGCTTTAACCATTAAGGCTGCACACGCGACGGAAGCAAATAATGGAGTAATTTCTCCCGTTTTCCCAACACTTTCCTTCACTGCTTTGCTCCTATCGATTGTAGCGTGATGAAAAGTATACTACAATCTCCCCAGGCGTATGAAGAATAATTGTACCATGTTTGGTTAAAATCAGTCGAGTAGTTATAGAATAAGGAACATACAGATAGACAGACAGAAAGACAAAAATTTTACTAATTGCATTTTGGCATTAGTGTCGACCGACGACGAGAGTGACCTGATAGTTATTTTGGAAATATATTTCATGTACAGTTTTCATGACCTCTCTACAGATTTATTATAAGTATAGATAAGTCTAATATAAGTGCCTCATTTTCTGAGTCTGTAACATCTTCCTTAGGCAAACCTTGCAGTTGGTAGAAACCACTTTGAGAAGTAAACATCTCGTAGAAGGATCTACAACATCTTATTATAGAAAACTGTCACATCTATTTATCAAGTACTACTCTGCTCGGAGTCTCTCACAAGTATTGAATCCGAAACAAGAAATAAGAATGAGAGAATTAAAGGTATCCACATAGCCCAAAGGATAAGCTAGCTAAAGTGGAAGTAGAGAGCTGATCACATCTATCAAAGACCCGTCGAGTTTCAACTCATATTGGTTGAAGATATCTGGTTCAAAATTAAGTACAAGACTCCACTTCACGCACAAACATACATAAATAGTAAGTTAAATAAAAGCATAGTAAAATAGAATATTAACTACCCATCTTTATTTTTGTAATATAGTAGACAGACAATATAAACAATAATAAATTTGTATGAGATTGAAACTATAAAATAGTTATACTACACAATCTTACCAATATGTGCTAAGTTTAAATTATTTTTAATAATAACTACATTCCTCAGTAATCAAGAAAAAAATATATATACTGTATTTCAGTTTCCTGAGCTTATTCTTACACTGGCATCACATGCCACTTGATTTTTACTTTGTTTCATAAGAAACAAAGAGTTATTATCATTTAGATTTCTTCTTTTCATGTTGCTTAGCAGCCTTCTTCTTCATGATCTGCAATCTCTTATCAGCAGATATAATGTTGATGTTGGGAGTCACCACTTTAGAAGGAGATGAGGAAGAGGAACTACTTGAGGATATCTTAACCGGAGTAGAGGAACCCGATATGTTAGAAGGAGACTTGGGGGTAGCCTTGATGTAATTTCCAGTAATCCCTTGTGATGCCAAACAAGAAGCACATTGCCACCCTGCTGCTACATCGTTGTCGCTGATTACAGGCTTGTGGCAATCCTGCAAAAAAAAATTAAGATTTTTGGTTAAAACAGTGAAAAAATAGTTACATATTAGTATAAAATATACAAAGTAATGAATGCCACTCTAAACATGTACAATGTTGGTTTCAGAAAATACAGAACTGATTCAAGAACTTGTATAATTACCTGATGATAAAGAGCACAGCATACATCACATTCCACCAAGCGATTGCCAGCTTGAACTGATATCTGTCTGCATACAGCACAGGTCAAATCTTCTTCTAATAAATCCAGAGATAACTCTCCATCAATAACAGATCCGTCATCGTTTTCACGCTCGGGTATTTGTATTTGCTGTGGACTTTGTTGAGGCAGAGCCACAGTCTTGGTAGTAGATGATTTTTCGGTCTTATGTTTAGATCTTGGTGATTCCAACTTTTCCTCAGCCAAATACTTCTTCGGTAAAACGTTGCCAAGGGTTTTAGAACTTCCATAAGTCTGACGAATGTGGTCATCTAAAGTCAACCGCAGTTGTTCAGTGGAATCAGATGCACTTGAATGCAAATATTTTAAGCATAACTTTATCGCAGGGTCGAAATCTATAGACGACATTCTGCTTTGTAAGTAACAAAGTAAAGAAATGTTTTAATTATTCAGTAGTATGCAAGAAATGCAATTAAATGCCAATAAAATGAATGCAATTTTTTTAAAAACACGATTTCGCTTCTTCCCTTGACAGTTCACAGTGACAAACGGGAACCGGGAACAACATTATGTCAAAGTCAATAGGACAGTGAGAGAGAGATAAAGAGAACAACAGATAATAAATACATAAATAAACCATACCGCGTGTAAAAATTCGATAAAAGATTTATTTATAGAATAGAAATACAAAAATAATTCATATACAGTCTGATGAAGAGTAAACTATTCAATAGCTCCATTTAATTTAATCTTTTACATGGTTAAAGATTTTTAGTTTTTACGCCAACACTAGATAAAAAGTCCTTTGTATGTTTATGAATCATGCCAAATGTCAATGTCAAGTCTGAAACTGCCAGAATGCCAGACTGACATTTACAATCATTTCAAAAAACTAGATCGAGCACAGTGGCGATAAATTCAAATTTATTTTAATAACAATTAATCGTACATAAAAATGAGTTTGCAGACAATACTTCTAAGTCTGTTATGCATTTGTAGCATCTGTAACAGTGACATACAAGTAGGACCAGATCCTTGGAACTATGAAGTTGTGCAAAGACCAGAAGAAACTGATTTACCACCAGATCTTAGAACACCTTTAAAGAAAGAAAGGCATGCCGAATCTAAATTTGGCTTTGGAGAATGGTGGTTTAAGAGATTACTCGCCATTATGCTGAAAAATGGACAATTCAAGGTTTATACAACTTTTCTTTTACGTTTTGTTGGTAAAGTAAACACAAGTGGGACGTCAGAGCAATAAAGTTTCGGAATCAATTTCCGGGTATGGTAAAGTGATATAACTGACGAAAACAATTTTTTTTATCTCTACCCCTTTGTATATTAGACTGATGTTGTGTTTACTACACCTTTTAATTTTTTTTTAATATCTTTACTTATTTAGGTTTTTTCTTACAAAGGTATGTTAGCGTCATACCCTTATCTAACTTAAAACTAACTACATGTATTTATAATTATATAATTGTTACTAACTTAACTTCCTTATTATTGTGGATCTAAGTGAAGCGGATAGTGCTGCGGCAACTTATTTGTTATTGTACTACTCATTCAACATCGATGTACATAAATGTATTAACTTTTAAACTTTACAGAAAAATGAAGAGGGCAGTGTCGATATCTCTCTTCAAATGAAGTTTGAGCCTGAGAGATGGCAAGTATTAGACGAGTATTTAAAATCTGAATCTCCACTATCTGATGATAAGTTCAGGCGCACTATAGGATTCGTTGAAGAAGCTATTTATAAGCCAACTATTACTGATAAAATTGTAATGGCATGGAGTGATTATATTCAAGTATATCTAATGGAATATAAGGTAAATTTGCTAAAAAATAAAATTACGATTGTGATAAGATTATGATTAACTACTTAAACAATTTATCTGTTTCTTTGAAAGTTCTAATAAATTGTAGTATATTTTGTACTTGACCAATGTTAGAGATTTTATTTCCATAAAGGTTAAATACAGGTATTCATAGATGAAAACTATTTTTCATCTATGAATACCTGTGCAATCTTATAAAATAAGATAATATATTTTATAACTAGTCAACCGTGCAGTCAAATTAACTAGTTAATTTGCACGGTTGGCACGGTGGCTGTGCGACTAGCTGCCGCGCAACGTGTTGCGGGTTCGATTCCCACACGGAACAACTCTTTGTGTGATCCACAGATTGTTGATACGGGTCTGGGTGTAACGTGTATGACATATTGTATGTTTGTAAACGCACCCATGACACAGGAGAAAATCCTAATGTGGGGCAACGTTTTTTAAAGATAAAGATAAATTGTTTATTTTCAGACATATATTACTCTGCTGCTGGGTCTACTAGCTGCAGTTGGAGTAGTGTTGTGGCTCTGGAAACACATGTCTCACAAACATGTTGTCAGCATTATATTAGCCCTCTTATATGTCTATGAAGTTTTTATATCTTATAAAGTGAGTATTTTTATCTTATCTTTTTCATAAAATTTATTACAGGACAGTATAAAGTATATGTATAATTTTAAAAAAAAGACAGATGTAATATGGATGGAAGGCAAAAAACTGATACATAATAAAATCTTTAAAATGAAAGGAACTGATAATACATTGTATTATATTGTGTTTCAGGAAGCTGAACAACAAGAGTATGAGAAATTCGTGTCTGCTATCAATGCTTGCAAATGGTACTTCTGGACCACAGAGTGCACAGTACCACCACCAGATCCACTATTGTTCATGAAACACATGAATCCACTAAAAATAGCAATCAGAATGTTCACATCCTTTATATCTGAACCTATTGTTGCTATTAACTCTACCATAAAGATCATGCTCCATAGTGTTACAGGTAAGAAAAGAAATGGCTACTTATGAGTACTTACTTTAATGTCATCAATAATTTACGTATTATAACAATTTTACATTTTTTTTCCAGATGGCCTTATGTTCCCATTTGATAAAATAGTATATGGATTTTTAATCTTAATTGTCAACATATCATTGATATATCTTCTTGTGATGGTTGTGTTCAATTTTATATTCAATATTCCATTCAAATTGAACTTCCTTGGAGTTGTTAGTGTTGGTGTTAGACAAAATAGGACGTCATTGTTTTCTACAAACAGAAATGAACAGGGAGAAATACGTAATAATGATGCAGATAGAATAAGTGGTGAGAGATTAGACAGACTTTTAAATGTTTGCTCCCTTGCTTTGGCAAACACTAACAATGTTCCAAATAGAGCCAATTTAAATTCAATGAACAACAATGTCCCGATGTTACGAAGGTCAGCAAGCACTGGGCGTCTACCTAACTCTTCATCAGACAATAACGATCAATTGGCCATAAACAGCAACTTTAGGAGAAGACCAAATGTTGGCAGGGGTGATGGGGATCATTAATTTTCATGCATTGTTTTTAATATGAGATTTTTTAATGTTAACATGCTTTTATTTGTGTATATTTTACGCTTGTAAATACAAATAATTGATATTATCTAATAATTACTGTAAATCCTTTGTTATAAAAAGAATAGCAATTATTTGTATTGATTGACTTTCTGTGATAATAAAGTATAACATTAATTTTAGGCATCAATTAATTCCACTTAGGCTCGAAACTGCGTCGCGACGCAGACGTCCGCGACGACATGGCGGACGTCCGCTTAACGCAGTTTCAGCCCTTTAGTCTAGCAAATAATTCTATCACGTACTTATGTAGTAAGGAATTATTTTCATGATATTATTATAGTCTAAACTATATCCTTACTGTTTCATGTTGTAAATGTAGGGAATGCAGGTTGAGTGTGCAGGCTATTTGAGTTTACTGGACAAACAGACAATGGATTTAGGAATATATTCACAAAATTCTACACTATAAAAAGATATATAGAATTTCTATTCATTTCCATATATTGACGGGCATGCATGATGCTTAATAGAAATTCTGAATAAATATTGTATTCTCTTTATTTTACATTATATCTTTACACACTTTTATTAATGATATAAACGAATATAATGTTAATGCTCAGTCCATTCTTCACATGTGTAGTTATAGTAGATGAATGAATCATTTGCCTTGAATATTTTACATTTTTACGAATTAATATTTATAAAACACTGATATTTATTCAACGTAATCTAACGCTTAATGTAATATATTATTATCTAAACTCTAGGTTGTACTTGTAAAGAAAAATATTGCGTTGAAGTTGTTTTTTCTTACATTTTTATACTTTTATGTGTCTAAAGAAATAAAACCAAAACATACTTTTCATATTTTATTTTCGTGATGCCTTAGTGAGAAGTGTTACAAACAAGATCAATTTAATACATAATTGGGAACATATAAGCATAAATAATTATTTACGGTATTATGAAGATTTAAGCAAATTCTAGTCTTGATTTTAAATAGACGCTTACACCTACACTGCTATTGGTCAACAAACATTCGCAACCTCGGTATACATAACATTGGAAAAAAAAAACAATAATTATATACAATACAACTACAACATACGACCTCCATCAAGACAGGTCAGATTGCTTACAACATTATCAACAAAGTCTGACCTACCCTGAGCAAACATTAACCGTGATCAAACGAGGCGCCTCTACCCAACTACCCTATTAGTAATGCAACCAGGTAAATATTAATTAGGTAACTCTTATAGATGGACGACTAGAAAAAATTACTCTACTAATAATTTGTTGTTTAAGAAATCGTCAAATGTTTGTTCGAGTTAAACAGCAGAACAAAAGCTTCAACTAAGTTCTTAGTAGTCGTTAATATTTCTAGTAAATTTTTGGATTTCTATACATTTCTAGTTATAAAACTGTTAAGATTGCAAAAGGATGCTGATAATTATCCTATTACCTACTTCCTATATTATTATTGCCGTGTCATACATTGGGCACCATTTTCGAAGATATTAAGGAAAAGAGCAGAGAAGATAGTTATGATGTGATTAGAAACGGAATGTAAAGTTCGCAGTAAATATAATGTAGAAACTTGTATATAAAAAAATCTATAATATTATAATCCGATATTACGTCATCCTAATTTAAAGCGTGTGCTGTATTACATTATAATGACCTCTTTGATCATAAATTAACCATCAAGTCTACTATACAGTACCAACTGGATGAATCGACTCACATTTTCGACTCGTTCACTCTATGCACCTTTACAATATAAAACACTATTTCTGATTATATTTAATGTTGATCCTTCGTTGATTATAGAATTCCTCTAAAATCTAGCTACCAGAACTACAACTCCTAGATCCATACTCGTGCTATATAAAAGTAATTATTTATCGTAAGAGAGGATGAGATACTGTATCAATTAGCCAGAATATAAATAGGTACAGGATATAGACTGCTAACCGGGGCGCTATGACGCCATCCGATAGGGAGGAATATATAAGACATCTTTCCTTTGTTTTGTATTTGTACTGTAATTGGAATTTAAAAAAATTAAGCGACAGTGATTCGAATTACACGCGCGGATTAAAGAATAAAAATCCGTGGACATAAGCCAAAACGCTACGTTGTTATACAGGTAAAACTACCTAATCGATTTATTCAATGCTGTAAAATGTCGAAGATAAAATTAGATGTGAATAGTGCGTATATGAATCATTTTCAGATTAACTTACAGAAATGTTGTTTAAACTGCATCAGCTAAAAATAAATACGGAAACATGAAAGACAAACGTTCCAATCAAACCAACAAAATTATTGCTTCTACTTTGTTAAGAGATTGAAGTTATGTACTGATAGAACCTTTGTTCTGTTATGTAGTTGTAATAAATCGGTAGATTATTAATAAATAACAAATACAAAAACTAAGTTAAAGATAGAAATGTTAGCTTTGGATTGTGTTTGCTATTAGCTTACTGCAGTTTAGACGATTCTGAATGGGATAAAGTAGGAAGACAAGACTCACGAAGTTTAGACATATAGAATGCACATAAAAATGTAAAGAAATAAGGATAGACGAAAATACGAAGAGTATAAAAGATAGAATACAACTACTACACTGTTAACTTACGTCAATCAACATGAAACAACTTTGGTCCAGCTATAACAATTCAGTGTTTAACAATTTTATCTCTATAAATACAATATTTTATAGATTCTGCCAATAAGCAAATATTCATAATTAAAACGTGCAAATACATTATCAACTTATGTGCATAATATTCAAATGTTTTTAGAAATTATTATATTAAACAGAATGTAAATATTAATTATAATCTTAAATAGTACTGATATCGAAACAATCAAGTCTGCCGATCAATTTACCCCTCACGGTATAGTAACAATTTTCAATCAATTAAAAATATATTTGGCATGAAATTAAAACATTTTACATAAAAAATAAATTAAATAGCCTATTTATGACATGACTGAATGTAAACTGTACCTAAGAGTGGAGCTACACTTGGAATTTTCTGTTTGATTAACTGGATACTTGTTTTAGTCACCAGTCGCTGACGATAGACGCAGACCCTCAGTCTAGAACGCTATCTAAAGTCGTTTTACATTGATTGCTGCCAGCTACCGTCAGTCACAATGCCGGTTGCGAACATTATTATTGCAGTCACGCACGATTCAGGAACTACGCATTTCAGTGCTTGAAATTCTTTACTTTTATTTTACAAACTAGGTAGCTATGAACACTACACATTTTCCTGAAGTGGTTATGTATAGTAAAAATGGAATGGAATGTAAGTGTAGCTTCACTCAGGTTTCAGTTATACCAGCACTGCATTTTAACCACTTAACACTTCATATTATGCATACAGAATATTTAAAAATATATTAAATTTGTACAGTGATAATCGACTAAATACTTATATTTCATGGACAAATCTATATAACTGGATATGTGAGTGATATTAAATAAAGTGCATTATATAACTAGCGACAGCTACGTTTAAATATTATAAATTCTAGATAAATGTTTAACCATGAACAATATATAACAAATAATTTTCGAACTTAAAATCGATAATGTCATCGCGAGATGATTATTCCTGGTTGCTACAGTACCTACTTAAGTATAAGTACCTATATATTGTCGAATATTTTTAATATTATTTTTCATTTAATCATAGTCCTGTCATAGTTGAACATGAGTTTCATTCTAGCAAATAAGATTATTTCTAATAGCATACTGAGTACACTAAGTACCTACCTCAGCTCTAATTAAAGTCAATGGTTGGCCGGTATGTTTTTATTAGGCAAGTGCATCTGAACTTTTCTTTCCAAGAAATGTTCAACGTAGGTTACCATGACTTGTGCTTAAGAATATATAACTAACCAGGTGTTGTATATTCCACCTCCATTTGACTCTGACAAATATCAAAAGTCTACCTGTCTATTATAATATTATTATTGTACTTTAAATTTCATATCTGAGTAGGCTACTACTTCATTACTTGGATATAAGAGTTCTATTTTAATAGGCCTCTGGCTATGGCCTATGGCTCTCTGGTTTCTCTCTAGACAACTAGACCTAAACACTACCTGCAGGCTTACTCTTGAAACTAATTTCAATGCCAATTTTAATCCAATAAAATCTCAATAATTATTCAATATCCACTCCATACAATGCAATGTGACGCTAGTGTTTAACTTAACTCGTCGAGTACCGTATTTATAGACAGAATTAAAGAACAATAGGTTGCGGTCACCGGTGACCGCTCGGTGTTTGACAGTTTAGAAGTATGAGACATCACAATATCAATATGAAATGGATTTAAGAGTAAGCCCCCAGGTATCTCTAGACACCCCGGTTGGGGACTGGTCGTACGATTATGGTGTCATTGCTATCCCAATGAAATAGACCTCTTATTCTCGCTGTTTCTCTACTTTCATTCCAACATATTATCGTGTTCTAAAGCTTAATGCTTCTAGTAATCTAACTAAGGTAATCTCAAGTAAAGAATGGAGCTATACAACCGAAATTGCGCCGCTTTGGCAGTACTTCAAAATATGTCTCCAACATCATACATGCATTTATACATCATTCTGACCTTGATGTCAATTTTTGTACAGAATTCTACTATTTGGCACTGACATAACTTCTCATAATGACATTACCCATCTTTTAATAACCAAAGTACCAAATTAAACATTTCTTTTTAAATGTCACTACATATTTTAGAAACAAATAAACTTGTAAAACAAATTGTAAATTACACTCAAACTTGTCTTATGGTCCTTATCTTGTATATGGAATGTTATTAAAAAAATGGTTTTACATAATAATATATAACTATACTTAAAATATACAATGCTTGTCACTATATGAAAGTGTTTTATAGGCAATATTGTTTTATATAACAGCTCAGTATGTATAATTCAATAACAGTAAGTCCTAAAAGACTTAATTTCGTTGTATTTTCACACTAACAATATATGGAATATTTCTCCCCTCTTTGTCATGTCAGTCAATATTAAATTATTAATAGCTAACAATTAGCAAAATATGTAGGTTTTCAATGACTTCTAAGCTCCATCACAATGGGAACTAATATTATTTAAAAGGCATTGTAATTATTATTCTACTTCTTGCTTTTAAATGCAATATGGGCAATACTTACATTCTAGCTTTGGTAAATAATGTGGTTGGGTCATGGATTTAATGACTAGGATCAAAATGACTAGGAATTATTGTTATACAATTGGTGGGGTAAGATAATATTGGAGTTTTTTATATTTACATGATTCGGCACTTCTCTCTTCCACTTGCAGAGGCTTCTCCACCGTCTTTAGTTGCTTTATCTTTCTTTTTCTTGCCTTTCCCATCAACTTGAAGTGATACATTTCTGTTCTTTTCCATATTCAAAAGTTCCTGTAATCAGAATTGAAATTACTTTTATTAATAATCATTTATGTATGTACTACTAATACAATAATTAAAAACAATGCTACTCACATTGGAAATACATTCATTAAGCATTATTTTATCAACTGATTTGTTTTATTAAGGATTTTGGACAACATAGTTATAATCTACATACAAAAGAAATATGTACCTGGAATAGTTGGGTAACATTGTGGTTTGTTTTAGCTGATGTTTCCATGAATGAAATACCCCAAGTTTGAGCCTGAGCCTGTCCTTCTGATGCAGATACTTCTCTTATCTCTGGACTCTCATCGCATTTGTTACCTGCCAGCATCACAGGAATATTTGGAAGCTCTGTGCCCTTAATCTCTTTTATGGTTTGCCATATTGGCTTGAGTTCCTCTAATGACTGTCGACTGCTCACAGAATAAACCAATATAAATGCATGTCCCTGTGAAAATAAATAAGACCAAAATATATATTATGAAGGGTCATAAAATTATATTTTTATACAAAAAAAAATGTGCTTCACCTTGCTAATTGATAATCTTTGCATGGCAGGGAACTGATGTGATCCTGTTGTATCAGTTATTTGTAATGTGCATATTGTCTTGTTGCTGCTTATTACCTAAAATCATAAGGTTAATTATCTCATTGTACAATTGTTTCAATCCCAAAAAAGTCAATCAAAGCCAGTTCCAACTTAAATGCTGACCATTAACAAGAAATGTGGTAAAATACTTTTGTTTTTAAAAATACATCTAAATCTAATCTAGTTATGTAAATGAATGCTGCTAAAATTTCCTGCAAGCAAGAAATATTTATCTAATTTTGGAAATACATTATATTTTGATTACAATAAGGTCAGCAGCCAGCCTTATTATGGGGTATACCCATTGGCAATATCCCAAGGAAAATGTTAGTTTCTGGAATTGGCAAAATTTCAATGGTTCAAGGTATTTCATACACCACCTTTTCAATAAATATAGGTCAAGATATGGAAATTCCTAGATGATAATTGTAATACTTAGTACTCCTTTTAATAATCTGTATGAATACTCAATAATGCGTCTACAGAATTGTACAATTTACCACAAACTCCTTTTGGGACTAAACGAACATTGTTTTACATGCATAAATCGCGGGAACAAAACATAATAAAATTGGAACGTAAATAATGTTACCTGTCTATAGGTATCCTCGATCGTTGGTATATATGATTCTCTGAATGTCCCTTTTACGAATCGTAACACAAGGGAACTTTTACCAACACCACCCGCACCAAAAACTACTACACGATAATCATTACTTTGCTCCGGCATTACTTAATTTTAGCTGTAGATATCCTTTGTAACCAATATGAAATGCAAGATACTGATCACAGTGCTGTAATAACTTCTAAAACATCTTAAATACAACAACAGTTTTCAGGTTAGTAATTATTGGGCCCAGCATGTAATAATATTTACGCCCATGCTAATTTCCCATCTTTTCATAGATTTTTTATAATGGTTTTGATTTACAACGCCCCACTGCAAAAAGCAAGCAAACCAATACAAATTCTATAGACACATACTGCCCACAGATACGATTACGATTGCAATCTTTGACAGACGAACTGCGATGACAGATATAATAGACACATGTAACCTTTCACAATCTACTACTTTATTTAGTCGATTATATTAATTTTATAAGCAACCAAAAAGGCACTTTGGGTTTAAGATAACCACAAACGCAGGTATCCTCAATTCTGTATCGTTTAGGTTTTTTACTATTTATGTTACGAGTCCCATGTATTAGTGAGCCTATTGCCATGTACCGGGTAAATTTCCAGACTCCGTGCTACTACTGTGATTTTTAGAAAAAACCCAGTACCACTTTGCCCGGGAATCGAACCCAAGACCCCTTGTCTGGCAGTCACACTTGCGATCACTCGGCCAACGAGGCAGTCAGATAAATACTCCCAAAATTCATAAACTGGTATATTCTGAATCTCTAGACATGAGTAACCGTAAAAGATAGTTAGTTAATTAATTTAATAGGTCTCATGAAAGTTATAACAGAAAAATATCAATTATTTATTATGCCGTCAATGTGTATCGTATGTTAAAACTATTTATCAATTATTATTAGTTTCAGCCGTTAGTCGAGTATGAATCACATTTATTTATTTTAAGTTTGCTGGCTCGTATCACGGCTGAGTGAAGTGTGACATTCATTAAAAAAAAATATATTACAAATGGCTTCCGTTTTTAACTTACGCCTATCGTAATCCTATGTTGGTATGGTTTTCTAAAAAGGTAAGGCTACTTTTTCAGTTTCCTAGTTTTTCTGTAGTTTTAGTCATAGATTAATATTTTTCCCCCAAAACTGTAATTAATCTTAATAAATTTGACCTTCGTTGACTACGTGCCGGCAACTTTCGTATCTCTGTATTTTACGCTCATTTGAGACATATTTATAAATAATAAAATTGATTTGTATCTAATTACTGAACATATAGTCGTGTTGTATCAATTTTTCGTGAAAATATGTGTCATGTCACCTGCATTGTGAAAACTATCGACCTACTACACTGGTTACCGTCATAATAATTTTTTCTCTTTCAGGCTACTAATTTCTAGTGACGAACGTGTTCGATCAATTAAATACGTCTTTTATTTCAAACTATGGGTATACAAGATCTTCAAACGTTTTTAGAAAACGAAGGTGTTGGAGTTGATTTATTTCGAATAGCTAGAAACCATGCCGGCGGGTTCCGCTTAGTTCTCGACGCGGAAGGATGTCTAGATCGTCTCTACGGAGGATATTTCTCAGGTATTGTTTTTGATAACTTGCAATAGGTGGATATTTTGTTCAAACATTTTACTCTTGTCTCGATATTTTTAATCTTGTATCAAAATAAACATTACCATCATTATCACCGACGACTCCTAATTTGTCAATGTTTTTACAGCCACAATAATAATGTTAACTGCAGTATTATTATAATTTTTCAACTGCATAGGGTAGCTTTCTAATTGGTATACTATTAATAAATTAAATAATTCCATATTAAATTAAATGATATGTTTTGCAGATTGGGCTTGTGGAGGCCAGTGGGCTCGATGTGTGCAATTTTTAACCACACTTGCACAGGCACTTGCTGAACATCAAGTAGCTCTATGTGTATGTTTCAATGGTGCACATCCTACTCCACCTGCATTGCCACAGCATTGGATACAAACACAAGCTACATATCGCCAGAGGGTCAACTCGGTAAGTATTTTATCAAAATTAATTTTTTATCTGAATTGCCTCGTTAGAATTAGTATATTTTTGAGATAGCATAAGAATACATGGATGTTATATTTCATAACATAAACATAAAATTACAAAGAATTTCAGGCTTAGGCTTACTCTCGAATACAATCGATAGACATTGGTTTTGTGAAATTTGCATCCATATTGAGTGGATGTTGCATATTTAATGAACTAAATGGTATTGAGATTTACTTTATATTCCGTATATACTTTGAATGCTATTTTAACAGCTACAATAGGGGTTGTATAGTTTTGAAATTGAATAATTATTAAGATTCTATTGCATTGAAATTGCATTGACTGGTTTCAAGAGTAAGCACCTAGGTCGTGTTGACATGTTTATACCATAATTTCCAGGGTATTAACGGAACACTCCTAAAACATCTGTGTTAGTAAGTCATTGTCAGCAATAAGAAATTGCGTTTTTGTTTTCGTGTTGTTCATGCAACATCAGCCTTGACCAGTTAATTACAAATATTATTACATATAAGAAACATTTCGTTACTTTTTAGAAATATAAGTTTTTTTTTTTACTATCACCTGTCGGCATTTTTCGGGAGCGTTCGTTTACTACCTGAATGTGTTGTGTAGTTACATTTTTATACAATTTGATATTACATAATATGGCATTATTTTTTATGATTTTGACATTTATTTGTATTTTTACACAATAGGGAACTTATGTAATTTTTATTTAAAAAAAATTCATGTAAAATAGGTCATAAACATACATCTAATTTAAAAAATGCGGTTTTAAACCGTTTAAATTTTCGCGCTAAAAGGGACCTTTAGTTCCGATGTCGTCATGCCTGTCTGTCTGGTCTGGTCGTGCTTGCGTCTGTTAGCTGTCATAAGTTACAAAGGAGACTGGCAAAGTAAATCCGGCCCTCACAGGCACGAATAAAATACTGTGTGTTCTCAAGGACTAATACTAGTATTCAACCCTGTATAATTCGCTTTTTTTATAGAACTCCGGATATTCCATATATTTCAGTTAGTAGTCAAGAAATTCTCCCAACCTCTTTGGATACCTTGATGAAAATATCATGTCAACAAAAAAAAAGCGCAAGCAAGGGGCCATGGGCACAAGTCCATGAATAAAATATAATATGAATTCAAATTTTTTCTTTAAAAACTATATCTTTGATGTAGACATTCTGCAAGAATCACTTCATTTTAAAAATCTGTCATAAGATCAGGAACAAAAGATAGGAGGATTTCTCGACTACCTTACGATATCTTCTTTTTGAATAGTTCAATTATTCATTAATGTTGTTAATAAGTTACCTTCAGAAGATAAATCCAACTTCCATTTTTATTAAAAACGTAAAAGGTAAAAAACGTTGAGTGACGTCTCTAAACTTTGATTGATATTTTGAAATGCATTTCGTTTTACGTAATTTTAATTCGTAATTATTCTTAAAAATTAACATAATATAAAATAAACACGTTGAAGTAACCCGTCTTTTATATTTTTATAACATTTTAATCATACTTTACTAAATATATAACTATATAAATACTAAATAAATAAATAACTTTCATAAATATCAAACTTGCATCTTACCTATTTTTGTGCATGGACTGTGCGACACTGCCTCAACTTTGTTTTAAAATGTTTTCTTAGTTTTAATTTGAAACAAACTTTACTTTAAATGACCTTTACCAGTTAGTGAACCAAATAGAGAACTAAACCAGATGACTTCAATTTATAGAGTTGAAATAGATAAATAATTAAATCATCTCCTTCACATCTGATCATTGAGTAAAACACTATTTATTATCTTGTAAAAATTAAACAACAACACCAACCAACACTAAAAAGAAGGAAATTAAATATTGTACATATTTTATTTCTTTTTAATTTCTATATTTAATTTCTTTCTTTTTGGTGTTGGTCAAAAACAAATTAAGATGCTTCTTGTTGGTTACAATGTTGTTGGATATTTTAATTATTCTTAAATGGTACAATATTGTAAACGCCACAGGTGCTGCGTCACATTGCTACAAAGGGCACTCCTCCTCCTAAAGTATGGTGGGTTCCTCCCATGGGCCTACATTCCTGCCTCAGAACAGCATTAAGATATCTTAATATCCCAATAGTAAGTATAATGCTCTGTATGTGGATGCAAACTCATCAAAAAATGATAATCTTTTCCGAACTAACGCATTTGGCCCAAAATTAGATTCCATAAATATGATTCCATAATACTGTAACACTATTCAGGATATCGTATGCAAAAATACAGACCAAAAAAATAAAGAACTATAGCAGCGTGAGTCAAAAGATTGGCACGGGGTGTACTTTTTCGTGGATAACACACAGTTCAGTGTAATTTAAGAACTATATGACCTGGAATTTGTTTTATATTTTTCTGATAACTGTTGGGACCCTGTCTATCACCTGGTGCCATTTGATCGTCGACTTCAGATACACCCTGTATAAAGAATACATTTAAATATGTCTAATAATTAAACAATAATTCTTATCTAACAGATGGTCTCTTCTGATGATCATTGCCAAGAGGTAGTTGGTCTCTGTCGAGAGAAAACTTATGCTGGACTTGTTGGGTGCTCTGGAGAATATTTAGTCTTTCAACCACCAAGATACTTTAGCTCATCACAGCTGAAACTTACATACAGGGTAAGTTGTACTTGTAATGCTAGGTGCATTTTTGCATATAAAATACTAAGTATTCTGATTCGGTCCATAGAGACTTGTTCACAGCAAGGGCGACTACTGGAACCACCATTTATTATCTTAGAATAAAATTATCTGCTCCTTGCAACTCCAATTCATCTGTTCATTCTTCTTATCATTAAGTCAATTTATAATTAAGTGAGCTACAATTATTATTTGCTTAGCTCAGGATCACTTTCTTAGCAACAACATAGGCAATATAACTCCGAAACCATAGACTTTTCACTTTAGTCATACCTAAATATAGAGGGATTAACCATATTGCATTTTAGAAATAGTTTTCGCGCAATTTTACACTGTTTTGTTCACCCTTTCACCGACAAAAGCGATATTTGCTACAACTCCCGCACCAAGAAGCGACGCGACGTTGGGACTTATCGGATGGCCCGCTGCGCCATCCGACGAGGTACTAGCTTCTTCCAGTATCATCACGTTTCGGTGTGAGCTAACTCTGAAATTTGAAAAGATTTAATTTGATACCCTCCCCCTAGAATACCACACGTAATTTATGAACGCCTCCTTAATAAAGGGCTGATTTACCAACTAAACACTTTATTAAATAAATGTCATGTGTATTGAATACAGTCATCATTGGAGACAAAAGAGTACATGGTGCACGAGCTACCGCAAGTATTAGATGTGCCACAGGATCGACTATGCCTTATGGCAGCGCTACTTGGTGGTACTATTCTATCTGAGCAAAGTCTTGTTGATTTCTATAAGCGGTTGGGAATTACGCAAAAGAAGGTATGCATATAATACTAGTTTAATGTCTTCCTTTGGATACCTAGGTATTGGTTACGAATATCACTAAACTAAAAATTCATTGTCAAAAATTTCAGCAAGTTCCTCCAGAAGCTTTAGTGAAAGCTATTTGTCAATATGTGCGAGAATTACCCTCCTCTGATGTGGATGCCGCCTGCATTGATGTCTTTGGTGACCTTAATGATCTCCGAGCTGCCAAATTGAAACAAGCTGTTCAATATTATTTGAATGGCACAAAAGATGGATTTTTAAAATACAGAACTGCATCTGGTAATTTCTAAAATGTGCTTTAGTAATATTATGATAAAGTGAAAATGAATAAAGTAATTCATTTTGTTTTAATTTTTATTTTAGGTCGTCGTCCAAAGAACAACAAAAAAAATCAGAAGTCTGATATTAGTCCACAATCAACTTCTTTAGACTTGGATACTTCTAAACTGGCTGCTGAATCATCTGAGCATGAGGTTTTTAAATGTTCTTTACTTAAGTGAAAATCGCTATAGTCATCCACGCCTTTTACACCGTCATTAACACCATTGGCATTCATTGGCAGATTTTCAGATTGCATGATCACTAGTTCGAAATTGAAATAACTATTGTCTAAGTGCAAGTGACCTTTTTTTAATAATTTTTGTTTAAACTACCCACACCTTTTTTGTTTTACTACATCCCTATGTTATTTACACTAAGCACTTCAGATAGTAAGAACACTGCAAACTCAATAAATTGCAGCAAAAAGGCTTGGACGACTACAAATTGGCAACAGCAAATGCATCAATTAACGCCGACTTTAGCATGGAAGAAAGGCCCTCTGACATACAGCATGGACTTGCGGCGATCTCTCTGGATTCCGGCGATGCGGGTGCAGCCAAGCAGCAAACTATCAATCCAGCTGATAAAAATGAAAAACCACAATCTGCTCCTAAAGAGGTCTGAAAAATGTTTGTGTGTACTTGATGAGTTAAGGTTTCAAAACTGATCCAAAACAGAGGGTGGATTTCGTCGCCACGCGTCTGATATCTCCCCCACTACTTATTGCGAGTGTTTAAAGATTAAGGTGCTACTAAGCAGGCAATCAATATATTTTTCTGCAAAATTTACCTGCCACACATCGATCGAAATTATTACATGCAATGCCAGCGACACTATACAAGGTGTAGTTTGAAGCCGTGTCATTTCTCGGGGGCAAGTCACAGAAGTCATAAAGGTTCAATGTAAGAAAGTTTCGGGCCAATAGATAAAAATACGGCTATAATAAATCGTTTACCTAAGTTCGACAATATTTCAGAATAAGCGACAGCAATGTTTCTTATTGGAGTTTTATGGAATTAGGAATAATATCAATTACGTGTTTGAGTTTGTGTGTTAAGCCGCGTTATAAAGCTAATTACAAAAAGGCGGCGTCTACCTACTTCGCACTTACGGATTTCCGTAATTTCAGAAAAATGAAAAATATTTGCCTACAATTTTTTTTATTGATTCGGACTCAGAATCGATAGCCTAGTTACCTCCTAGAAAATGACGCGGCTTTAAAACAACACCTTTTATAGTATTGTCTTAAAGTCCCGACTAAGTTAAATAATACGTAAGACGTATATCACGTTTGGCCAAACGTAGTATACCAGACGGGGTCGAAACATTATATGGGCTTAAACATACCATATGGCCTACATAGCCGACTTGTGTGGTGATGGCTTACTGGACGAAATAGATGACTGACCGATGTACTTTTCAGCTTTGTTTCAGTATCGTTCTTTTTTTACGTTGTATAATTATAATTAATTAAAAAAATATTGGGGATTCAGCACCGCCTTGTGAATCATGACTGAGTGATCTAATAATATATTATTAACCATATAATTATGAATGTATATTTTAGGTTCGTCCGAATGTGAAGCAAATTCATAATGAAGACAATTGTCCTCCGGCCCCAGCTGAAGTGTTACGAACATGTGCCGAGCGACACGCACGTGGCCTTATGCACCCTCAGATGCTATCGATCTTGACACATCGTCAAGTTACCTTGCCTGTACTGATGGAGGATGACAATCACCGTGAAATACCCTCAATACACCACTTCTTTAGACCTGTTAGACAAAATGTGTACGCCATTTTGTATAACATGCACCACCACCGATTTATGGCTCAAAAAGCCAAAGGTATTATTCTGTACAAATACTTACAAATACTTATAATTATTGTATAAGTAATGTTAAATACCTAAATTACTCATTTTGATTTTTTTTGTAGAAGAAGGCTCAACAAGTTCAGTGAATATTGATCGCCCTTGCACTGTACAAGTAGCCGAGTGGATCTATTCTCGGGTAAATCCCGGGAAAAGCCCTGAAGTTGTGCCAGGGGTTGTTCTAGAATGGCCTGTACCAACTGTGCAACGGCTTTGGTTCGGGTGAGCTTTACCTTTTAGGTAGTTTCTCTGATATTTCCTTTCATTCGGTTATTGAAAAAATTGCGCTGATATGTTAATTAAGTATTAAATTATTTTTCTGTTTTATCCGTCTATTAATTTACATAAGCTGTAGTAAATAAATTATAATCCAGTTTGTGTTTTGTTCCAGAACTGCCCAAGATGACAAATGCCGCCGTATGAGAGCATTCCTATCGTGCATGCGCTCTGATACTCCATTGATGTTGAATACATCTTATGTTCCCCAACATTTGCTAATTTTGGCAACTGTGTTGAGGTAACACCAATGTTATCATGTTTCTTATTATTATTTTTTTTACAAAATTACCTGTTCCACAAAATTATTTTTCCCTTTAATGTTTTAAATGATTTCAAACGTTTATTTTTTATGTGCATGTGGATTTTGTTACACATTTCAGATTTATAATGACTTCTCAAATTCAAATATTGAGGCGACAAGAGCTGGATGCTTTTTTGGCTACAGCTTTTTCAAACGATCTCATGAATGCACTTCATTTGCAAGAAATGACCGTAAGTGTGAAAAGTGTCAGTAACGTCATTCCATAATTTTGTGAGTTATTTCACCATTGTAATGTGAAATCAATAATGTTGTTTATTTTTAGGTGAATGGTATAAACTCACGCGGAGTTCAACTGGGTGCGCTGGTGATGGCGGGAGCGGAAGCGGCATTGCTGGCCAATGACGCATGCGGCGCCCCCGTGCCCTGGCTAGTCGCTGCGCCCTGGCTCTACTTTGACGGCAAACTACTGCAACGCAACCTACATCGCGCTAATCATTGCAAGCATCTTGCTCAGCTCTGCGATAACCATTTGGATACGGTGGTCAAGGTTAGAAAAAGTATTCTTAATAATACATATCTTTTTTCTCTTGGTTTATAAATATTTTATACAATAGCAAGTACCCGATATTATTCATTATATAGCAAGATGTATTATTTTAATAGGTAGAACGTATGCGCAAAGCTATCTTGGAAGGGCTGGAGGTGGAGTTTGCGATGCCACCGCTTCCGTTAGTGGCCGGCGTCGTGGGAGGCTCGCTCGGCGGGCAGCTCGGCGGCTGGCCGCGCGGCCGGGGACGCGGCGCGCGCCTGGAGATTGCAGGCGTCGTCGTGGGACAGTGGGGCGGCGGCAGCTACCCTACGCGCACTACTCGCTACCCACAAGTAACTGAAGATTTTTTGTTAAATTCTAGTTTAGTTAACATATTATGAAGTGTGCAAGGGGAAGCAGGCTTCTACATTAATATTGTTCAAAATAATTGCAGCAGGTGAGCTACGTGGGTTACACACCGCCGCCTCGCAACGCGTACGGCGGGCGGGGCTGGCGCGGAACGCGCGGCGGTCGGGGACGCGGTCGCGGCCGCGGTGCGGTGTCCACGCCCCCCGCACGCACTGCGAGACGCGCTCGCCGCGATATCGATGAGCCTGTTAAGCCCGCCACGCTTACTATTAACGGGTAATATTCATAAAGTATTCCTGAAACATGTTTGTAACATCCTGTTAATTTTTTTTTAAATTACAACCCCCTAACTTTCAGGAAAACTGTAAGGCCTGAAGATATAAATCAACAGGAGGAGGGCAGTCCTCATGAGGATCCTTCAGCACCTGACACCGATGCTGATGGTATGTTCTAGGATATTTGTAAATATGAGCCTCTGTTTAAGTTTTCTTAATGTTTCATAAATGCTCTTTTCGGTTTGTAAACCGCTAGAGAAGAATGACAGTGTTTTCATGCAACGTGATTTTTAAGAAAATAAATAAACGTAACTAATTGCAAACTACCAAATTTCATACGTCGCCATGCTCTTAAATTTAGGAAAAGGGATGTCAAGTCTCTTCTTGAGAAATTACTTGTTATAACGTAAAATAATTACTTAACAGGTACACAGCCTCAAAAACTGAAGACTGGCAAAAATGTTAAGAAGAATATGGGGAAAGGGAAGAAAAAGAGTTCTGGCCAGAAGTCTGATCTCGCTCAAACATTGGAGGCTAATGGCCCACTTGATAAGAATAAGGTGACTGCAGAGTAAATTACAGCAACCACACGACAACATCTCTATGGAATTTACAACCGGCTTCCTTCTTTAATTAGTTTTTATCCTCATGACAACTTTAAATGACATCACTAAATTCAATGGTGTATTCTAGGTGGCGGAGCAATGCCACAATTCTGAAAAGGAACACATTGGTCAAGGTGATGCACCAGTTTCAAACTAAAGTATTCGTTTCTAAAGGTAATTTCGTTATTGTTTTATTTTATTTAGTATTGATTTGAAATCAACTTAGTTTAGTTTTTTCGTGGCTTTTGTTTATTTTTAATACTTTAGTTGTCCTCAAACAAGAAATCTAACAAACTTTTCGTAATATAACATACACATGAAGACACAAATGTGTTCACACTTCTTGGGAAAATACGTTGGAAGGTAATTGTTTTAGCACGTAAAATCTATATTAGGGATTTAGCTTGGATATTAATCCACAGGTTAAGATGTATACGTGCCTGAAGATCTTAAAGACTTCCCTATTTTGAGACTGATTTTGTATTACTATAATTGACACAAATTAGTGTTCAATTAATAATATTGTTAAAGACAAGTGGAGGCTCAATTTATGCCCCAATAAAATCCCAAATAAGACAAAAATGACTCTGGTTATTTGTACTGTACTATAATGAGACCAATAATACTGATGTAAACTGAAAAACAAGATCTATATTTCTAAAGAAATAATGTGACCTAAGGGAAAATGCGGTTCTATTATTTGAGGTAGTTAAATACCTCATAGAATAAGTAATGAGGACCGAAAGATACCAACTATTTGACAAGTGATATTTAAGATATATAATTATATATTGCTAAATTGACCTGTTGATTGTTAAGTCATGTTTTATTGAAAAGTGAGATGACTTAGTGCATAGTATGTTTTATTTATTTACACATAGTATATTTACAATTTACCAAATCATAATTTTTTACTTATAAGAGGGTTTGGTCTATGAAATCTTTTTGAAATATTTCGAAGTCAAATTATGCGAAATGTCAATAAACCAAAAATATATAAGGGCTCTCAACCACATATAGGAAAATCTCTAGGCAATAATTATATTCACCAAAAAGTCGAAAAAACCTGGATTGCATAGACTAAACCAAAATGTTTTCAGACTTGTTTTTGGGATTTCTTGAGTCATTGTTTAGGCGTTATTATAATGTTGTTTGTTGTGTTAAAAATAAAACATGTCTGAATAACCTTAATATATTTATAACGATCTCTGAAAATAATATAAAGGCACAACGGACTATATTAATGTGGGAACTGTGATTACAGAATGTTTTTTGTTATATGTTCCAGTTAAGGGCAAAACTCTGGTTAGTGGAACACTAAGTTAGTTTAAAAAAAAGTGCATTTATTGAATGATTCTTGGTGCTTAGAAATCTGTGGGACTGCCTGAAACGAGTCTGAAACTCATAGATTTAAGTCTAACGATAAACGTTTATTAAAACTGAATGAGCATTCGCATTTTGACACATCCGCGTAATATAGGGTATTATTTCGATAGGAAATCTTAGATTTGTTATTAGTGATATATTTATATGCATTTTTGGGATTCTCAATATTGCGAATGTTCTTCAATTTATATGTATTTTTGTAAATTTGTTATATTGTTATACTTAAATTTAGCTGGAATGAGAAACATCGATATAAGGACAGTCTTACTAAATAACTCGAATGGTGGAATAACTGTTGCAATTTGCTACGTAAATGTACATTCCATTCAGTTCTTCTCAACAGTAATTGCACAGTTCACGCCAGTCGAGAATGGAACTAAATGAAGACTTTACAATTTTGAACGCTTTAAACCCAGGCCAGAACAACACAAAATATGTTGCCACAATAACATATAAATTATAATAATTGATTGAAAGTAACAATCAACTCTGATCAGAACTTGAGTGCAATGCACACACGCAGCAGCCACAACGCTGTTCCAAGACACTAAATGCAAATCAAAGTATATGCCTCTGACTTCGTAACGATGCCACAGAGTGGCTAGAGTGGAGGCTTACCGCCCTCCACTCTTCAGCTCGAGCGTTCAACTTGCATGTGGACGCTCACATTGCAAAGTATTCGCAAGCTGTCGCCAAAAGCGATACGCACTTTATATTATACATTTAAACATTTATATAATTATTGCTTGCTTAATAAAATAGACACCATGTTAGCATTAGAATTTTAACTTAAATGTATTTTGATTTGTTTAAGAATTATGTATAACAATGGTAAAGCATGTGAAAAATAATCTTATAATATGGGGGTTTTTTCAGATTATAATGTTAACTTTCTTCACTGATTGGTATTCTTAAAAATGTTACCATAATAATAATTGGATTGTTAAGACACCTTTGTTAATCTCCATTATTTCATGTTATACATATTATCACATACTTACAAACTAGATGATTCAAAAGAGAAGTAGATTTTATTTATCTCTTTTAAATCCATTATTCACTATAGTTTAGATTATTCTCAACAATATGATAACTTTTACTATCTACATTAATACATTTTGTTTGCTGACAATGGTCATGATTATCAACATATAATAATCAAAATATATTAGAATACTTGTCATGTTAAACATACATTTTTCGTAATTGAAGTAGCAAACGTGGAACCGTGGCTTTTTGAAAACACTTATAACTTAAGAACCTACGTACGTAAACCCGCAATGTGAAATTTAAAAATTGTTCATTAATTTATGAACTCAAAATTTGGATAAAATTTAAATTGTAAAGAGTTGTATTTGTCTTCAAATAAAACGTTCCATTAATATGAAAGTATGTTTTATTTCATTCCTTTAGTTTTAGTCTTTTGTGAACCTCTGTGATAGTAGTTTCTTCTAAATTGGCTATATGACTAATAACAATCTGAGCAGCATCTTTAATATCGTTGTATTGGTGGAGCAGCTTAACTTGGATATATTTTTTCTCACTTAGCAATTGATCAATTTCCATTTCCATTTCAATGAGTTTGTTGTAATTTTCTTTCAAGTTTCTGGACATTCTACCTGTCAAATAATAATTGTCCTTTTCAAAATAGAGGTAACATGAGTATATCACGTGGATTATGTTATTTTTTTTACACAATTTTTTCTACCTTCCCCGAAAGGTTGTTTTACACAAAGTAACGCAGCACCTATTTGTTTGAGTCCAGACTATGCGACTGACCAACTGACAACCAAACTGCTTCCTGGCCCTACTAATTTAAATCAAGATCTCGATAGTACTAAAAAGCCAGCAGCAGCCAATAAAAACAGTATTATGTTCTAGTGTCTTCAAACTGAAGTTTCGGTATCGGCCATCTTCGATGAAACCTTCGGCTTCGGCCTGGTTTTGGGCCACAGCCGCCGAACTGTTACGAAATAAATTCTGAGTGAGAGAGCGACGGACCAGTCGTGTTTGCAAAGACCGCGGGGAGTCACTGACAAAGTGTCAAATAAAAACCTAACGCATGACATGCGCGTCAAGACAAGTTCGTACGTGTAGGAACAAATGGCTACAAATTACTATCTCCAAATCAACTTATATATGAGATAGTCAATATAAATCTTTTAAGTATATTGAAGTTTTGAAATAATTTTAATATTAATTTTTAGCTTGTAGACAATACTGAACAAAGTTGCTGGGATACTATAATCCTTTGTCGGAAGCCGAAGGTTTTGGCGATTGCCGGTTAATCGTTAATTAGCTTCGGCCAAAAATAGTCTTTCAGTCGGACACTATTAATTACATATTTTTATGGTTTACTGTAGATTATTTTTTTACGACTTGCGTACCGTAAGTTAGTTAAATAACGACAGATAAGGTGTGATTAATTAAGTGTTAGGGAATTCTTTATAGTTTGTACCTATTTCTTCCTCTTTTGTCTATATTTACCCAGTTTTATATTGTTTGACGAGTCAACTTGCTATCTGACTGCGCGACGCTCAAAGTTCGCCGCGTTAACGGATATAAAATCCTTATAAAAGTACCTTGTTGAAAATTTTACGGAAAATAAATTCAAGGTGACATGAAAAAAAAACATAAAATTAAGTCAACACATTTTATTCAAGTTCATTAATGTCAATTGGTTCACTGACACCCATAGCACAAGCTAACATACTGTTTATGTGTCTACCCTCTTCAGCTTTAAACACATATCCATTTGACTTATCCACTAATTTTCGAATATTAAGTAAACTTTCAGTTTTAAACAAATTAACTAATTGAAAAGTAACTAAACTATAGTCTTCAATGATGGAAACAAAGGCACTGTTCAATTTTTTATATTTGCTGGTAAATGCATCAGTATCTAAACTGTCAAGCAAATAATTTAAATCCAATACTTCTGTATAGAAATCTATACCAAATTGCAGTTTATCCATATGCTTTTTTAACAAATCTGCTTTTGTTAGTAAATTGATATGTGGCAGTCCAATTTTTAACATTGCACTCAATGATAACATTAATGCTGCAATAAATTTTCCAGCATCAGAACAATGGTGTGAGTCCACTAAATGGACAACACAAAATTGTAGATTTCCAACACTACTAAGTTCAGATAATATGTTGCTTAAACTTTTATGGTGACAATACAGCTCTACCTGCCCAGGTAAGTCAAATATGTAGTTGGTGTAATTTTCACCATTAATTTGACTCAGCAGCCAATCAATATTTTTTTCTAAAAACTCCATACAGTATAATAAAGCTCCATTTGGACCAAGGTTGTGTTGATCCATCACCTCTTCAAGAGCAATTAGTTGTCTAATATCAATGTCTGGTTTGTAAGATGTTACATCATTAGCAGGATCTAAATTAATTACCACAACATTTCTTCCTAGTTTCCTCAAAAGTTCTGACATTTTTCCACAGTAAGTTGTTTTTCCTGCACCTGGAGGTCCCAAAACCAGCTGACCATAGTATTTTTGAACAGACTTAAATCTTTTTGCACTTGCTGTAGCCATTTTAAGCTTCTCTTTTACTAATTAAATTTAATATTACTTCTTCACAAGCTTTGACTGTTGCAATGTCATATGATTTGAGATTTATAAAAATATTTAGTGGTTTTGTAATTTTAATTGCTTCCGCCAAGTATCTTGCTGCAACGCTTTGCTCTTCTCCTGCATCACCAAAAATAACCTTTGTTGTATAAAAAGAACCAGTAACTACAGAACCATCAAAAACTTGCTCTTTTTTTATGGTTAGCATGCTTCCGATCTTGTGATATTGAGATACAATAAGCATAATTTTATCAGAATACTCTGCATATACTACTTCTGTAGGTACATCATCTATATCTGCAGCAATGGACTTAAACAACTGCTGTTCACTTTCACTTGGGACATGTTTAATAGTTAAGTTTTTCATAATATCTAGAAGTTCCATATTGACAGATATCTAAAATAGAAACTTTTATTCAATTTTCTTTTTGATGGTACCAACAATATTATCAAAATATTAAGGAGTAAATTTTTAAAAAACTATAAACTTAATTCTTCTGTGTAATTAAACATTTAAAATAACATAATATAAAAAAATTGTTCATTATTTAGGTTGGTTTTCATTTCCTATACAATATTTACGAGTTTATTACGGAAATCTAATAACTCATAAAAGATAAGAACACAGTAAATAGAAATCATCAGATGTAGAAGTATATAACTGAAATAGCGAGTCTGGTCATATACTTAGGGCTCAATTATGATTTTTTCAAGGTTTCCAGTTAAACATTACACTAATGGTTGTTGAATTGAAACTTTTACACAAAACGTACCTTGTTTGTTAAGTTATATAGTAGTTATTGCAATATCCAATAGTTATCCGATTGTTTCAGACTGTTGATTACAGTGTACTTATGAAAATCGCTTTTCACGCGAATGATGCTATTGTTTATTGTAATTTATTTTAATTAGAATAATGAGAACATCAGAAGTTTAGAATCAGAACATTGATCGAACATTGAATGAGAATAATTGACAAAGATTATGACAATTATAATAATGATTAATACCACAGATAACATAACTCACAGATAACTATAATTAAAATCATATAGTCAAAGCCATTGAACAAAAATAATGATTTCTATAAAATTAGTTTTTTAAAACTAGTTAAGAAAAAAATAGTTTTTCTATTTCATGGTCAGAGTCCAGTTGTCACCGTGTCTTTTTTTGCCAAGCATATACTGTAAGTGAGTGAGTGTGTGAGCTTATACGTATACTTAAGTGTGAAGTATAACAAATAATATTTGAGAAGAAACTTAAAAATAAAATGCACCTGCTGATTAAATTCATCTTGATAAAAAAATTATTATTAGAATCAATTACTTTTTCGCAAACTGAAAAGAAATATAATATTATAATCTGTGGAGCTTGAGTTCTGGTAACATTTTAATGACTGTCTGACCAATTTGTTTTCTCTTGGCTTGTCAAATTCTGACAAGATGGTAGTGTATAGATTTTGTATTTTATATCTAAATTAATCTTTGAAATTATACAATATTTCTATTATAATTTTGTATAATTCATTGTGTTTTAACTATGTAAATTGAGAATTACGTATATTAGTGAAATTTTCATGGGTATTAAATTATAACCTGAAAAATGTGTATTTCAGACGAAGGGTACTTCGAGCTTTGGTAAGCGTCGTAACAAGACACACACCTTGTGCAGAAGGTGTGGCAGATCCTCGTATCACATCCAAAAATCAAAATGTGCACAGTGTGGATACCCTGCAGCTAAGCTGCGTTCCTGTGAGTACCTTTTCATACCGGTCAGGTCTTAGTGTTTAAGATCAGAATTTGTATCAGTACTTGTATTATAACTGAAACTCATTGTATTATAACTTAAACAATCCAGTATTTTCATTCTGAATATTATGGAGCCCAAACATGCAGGTTAATTATAACCATGTCAATAATTTAATTTTAAAGTATGGTTGTACTTTAACACAGTACCTATACATGCACTGTTTTTAAATTAAGCACATGCATTTTCCCATTTTGGAATTGCCAAGAGCACTTTTGTAATTATGTTCCAGTGTTTCATAACATTGTTTCTATTATAATATAATGTTTTGGATTTCGGATTCTAGTAGAAGTACTATGCAAATAGATTTTATAATTACAAAATAGCACATAGAATACAATTGTTGATTTTTTACTGGTGTGGGATGAATATTGGTACTGATATAGTAAATCCATGTGTCTACAAACACTGATGATTTACCAAGATCCCGCTCAGCAGTTGTAGTTGCTAAATATTTCATACACTGCTATCTAAAAACTATCCAAAAATTATTACTCTTACAAGATCAATATCATATTGATACTTTTCAATAGTGTGTGCATAACTCTTTCAATAAAAATGCGGATGCTTCAAGGTAGCCTGCAAAATTTTCTTATGATTTTTGTGATTTACAGCACTATTGTTAAAATATCAAATGCCATTAAATTTGAGGTTGCGCTTAACCCGTATATCCCCAAGCAGTCACCGGTGACCGCTTTCCACTAAATACATTATAGACCTTATTTCCAATATTTAGAGACCACTTTTGTATGAACAAATTTGGGGATGATTTTCAACGGGTTAAGTATGTTTCTGTCACTACAATTTCTTTGTAAAATAAGAGAGATTGCACAATATTTAAGTACAACTTAAAATGGTTTAGTCTTTCAGTATTCAAGTGTATATGAGATAGTATATAAAGATTTATATAAAATTTGTAGTAATGACATGTGTTAAGTCAAAATCGTTTATTTCAATTAGACCAGGAAGGCACTTTTGAATGTCAACGACAAAAATTTAAAAGTGAAGCTACTTGCTCCTTCCAAGTAGTAGATACCTATGGATAAGAGCGAGCAAGAAACTCCATACTCTTTTTCAATCGGGTTTACAACACAATTCTCTAGTTACATAGTTTTGTTGATTGTGTGAGAACAAAGCAACATGTAAATCCAGTCAAAGATATTGATATTAAACATATATACTACTATATCTATCATATTTGTTAAAACTATCAACATCTCTACATATAAATAATACCCAGTTTCCACTATGCTAGTATTATACTTGAGTTCTATTGAGGATGAAATTTAGTAGCTCTCACTTCAATTTTGAGACAGATGTGAGAGAAACAACAACAAGCATTATGTAAGGTTACAATGTCAAGCTTTTCCTAAAATGGTTCATAATAACTCTATGGTTGGTGCACTGCCTGGATAACTAGCTGCTGCGCAACATGGCGCGGGTTCGATTCCCACTCGGAACAACTGTTTGTGTGATTCACAGATTGTTGTTCCAGGTCTGAGTGTCATGTGTATGTGAACTTGTATGTTTGTAAATGCACCCACCATACAGGAGAAGTTCCTAAAGTGGGGCAATATTTTGTTTTTTTTAAATGGTACAATTTCAAAATTGCAGAGATATGCTGATGGTTTTAACAAGTATTGTTGGGTAAACATATATTTCACTGTCACAAATATAATATTAGGCTCACATGGGACTCGTAACATAAATAGTGAAAAGTGGGTGTTACATTGTACAGTGGCATAATGTGCACCTCTGCCTACCCCTTCGGGGATAAAAGGCATGATGTTATGTTATGTTATGTAAACTGTAAATTAAAAAAAACTGATAGGCTACCTTTAGCCATTAGATTACAGCAAAAATTCAACAACAGTTCAGAACAACTGGTGTATACACGTTTTCGACCTCATTGCAGAATGTCCACAGTTTCTGTCTTTAGGGAAAATATTTACTAATGTTGATATTATTTCCTACACTGATTGAAGAGATATTTGCTTTTAAAATATTTCTTTGTATAATGTAGGTAGACTAATTGAAATTTGATTAGAACAAATGTCACAAACATTTGTTTAATCATAAATTCAAACAATATTTTCCATATAATTTCTTCCTTAATTCTTAATTTGTTTGTTTCTTAATCTTCAGTGTCCAAAATAAAAGTCGAGTTTCAGTTTAAATATGTACATTCTATACTTGCACAATCCTTTAAGTCTTATATTATTACTAGCTACTTCCGCGCGGTTTCATCCGCTCAGCTTGGCGCTTATTAATCGTAGCGTGGTGTGTTATAGCCCAATAGCCTCCCTCGATAAATGCACTATCCAATCTTCATATCATATCCAAAATTGAAATTAGACCAGTAGTTCTGGAGATTAAAGTGTTCAAACAAACTTATAGTATCTTATACTATTATCTAAAGTTGGGAAGTAGCTAGTCCCTTACAAAATTAAAATGTATGATTGCTGTTGTTGTTGTGACATGAAGTGTCATAAGAAAGTACTAAAGTTATACCTTGTTTTTTTTAGACCACTGGTCAGTGAAGGCCAAGCGCAGGAAGACCACTGGAACTGGCCGCATGCGTCACCTGAAAATCGTGAGGAGGCGTTTCCGCAATGGCTTCAAGGAAGGCAAACCTACACCCAAGAAAGCTGTAGCTTCGTCGTAAACTTAACGCTAAACTAATAAAAAATACAAATCCATATGAAAAGTTTTATTTCAAACTAGTTTTTGATTGAGTCTGTGTTTCCTGAAAAACACGTTATGGGGGGGTGTCTGTTCAAGACTCGAGTGAACAGTTTTCTCATAGGTAGGTGTGCATGGTTGACCACATCCCACATCATCCCTAAAGGCGGCCACACACGCTAGGGTTTGCATGATGGTTATAACTTTGTTCATAGTTTTAAGCCAGTGGCATACCCCACAGTTTTTCTTGTGTATAAAACATACAGTAATTAGTAGGATGAGGAAATCAGGGAAATTACGAAATCCCTATTATAGATATTAAATATTCTCATCTTACTAAAAATATTTATATTAGGCCTACCTAACTCGGCCAATGAGGCAGGTACCTAACCTGCCTCGTTGGCCGAGTGGTCGCAAGTGCGACTGCCGGGCAAGGGGTCTAGGGTTCGATTCCCGAGTCGGGCAAAGTATTACTGGGTTTTTAAGAATCTCAGTAGTAGCACGCAATCTGGAACTGTGCCCGGTATATGGCAATAGGCTCACCCCCTATTACATAGGACTCTAACATAGTGAAAAGTGGGTGTTACATTGTACAGTGCCGTAATGTGCACCTCTGTCTACCCCTTCGGGATAAAAAGGCGTAATGCTAATGTTATGTTATGTAGGTACCTATATGAGAAAAGAAAGCTTAATAATTAAAGTCGGATAAAGTTATTCTGATTCGAACCTATAACCTACCTATCTACATATATGGCTGTGTATTCAAAAAATCTAGGTAGGTAGTAATGTAATAAGTCGGTCCAGGAATAGACAACAAAACTGATAGGTGGTATTAATCACAATTTTTACAATACCTCTAGGTTAAAGTTGGCGTAATATAGAGGTTTTCACTGTTATTTACCGACTTTACATTCATATACATTACTCGATAGGCAGGGGGCAATTAGTAAGCAGGCATGACATTTCTAAATCAGGCTATACTTAGGTTACTATAGGTAAGGATGATACATGGGTAGGTAGCTATTGGCTTTTAGGATTACTTAGGTTTACAATAATCACTTCAGTCTTCACACGTCTGTCATGCCATATTTCATACCTAAGTAGGTACTTACATTTACATACAAAACAATTTTTAAAATGTTATATGGACCTAACTTCGTTTTATTAACTGCTTCGATTCCCGGGGTTCAAGAAACAAAGCAATGTGAACATGTTTAGTTTTTTATTAGAATCATTTGATGACGTAGCGGCGCCAACGGGTACGGGAGGCGCGGGCGCGCATCATGTTTTCATAGCCGTCATACCATTGAGCAGGCAAAGGCAACCCACTGTCAAACAAACCAGCCAGTCGGCAGTCAGTCGTTCGTTTGTCGCCCGAGCGCGCTCCGTGTCGCTGCCCGTAGTAGAGAACTCTCGTCTAAACATCGCATTATCTAACCCAATATCGCTATTGAGTGATAACTTATCATGTGCTATGACGCGACGATATATTTTAAAGTTCTCTCAAGATAAGCGACTGTGTGGTGATTAAATTATATTGTGCACGGTTAGAGAATGTGTGCGCACTGACGTTCTCAACTTCTCACTAAAGGAAAACTTATTACCGTTACGTAGTGCTCTTTTACTATGTCGTTATTTAAGAAGAAGGCGCCTAAATACACGCCGCCTCCAGTGCCACAGTCTCCCGTCGAGGAGCCTCACCAGCAAGCCAACGGAGTGGACAATAACAATGGAGCACAGAAGTCACAGTTGGTGTTCCACTGTCAGCAGGCACACGGCAGCCCTCTCGGACTCATTTCTGGATTTTCTAATGTCAAGGAGCTTTATCAAAAAATAGCAGAATGTTACGATTTTCCACCTGACGAGGTAAGGTTTATTTTCCATATTTTTGAGAAGTTTTACAAAGTTTAACGTAGGTGGAACCATTGTACTTATTTATTGAAACAGATTTCTCAAGAACAAGTTTGAGTCATTGTTGATTTGTTGAATGGAATACGTGGAATCATGATTTATTGCAGTGCCATGAGCGAGGTGACTGCCGAGTCTCCTGACTAGTATAGATGACTATATAGATTCTGCCAATAACTAAGGCACCTAAGTACCGACATAAGTTATCTTGAATCATTAAATAAAACAATACACGGTGGTCAGTTCACCTATCATCGTAGGTACCTACCTAGTTCGTAGAAATGTGGAATTCACAGATAGGATACGTACCTACGCTACGTCCTGAAACATTATCACAACTTATCTTTCATATAAATAAGTCGGTACCTACTTAGGTGCTTACATGTATGTGTAATTGGCTAATACAAGATTTATTAAACAAAGCATGACTAAACACAACGTAATGTTATGTTAGACTAAGTAGGCACCTAGTGCCTGCACAAGCATTTCATGGACAGCCACTGAGTACACGAATACACTGATAAGAGTAGGTAGGTACAGGTACATAATTTACCATAAGCAGTGCGTCATAGATATTCAAATTGCTTCTTTTTAAGATTTCACAATAAGTACGTACGTACCTGTTACGTACGAGTACCTAGATATTACCAAATCATTAAATATTTTTTGCATTGCTAAACATTGTTTGGAACTATAAAAGGTGCCTACTTTCCTAAAAGTACGTATAAGTTAACGCCGACTGTGGAATCGATTAATGAGCGCAGGACTGCTGGGTACGAAATTCGCAAAAAAAAAAAACAATAACAACAACACGTTAAAACAAAAGAAGGTCGTAAATAACATTTACTTCTGTGGAAGAACTATGTTGATACCTACCTATAATTATCTAGGTACCTATCAATGATTATAATTATTTAACTTAAATAAAATCTTACTCCAGTAATAATATAAAATTACATAGAAAGAATGTAGACAGATGTTACATTCCTGCCCTTAAAATAAAGATAGAAACTTAGCATACCTACCTTGTACGTACGATTAATGCAAAAAAATATTCCTAGTTATGCAAATAAGAAGTCAAGACTTGGGATAAAAACAGTATAACTGGGTACATGCCTAGGTAGGTCCCTACCTACTAATGTAATGTGCATTAATATCTACCGTAGGCACATTCATGATTCGAAATAGTAGATTATAATGATGAAACCGAGATGTGCTGTTTCGAGCCAATGCAGCTTATAGCAATCTGGAATTTGGAATAATAAAGGTCGAATACAACTAGAGATGTTAAACCAACGCGACACAATTCATCCCTAGACACAATAGGTGTCGCGGAGAACCTAATGGGTTACCGGGGCTCCGGCTCGACGTGCAGGAGAAGGAACGGGGTGGTTTTTAGTCAGTAAGAGTCTGACACTCCCTTCCCGCCTCACTCAGGCGGGAGTAGTCATTCGATGATTTTCCCCCCTTAAAAAAAAGACACAATTATACTTAGGTATACAATAATTTTCATGCACGTGGCACATGTCATGAATATGATGCACACGCCACTGATAAATGTTGTAAGTTTGTAACCTGAGAGTTTTCAAATCCTAAGTCTTACCTATGATTTCTTACTAATTCTTACTAATCTGTTGTATGTACCTAATTGTTACCTAACTATCCGAAATAAGTGGGTAAATTCTGTGTAGGCACTGAAGTACCTGTCTACTACACTGTGTCCAACACACGTTTTTCTTTCTTCTAGCCCTGTCTTCTCACCTACTTATACAAATTAATATCTAAAACCTTGTAGATTTTGAATTTTGATTAGCTGTATTTAATAAGGGACATTCCCTAAATATTCTAGACGAAAAGGTATGTATTTACCATTTATTAAGAAGTTCTATAGCTATCGTTGTTATCCCTGATAAGGAGAGAAGTGCACTTGGCAGGTTATTTATATTTTATACAATTTATCAATCAATCACCAATCGACTTAATTACACGGCGTGCTGGTACCTGGGCTTGGGATTCACTTTTGTAAAGTTAAATCTTTCGTCGAGTAACTATCCATTTCTCTGTTTTATCGAGAGCTTACCTCGGTATTTAGCTACTTATACTGGTTTTACTGCATACGATATTTGTAATAAACAAAGTTATTGTTACGTAGTCTACACATAGGTTTTATTTTATATATGTTGACAACAAAGTATAAACCAAAAAGACAAGCTAATTTTATAAGCTCGAAGTTTCCCTGATTTAGCCGGCATCAGACATGACAATGGTCTTCCAGAATCTCTGTAATAGGTATAGGTATCGGCCAGCCGGCCGTTAACAGTTAAAGAAATCTCACCCTAATTACATTAGGTACAGTACAGATCACCCACTGTGAATCACTGTTTTTTGTAAATTTAACTGAAATTGTAATAATGTTTTAAATGCATGTACCTAATATATTTGTATGTCTATCACGGCAAAACATAGTGGACTATCTTTATATGTAAGACCTTATTATGTAAACTACCTATGTTTAACAAATAAATGATGATTCTGATTCTGATTCTGATTCTGATTGTACTTAGAGCACTACATGAACATGGCGTTTTCCTTGTCGCCCCATAACATTATTGTATCCATCAAAAGCGCATATTAAGTCATTGGTTTTGCAAAAAATTAAAAACTGACTGGTCGATGAGCTGTGTTCAAGTTCGACCCTGTAGCTGCCTCGTGTGGTCTTAAATTATGTTCACGAAGGCTTCTTCTTGTCTTGTCACTTATAGTCACACCTCGATCTTTATGTAAACATCTTTCCAGGTTACCACCACTAAAACGCGATCGTTTATTCTTGTGTTGTCACTCTATGTTTTTCAGACCCAAATTCTAATAAATAACCGTTGAAGTACATCAATGTATATGTACTGTTTGAAACAGTGTAAACGAACCACTATTTGAAACAGTTTATTGGTGATAGTTCTCGAAATTAGTAAACAAAAACAGGGATGAGCCGATTTTTATGACTAGGTATATACAGGGTGAAATTTTGTAATGCCACCTGTAGGGGAAGTATTCTTAATAATTCAGATAGAAAATTTACTCAAAGAAATCATTCCTTTATTTTTGAAAAGAAAGAAAACTGCATTCAAAGATTTTAAAATTAGCATGCCACACACGGTAATCTAACGGACTAAAATCTGTAAAAGTTGCACCCTGTACATTTATTGCATCGATTGTTAGGGTCAATAAGGATGAAATCTCTCTAATAAATTTCATAAATTTAATGAAAGGAAAACAATGAACGATCGATGCAACAAAAGTACAGAGTGTAAACTTTGAGAGATTTTAGTCGGTTCGATTACCGTGTGAGGCAAGCAAATTTAAAAAAATATTTGAATACAGTTTTGTTTCTTTTCAAAAATAAGGGAATGTTTTCTTTGAGTAATCTATCTTAAGTATGAAGAATACTTCCCCATTACAAAATTCCACCCTGTAGATACAGACCTAATATTTATTCCTTTAATATTCTCATTAAAGTAACTTTAACAGACTCTACCCGTATGTATGGGTACCAAAATCAACAATGATTAGAGTCACGTGCTAATGCTAACAAACCACATTTACATTAATTAGCAAGTACCTACTCATGTACCCGGTGTAAACAAAGGATCGGTCGATAACAGAAAAAATAGCGTGTTAAAAATAAAAGTGAAGTTAAGTTCGTATCTGGAGTTCCGTGACGTTTTGTACAGGCCACTTTGTCCGTGCTTTATGGTAGGGTACCACAGAATACTAACACTATGTATTTCGCCATTGCTGATTTTCTCGGTGTTTGACAGTTTAATCACTACGCTAGCTTAATGTGGGTTGGTGATTTCAAACTTATAATTACAAATTATAAGCCCAGGTTTCCTCACAATGTTTTCCTTCACCACTTGTCAGTGGTGTCTTTGTACTTTCTTACGAAGTAAATTTTACTATGTCGCTGTAACAAAGTTGCTACTTTTAAACTTGCTGCTACTACTGAAAGATAAACCTAGTTGACGTTATTGACCTAGTTACTTAGTGACACAGTTTGACTCTTCAAAAATAAATAAAAAAGATTAAAGAACATGGAACAATGGAACACTAATTGAATATTGTCACACAAATCCGTACCTAAAGATAATAGGTAAATAAACATAATTTTATTTAACAACCAATACAACAGATTTTTTCAGCAGCTTTTCTTAAGTTTCAATCGCGGATCGTAGGCACCAGTAGATACATATTATTGGATTTTGATTACCTACGGGTTTCTAAAGTTACTATCCTATTTATGGTTTTGCCTGATCTTTCCCTGTTTCTACCTCGCAAGAGTCAATGGAATGGCATCAGCGTTCGTTACTTAAATAGACTAGATAATTAATAACTTTCATGAAAGTTGTTTTGATTATAATCAGAATGAGCGAGTGAATCGATTCCCTTTCGGTAGATTTAAATCGAATGAGTTCACTTACAGATACCTACCTACCTACATCTAGATTGATAAGATTTGCCTGATAAGGCTTAATGCAATAAACCATATGAATTTAATAGCCCATTTTAGCAGGACAAATGAAGTTATCATGCAATGACCTAATACTTAATTTCGAATGAATGTAATATAGCTACTTACGTACAGGTGTAAAATTAAAAATATTAGGAACGAAAAAACAAAGTTACTTAAAAAATCTTTAAGATAATCCACACTGAGATAGGTGCTATTATTGCAAATTGATTGTTATGTTATCTATGAAAATATCTCACCGATTTTGGTCCAACGACCGTTCTATTCAGTTCATGCCTTAAAGGTCACCGGCGAAAATGGCACGGACGCTAATTTCCTGATATTTCACGGCTTGTGAAAACGCTCAAGGTTTATTCGTTGTCAAGGCCTAGTCGTGAGAATGAAGATAATAGAGTTTACACCATTTCAGTCTGCTGTAAGTGTTTGGTATCTAATTTTATGTAGGTATGTATATTGTAAACCTACCTTTTGTTAGTAGCAATGATTGCGTAACTAAGCAAATCGTACCAGATACATACCATACAGATAGCGGTAGATAAAGCACTTCGTTTTTGGAGAAAAGCGGTTACTGCGTTCGTAGAAACTAATGTTAAGAGTTCTTTTCTCTTAAATGCTAAACTAATTGAGTAATGAGTACCAAACAAAAAACTATAACTACTATCATAACGACGTTTTAAATGCAGTTACCGTTAATGAAACTAGTAGAGTAGAACGCGTTAGTGATAAAAATCAGAGGAAAAATAAAATAGGTAGGTGCCCGAGAGCGAGAGCATGTTAAATATTTACCAAAATTCTTCTATCTAATCTTAGACAGTAAATCACCCATTCATCATAATATCAAAGTCTCACGAGGCGCCTGTCTGCAGTTTTAGTTATAGGTAATAGAATATTTAAACTGAAAAAAAAAGAGGCACGTGGTTTGGTTTTCTCAAAAACCATTAACATATCCGAAACTAACACTACTAAGGTGGATATATTCTGTACCCACCTATTTTTGCGTGTTGTCTGTTGACATACACATATTTGATGAAATATCAAGCTTGTTACAGAGAATAGCCAATATATAATAAACTAGGTTAAAATGTGTTTATTGTAACATCGCATCGCACAAAACGTGAAACGTAAAGATAAATCTGTGTAACTATGTGGGTAAGTATGAAATGTCACAGTGTGCGGATGTACGCACGGCTGAGCAGCCAGGAAGTGGATCAGCCCAGGGGCGCAGTCTCTCGTTGATATAAACGAACGTGGCAAGTGACTGCAGACACGCTTCGCCGCCGTATGTGTGCCTGTGCGATGGCCTACTACACATGGGTCAAGGACCGGAGCGCGGTCGTACCTGCAACGCATACCTTGCCATGCAACCATTTCGCACTTAGACACACGCAATTCAATCAAATGTGTGATACACAAATTCTAAATAAATATCAATATTTTTATTTACTCGCTTAACTAGCACATGGTTTGCCGCTCAGTGTGTCATTTATCTCTTATCTGGTAGGTAGGTGCTTATCTACATTCTACACCAACGCATTGACAGTTAATTTCATAAACCTAGTGTTTGATCAAGAGATGTTATCTTCTAATTGAATTGAATTTGGTTAAGTTTTCTAGATAGGTAGAACCACGGTAGAACACTAATTTAGGTAGGAACAAAGAACTAAAATAATATTGTTTTGTAATTAAATGCTGAGTACCATGATATAGGTAATTAGGTACCTACTCGGTTATGTAAAAATGTGATTGGGTAAACTCGGTTATGTAAAAATGTGATTGGGTAAACTAAAATAAATTACAATCGAATCGTAAATAAGAAGAATGTTTAATACCAGAAATCTGAGGTATTATTTAATGATTAACACGGTCGAAAGAAAATAGCTTTTAGTCACGCACCTAACTAAGGCGTGGCTAATTAGGTTAGTGGTATTAAATGAAATATCACAAAATGTACCAGCAATGCATTTCTTTGGTTTCAGATTCTATTTTGCACACTGAATACTCACAAAGTGGATATGAAGAAACTACTAGGTGGACAAATAGGATTAGAAGATTTCATATTTGCACATAGAAAAGGTCGCCCTAAAGAAATAGAAATAGTTAAAACTGAAGATGCCTTGGGATTGACAATAACAGATAATGGTGCTGGATATGCTTTTATAAAAAGGATAAAAGAAGGTTCTATTGTAGCGAGAATACCACATATAGAGGTAAGAAAATATTTATCATTCATATAGTGCTTGTTCCTAGAAAGGTGAGAAATATGTGCTCGGCGTTTTGTAAAGAAGGGCCTTGGATTTGGATGAAGTCCTTCAAAGGTTCACGATCAATAAACAATGTAATCAGATGACAATGGAATGCGATAAAGAGGTACTAAAACTCGTATCTCATGTAGATAAAATAATTAATAATTTGTCTGCCTAGATTAAGATTACTGGATCTATAATAGAAAATAACAGAATAATGTTGAAATGTAAATTTTCTTATATTGACGTCTAAAAAAACGTGGTTGTGGTCACGTAACTTTGTAAGTTACCATAGTTTTTTTGGGAGAACGTCTGCTTATCAAGGTTAGGTCACTCGCCCTTAAACTTACACCCCGTGACCCCATTGCTCGGAAGAGTTACGAAAGAACTATAATGGTATACCTTTGTACACACGGCTACACATCGAGCTTTACATATCCAGTATAAACTGAACGTTAAATGTGCGGAAAGATGATGCGACGCTATACCAGGATAAACTGGTTTTGTATAGGTTGATGTGTGGCCGTATGTACATATAATAAGAAGACAATGACATAGAGATGTAGCAGTTGGAAATTCTTATGTGTGTCAGCACATGGTCAGTCGATTTCGAGTCGATGCTTTACGAGTTTATGAGTAACCCTGCAAATTAATTACCGATTTCAATCCAAAATATCTGAAGGGATCTAAATTCTTGACAGAAAATTTATACAATCCATGTCAAAAGTCGATCTCAATCCAAACTTGGACTTATTTATTTGAGCAAAGCGTTAATATCTTAAACTATATCTATAATCCATAACTGATATTTTAGTCATTTTACTCAGTGTATCTTAAAAATGTTTCAAAGATTTAATGACTTCTTTCAATTATCTTTGGGTACATTTCTTTTTGGATTTGGCGAAAGCTTTCAACTACTTAGGTGACCTGCTAGACGTCTGGCACAAGTGCCTACTCAATTATTCAATAAACGTAGGTGTTGAGTGGTCCATACTGCATGGGCACAGCATTATAAATGTATCGTAGTTTCTAATACACTCTCTCTATTTTTATGGAGTTCCTCAGGGCATTCCATTTTATGCGGGATAGACCGCAGAGGAGAGATTTTAATATTAGAAATTAATGGAACTTGTGAAAAATTAAAAGTGCTAAGTGTAAGAAAGTAAGCAGGCGGGTTTGAGAATAGAATAAAAAGTACTTACAGATTACGGAAGTGTACGGAATATTAAGTTAAAACTAAAGTTGCCAAGCAAAAATAACCGGCTGTATTAAGGTAAAATAAAAATTATGTAGGAGGAAATACCGAGTGATTCAGATAAGGCGTTGATATCTATTAAACTTTGGCTCTATGAATTGATAAATGTTATGAAATATGAATAGATATGAAAATAGTCGTATGAAACTGTTGTTCCCTTAATATTTTTTTATGGCTAAGCTGGTGAAAGATTAGATGGATCACCTAATGGTAAGCAATCGGCGTCGCCCATGGACACTTGGAGCACCAGAGGCGTTACCGGCCTTTTTGGGATAAGGAGTTTGGCGATCATTGGGGATTTAGGGATTGGGGAATTTGGGGAAGGGGAGGGGGGAGGGGTTAATTGGTTACCGGAGGACCTCACTCTCACGACGAAACACAACGCAAGCGTTGCTTCACGTGTCGGTTTTCTGTGAGGCCATGGTATCATTTCGGTCGAGCCGGCCCATTCGTCCTAGAACATGACACTACCACACTTAAAAAAATATTAATTCAATTAAATATAAACATAATGAACAGAAACAGTCTAGCAAAGATAATAACTGCAGATAAGATGCACAATGATGAGAGTCATCATTATGTAGCTTATCTGTCTTCAGTACCAGTGAATGGTACCATAATACAGTGAGACAGAAAATGAAATGTACCCACTCATTAAATAACACAACCTAAAAAGCTTGGGCTGGGAAAGAAATTGGTAGTTATGTAAATACATAGTTCTAAGGTAAAAACTTACGCTTCCATAATTAATGGATTATTGTATTGTGTTTAACATTGTTGTTTGTTACAATGCCTATTAACAGAAATATCGGTGTTAATTCCTGTTGCGATACGGTAGCTCGGTTAATATCGCTAGAAATGAATGTATGCCTACATGCATTAGATACGTTGCGTCATAAGCGAGTCTTTGAAGAAACTGGCATGTTTCTGACGGTGATCGTTCGTTGGCCTTGTTAAGAAATTCACCGGAAATAACTGATTGTAAAATTAAACTTGTTCACTTTTAATTCAGGTCGGAGATCACATCGAGAAGCTGGATGGAGAAAATATGGTTGGCAAAAGACATTATGAAGTCGCAAAGATTTTGAAGGACATTCCAAAGGGAACTACTTTTACGATTCGATTGGTCGAACCACTTAAAAGCGGGTTCGCAAGTATTGGACCAAAGACGAGTGGAGCAAAATCTGGAAGGAAACAGAACTACGGATCTGGCAAAGAGACATTACGGTTTAAGGCCAACGGCCAGGCAACTATAGAAAACGACGTAAGTATCTTTTTGACCTACAAGAATTTACTTCAGGTTTTGTTATAAATACCTACGTAAACAACAAGAACAGACATACATAATAGTATAATAGCAGCTCTTGTCACTCATGAATCACATTATTATTATTAGTGACATACTTAACACAAATGCTCATATTCACATACATACATGCTCAAATATAAAGCAACAAATAAAGCCTCGATTCATATTTTGTGGTCACTTGGGTTGGCCCGGGATACAAAGTTTTACATTCTTTACAAGATCAACAATGTTATCAACTGTGTCTGATAGAAAATATACTTATGAACAACGATTGCAGAATTTTTGTTCGTCTGGCTTCTCTGTCTGCCCATTCATGAGCTGACGTTTGCCGACGATATTGCCTTCAAATTCTACTCACACACGATATCTGTGTGTTCTCGTGTAGTATACAGAACTGGGACATTATATTATATACAGTTACTTAATTACCAATGTCTTTTCTGATTGCTTTTTTAGAATAATAGTCGTCATTGATAGAAATCTAAACGTTTCCTTTCTAAGTATTCACGTGAATTGCCAAAACAATTAAAATATTTTAGATTTCATTGGACTTTATTACTTTGCCATTTGTTAGAACATATTCAAGGCTATACTTACCTATTTATAAAACTTTAATACTGTGACTAACAAAACTTGCCTTAAGAATCAAGAGTGACTAATGCCTATCTATAAATGAAATTGACCACATTTGTATATTTGTATTAATCTGTAAGCGACGCACTGGGCATTTTATATCTATGTAGTAAATACTTAGCTACATACTTCACATAATATATAAATAATGAGTTTCTTTATTTCGAAATCATGTTAGCAGGTTATATGGAATGATAGGTAGATGACGTAAGTAGTTAACAATAGAATTGGAATTTAATTGAAACCTAGGTAGGTAGGTACACATCGCATCTTGTGATCTTGCATGCAGCGAGCTGTACCATTGATTGTTTCATCTTACGACATATCGTGTATTGAAATATCCATAACAATAAAGATCAAATATTTAAATTTATTTTATGTGTTTTCCAGCACGATGAACGATCGAAAGCTGGCATCGAGAAAATCAACAGTTTACTGGAATCGTTCATGGGCATCAACGACTCCGAGTTAGCATCGCAGATGTGGGATCTTGCCGAAGGAAAAGCAAACTCTATGCAACTAGCGGAAGCCATCGATAATAGTGACTTACAAGAATTCGGATTCACGGACGAGTTTATAATTGAATTATGGGGTGTTATTACTGACGCTAGATCTGGTAGACTCAGTTAGAATTTTTTTTATTTTGTAAGGTAATAATAACACGAATGTTTATGTAGATAAAAGTTGCCTTAATAGATATTATAAACTGATAATTTTAGATCCTCGGAATGACGGTCGGTGACCTACTTTGGACGGCTGCATTAAACATTATTTAAAACTTCACATAAACTGCCGCTATTTCGATCCGTTGAGAATATGAATATGAATCCCTACCTAGGTACTTGTTTCGTTAGACAGCAGCGGTTCTGATATTATTAGTTTTACACTTGAAGTACTCTGCTATTCTTGGAACAAATTTACATTCGTAGAACCGGTCCTGTTAATGAAATAATTGGAAGTTCCACCTGTTGTTAAACCAAACAAAACCACTTGGTACTTTAATAGTCCCGTTGTGCTAAAGTTGCGCTCCCCGCTTGAGCGGCGGCAGCCAGTTCCACGTTGTACGTGGTGCATTCTTTCCATTAAATTGTTTAAACAACTTTGTAATCAGCACTTATACAAATTTTTTATGATATCAGTGTTGGTTGATTATCTTCAAAGTGTATATGATTAATTTGAGTCGAATATGAATAATGAATATGACACGTATATTGCTAAGTACCGGCATGATAAATTTGTACTAAATAAAAAGTGACGACGTTGCTTCAATACAACAAACGATGCTGACCTATACTCGGAATTTTAATTCGATTCCAGATTTGACAATTTCAGTGTGGCAACGTTATGACAAGTACTAAATAGTGACGTTGCGAAATTATTCGATATGGAAATGAAATATTTCTGGATCGATTCTTCTCGTTTATAATAATTACAATTTTACTCTCGTGAACTATGTTTATCAGGAAATTAAATATTTCTGAACCGATAATTTAGTTTTGACGATTAATTAACGATCTGAGACGTTTCTTTTATAATTGTGTGTGAAATAAATAAAAAAATGTAATCATGAAGGAACATGACAAATAAAACAGATAGATGTATTATGGTAATAAGTTATTTTATAAATTGTCGCCTTCATCGCTATCGCTATCCTGTCACTTTCTGTAACATTTATTATAAAACACACACACTGATTGTTTATCGATTTTTGTGTGCATCACTACACTATTATATGTGGTATCATTATTTCACAAAATGACAGTAGCTATTGTCAAATCTGGAATCTAATTAAAATTCTGACTATAATTAATGATTTTTGCTTGTAAACAAAAATACTATGCATTTTTTTAAATACAGATAGATATTACTTTATAATAGATACTTACTTATCTAATATTAAATAAAGAAAGTAATTTATATCTACCACTTAGTGACTACACAGTTGCGTTTGTGGTAGAAGGCGTTATATTACTATATGGATTGTATGGAAACTTGTAAGTAGTCATAATGAAAATGGTTCAAATTGTCAGTAGACCGAAGAAAAATAATGGTACAAAGGAAGTTAACTAACAACACTGGGTACAACAATTTAGTTGCACAGTCGTGTAACCGCGTGATGTTTTAAGCATTTAAGAAAATTAGATTTACAAATCCTTACTAATATTATAAATCGGAAAGTAAGTTTGTTTGTTTGTTTGTTTGTTCCGACTTCACGCCGTAACTACTAAACCGATTGCATTGAATTTTTGCAGACGTAAAGTTAGTAGTCTGGATTAAATAATAGGGTACTTTTATCCCTGAAAAAATTGATATTCCCGAGGGAAAACAAAAGTGTTGGCATAGATGGCGCTGTATGTGTTGGTATATGTCACATAGGCTACTTTTTATTCTTTTGTGACGCGAGCGAAGCCGCGGGTAAAAGCTAGTACTTACATAAAATAGGTTACTTTTCAATGACTTTGGTACCTACGACATTATTAGAAAGAATACGTATTTTTATGCACCTATCGAAATCAAGAAATGGTAAATTACTATTTGTACTAAATGCGGTCCAGGAACCTAAACATACCTATGTATAATTACAGAATTATTAAAAACAGTATACCTATAATGTTGGATTAATTTTTATGTATTGTTTTATGTCAATAAAATAGACGTCAATTCATTTAAAATGCTTTGCTAAGAATAATTTTCCATTTTTGAGAGATACCTATATTGGTATTAAGTACTTATTTTAGGTACTATCGCTCATCCTCTTTTCAACTTGATAGTTAGAAGTGAATCAATGCATTACCTAAAGAAAGAGGTCCTGTAATAATGTTTCAAGCTAATTGCACGAGTTTTAAATGAATGACGTCGGTGTTCACTTCAGCTATGCTATTCTGTAACTTTCAGTTTGAAACATCGAGGTGAACTCGATCACGGTCCGCCCTGTCATTGGTTGTGAGAAATTATCTCGACCAATGACGAGCGATACTGCGATCGAGTTCACTTCGAAAGTTCAAATTGACAGTTACAAAAGAGCCCAGCAGTTACAAGAATAGGTAGGTACCTATTCTTTGTAGAAGTCTTGTAGAGGTTTTGTTTGTAGAAGTCTAGGTAGACTTTATACATATCAATGCTGATGTACCTAATGGGTGCTTGTAACTACTGTAGGTACGTGATTTATATTATAAATATTGGTAATTACCTACAAATAATGAAGATATTAATAAAAACGAGTCATTTATTTGTTAGAAAGTGAATTGATAAGTTTGCATTAGAATAGTAAAGTTGTATAACTTCTCGTGTAGGTAAGTTCTTTAGATAGAGACTTATTATTATGTTCATTAAGGCCCATTTTCCCATTGATAAGTTATTTCTGTTCGATCAACTGCCAACAAAGTAACAGTGCCTACCTATCATAACTAGAGATGGTGAAATCAAGGTCTTAATGTACCCTAATAAAGCATTTTAGAACAACTTTTAATCTATGTGCGTGAAGATCGGTCATAAATATCTAATTTGTGGAATACTTATACAAACACGTAGGTAGTACCTACCTATTTTGTGTATAAGTACCTACATTTATATGCATAAAATAGTAAAATACATTTTTTACACTAAGCTATCTATAACGAAGAAAACTTCCAAAGTATTATTTTATGAAATTCAGTAATGTGAATTTGGTATTTAATTGATTAAAAGGTATAATATACCTACCTACTTAATATTTAACTCCCTAAGTAAATTGTAAAAATGTATTTATCTAATTTTCGGATTTATGTACCAATAGATATCCATACTTATAAAATAAATTATATTCATAGAGTTGAACCTAAGTGCCTATTTACAAAATTTATTTTGATTTGATCATTATTAATTATCTTGATTATTAGATACCTTCTTATGTACAGTCATTAGATATCTAGAATGTTTTTATATTAGAGAATAGAATACATAATTATTAGAATTAAATTAAATGTAAAGAGGAACACTATTTATGTGAAATAAATATTTTTCTGTATTTTTACGATGTGTTTTGATGAGAAAAAAATCTTGATAGATACTAATATTAAAAAGCTATGGAGTTTGTTTGTTTACACGCACTAATCTCCTCGAAGTCAAGAATAGATTTATTTTTCGTATTGCAGACTTCGCGCTGCGCCGCTTTATTTATTTACAAATTTGAAATTAGTGAATCTGATTCGGGATTATGGGATGGGGAGAACCTCTTGTAACCTCATTCACACAGCGAAACAACACATACGTTATTACGTTGTTTCACTCTACTCCAGGGCAGTGCGGGATCGAGCTGGCCTATGCATATTTTTGCGACTTAAAGATACCTACCCTTTTTATGGAATAAGGTAAGGCGACACACGAGCAGGTACTTATACTTGTATATCACCTCATGGAAAGAAATTGGTGCCATCCATTCATCTTTCGTTGACTGTGCATACATTATATCTACAATTCTACATTCAACGAAAGTCGTGTCGTGAGTTCGTGAGCAACAAATGCATTGGCGCTACCGGCCTTGATTTGCAGAAATTGCAGATTCGGAATCGGGGTGGGGGAGGATTGGCCACCACACCGACTCATTCAGAAGTCAGACACGCGGCGAACGGGCGAAACAAAACGTAAGCGTTGTTTCACGCCGGTTGCCTGCGAAGCCGTGGTATCATTCGTGCCGATCCAATAAAAATCTCTTAATAATTATATATAAAACCTAACACCCAAGTTATTGGGTACCCACATAAGTCGATTTGATTAGCTAACCTAGCTACCTCGGACCTCGCCTCACCCAGGCGGGAGCAGTCATTCGATGATTTTCCCCCATTTAAAAAAAAACCTAGCTACCTAGGTGTTAAAACTTCATAAATTAACAAAAACATGACGCAAGTAGGGCTTGATCTGAGGTGCTCTGTAGAGTCTGTAGACTAATGCAATGTCGATTCTGTGCTATTGTACTTGTTTGTGTGTTTTGAACTTCATGGAAATTATGGACTATGTAAATAATTTATTTACATAGCACTACATTACTACAATTACTACGTTTATTTTAAATAAACCTACCTATCTATTGTCACTTGCAAAGTTGCAAGTTCTAAGGATTTCGAACTCTGTTTTTACTTATTTACAGATAATTTCTAAAACTTATATCAACTGTACAATTTACTGTTTGTCTATTTACATTATAGAATTTATGATAACAAATAAGATCTATTCTTAGCATGGTAATAATATTATGCGTCGCCGTGACATTAAGGTTTATATCAAAGTGTTTTCGATTACTTAATCGATTACTTAAAACATGCTGTACCTACTTAGGTACAGCATGTTTTATAAAGAACCAAATCAACAATAAGTAACTAAAAAACCTGAATAACTGGAATCTCTACTGATGTAAAATTAAATCGCATAAATTAATTTGCAAACAGTTCTTGTCGATAAATAAAACAACTATTCTCTTGCTTACGAGCCCCCAGTTGACCTCGAGATAGTGAGACAAACAACTGCTAAATCTCAGTTTCTTTATCTACTTTATCGCGGTTGGTAACACAGCCCTGTGCAACTCTTCCGAAAAATTGAAGCTGTCATTTTTGAGTGAAATTTGAATCTGTGAAGTACACACTGTCTGTTTGTACGTAAAATTATTTTTTATTTTTGTAACAATATTGTTAATCATTTCTTATCTATTTACATAATACAGTCTTTATACGAGTGTTTCAAAAACAAGTGAATACAATACGCACTTTATTCGTACAGACCGTGACATTGGCTGTTTCATTAATTCGATTTTTAAACAGCGTTAATTAAATTGTTAATGTGAATGTTAATCAGTGAAACTTAATCAAGACATTTTACTTATATTTTAGTGCTAAAACGATGGCGTCGACGGTGTTGGGAAGGATATTTTTGATCAAATCACATGGTTTTTCGAAAAATAAAGTATACACTATCACCAAGGTAGGTAGAATTCTGGTATTGTTTACATTTACTTTCGTAAGTCATTTTGTGAAGTTATTTACTTTTTGTTATCTAATGTTGCAGATATTTTCATGTGCCAGTTATAGCACAGCAAGTCGTTCAAACAAAATTTACGAGAGTGCTAAAGAAGCTGTTAGTGATATTCAGGATGGGTCCAAGTTATTGGTCGGTGGTTTCGGTTTGTGTGGAATACCAGAAAACCTGATTGTGGCAGTCAAAGATAAACGTGTTTCTGGTCTTACTGTAGTCTCCAACAATGCAGGTAGAATTAATTTAAATACACTATTAATAGATACTTTTATTAACATAATGTTGAACAACACAGCAGAAATTACACATACTATATAATTTGCAGGAGTTGAAGACTTTGGTCTTGGTATTTTGTTGAAGACTAAGCAAGTTAAGCGAATGATAGCTTCATATGTTGGTGAGAATGCAGAATTTGAGCGACAGTTTTTGAGTGGAGAGTTGGAGGTTGGTATTGGAAATAAGGTTTATATTACTAGTAATATTACTACCTTATATACTAGTAATATAAACATTATAAGCACTATGAGTGCTTATAATGCCTTTTATTAAGGTATACCAAAAAGTCTAAAACCTCTTTATGTCACTAGGTTGAACTGACTCCACAAGGTACATTGGCAGAAAGGATCCGTGCTGGTGGTGCTGGTATACCAGCTTTCTTCACCCCAACTGGATTTGGTACCCTTATACATGAAGGTGGATCACCTATTAAGTATACTAATGATGGAAAGGTATGTTATTACAATAAAATCTTTCAACTTTCAAATATAGGTGTATATTGTAAGTTAAAAATGTGTGTTTTTGATGTGTGTTTATAAATACTTTATTAATATACATAAATGAAACTGTTTATTTATTTTAGATTGCTATTCCAAGTGCAGCTAGACATGAACAGCAGTTTAATGGAAAGAATTACATAATGGAGGAGGCAATTACTGGTGATTTTGCCCTTGTGAAGGCATGGAAAGCAGACAGGCATGGTAACTTAATATTCAGAAAGAGTGCTCGGAACTTTAACCCAGCAATGTGCAGAGCAGCTAAGATCACTATTGCTGAGGTGGAGGAAATAGTGGATGAGATTGACCCTGACTTTGTGCATGTACCATCCATATTTGTACACAGAGTGATTAAAGGTGAAAAGTATGAGAAACGGATTGAAAGAAGGACAGTTCAGAAGCCCGCTCAAGCTGGTAAGAAATCAGATTCAATGAGGGAGAGAATCATTAGGAGAGCTGCTTTGGAATTTAAGGATGGAATGTATGCTAATCTTGGAATTGGTGAGTTGTTCTTCACAGGGTCTAGATCTGCTAATAGTCTAGTAAATTCTTTTATGATTACCACAAAGCTGTGTAAACATACTAATCTCTAGAATAAAGTATAATACAATATGATATTAAAACATAACTATACAAACAGGTTTATTCGTTTTAGAGTTTTTTAGATACAATTTTAAGCTACAATTTTGGTTTTTCAGGTATGCCCATGCTGGCAAGTAATTACATACCACAGAATGTAAAAGTGTTCCTGCAGTCAGAAAATGGTATCTTGGGTCTTGGTCCATTCCCAACTGAGGAGAATGTGGATGCTGATCTAATCAATGCAGGCAAAGAAACTGTAACTGTACTGCCTGGTGGGTAAATTAGAAACTGGTTATTTATGCACTTGTTTGTTTTGTTTCACAAAATTTATTTGAATTAATTTTTATGTAGGTTCATCATTCTTTTCATCTGACGACAGTTTTGGCATGATCCGTGGAGGACATATTAATTTGACTATTCTTGGTGCTATGCAAGTGTCTAGATATGGTGACTTGGCTAATTGGATGATCCCCGTAAGTTTCATTTTATTTCTGCTATCATAACATCTTACCTAAATGCAAGGGAGGTGATTGATTGTAGGCATAATGCTGGTTTGATTTTTCAGGGTAAAATGGTAAAAGGCATGGGAGGAGCCATGGACTTGGTGTCAGCTCCAAGAACTAAAGTAGTTGTAACAATGGAACACACCGCCAAAAATGGAGCTCATAAAATACTGCCTGAGTGCACACTCCCACTCACTGGGAAAAATTGTGTTGACATGATTATCACAGAAAAGGTAAGCAATATTTTATATTTGTTGTGTTTGTGAAGTTGTAATTGCAAATAATAAAGTAGACTATTAAGAACTAAGAAATTCAATTTTCTTACATTGTAGTGCGTCTTTGAAGTCGACAAAGAAAAAGGTCTTACGTTGACTGAACTGGCCGACGGAGTTACAGTAGAAGATGTACTGGTAAGCACTGGCTGCGAAATTAATGTTGCGGAGAAAATTAAGAAAATGGGTGATGTCACTCAGCTCGATTCTGAATAAGCTTTACATAAAAAAACTGATTACCAAACGCATTTAAGTGCCTTAAAAACGTATTTTTATTATATTTACAGTAACTATCAATCTAAATATTATATAACAATATAGTAATTATATAAACACATAAGTCTTGCCATTAAAAATAAAGAAATATTTACAAAATAAGTAAAATATTAATTTTTATAGATTCTAAGAAAACTACACAGTAATTCAGCTTGTTACTAATATAGGACATGTTGATAAGATGTTAGTATAAAAATGATATATTATTAAGTATTCTCTTGTAAAAAATAAAATCACAAATACCTATGGCTCAAAACAAAAAATTCTTGTAAATAATGGTTTAATGGAAAAGTTTGTATATAATAACGAATAATAAAATGGAAAATGGCTAGCGTCACAAATGTGTTTAAGATTAATTTAATTTTCTAAATATATTTATCAGGCAAGGTTGATTAGTAATACATGTAACTACTTTTTAATTACTAATACTTTTTGTTAATACATTCCTATTGTATTTGATCATGTTCTATGAATTGACTATTTCTAGTCTCAAAATAAGTTTTAATTTACACAATGGATTGATATTTTCATAACATTTTATTGAAACAGATGCAATTTGAAACATTTATTTTATTTGATATGTTTGTTATTGTTATGAATTATAATTAATATTTCTGTATTGAATTTGTTAAAGTGTTGACGATTTAAATATATTGTACGTGTTTATGGTAACAAATGCTTTTTATTTTAAACATTTTAATTTATTCTATTAATTAATTGTAGCAATTGTCCTTATAGAAAGAAAGAAAGAAAGAAAGAAAAATAAATTTATTCGTCGTCAGACATGGACCACCGAAAATAAAACAATATAAAAAACATAAAATAACAAAAAAAAAACAATAAAACAAAAAAAACGTTATATAAAAAAAAAGCAAAATAAAAAGAGACCGGGTGGCAGCATGTCCACTACGAAAGGGCCCGCCAACTCAGCATAAGCTGGGCACAGTAAGTACCCAACACTGGTTTTCAGTTGGCACCCCTGCAGTGACGCACGGACGGAGGCAACGAAAAATTATTTAAAGGAAAATAATGGAATACATAACTCATGTTAAAACAATAAAAGAAAAGGAAGATATTATTTAAACACAGACCTCTGTGTGTGCACATTGTGCGATAAATAAATAAATAAATAAAAAATAAGTATACATACATAAACTAGTGCTACGTGTACCGTCACCGAAGAGAAGAAAAATAAAAACATTATAAACCACATATATCACGACAATTAAAAATAGTGTGGGTAGGTTGTGGTCGTGAAGCTATCGCGCAGCCCGACACTCATTGCGAGAGGTTACAGCGAGCAGGTCGACACTTCGCCAGCACTGACGCAACAACAAGGGGCTCGAGGGTGAGTATGTGAGATATCCTACGTTACATTAATAATGAAAGCAATAAATAATTATAATTATAAAAATAAATAAATATGAAAATGTGACTAACATAATTTGTGTACCCAATTATACGAATAAAATAAAAAGAAGGATAAATGTCAGATTAAATAAACGAAATGTCAATATTAATAGATTCACTCTCAATTTGAGAGTTAATAATAAACTCCTTGAGTTTTCTTTTAAAAGTGAAAGTGCTTTGCAATTATAGCTGTTTTAGATTATTGGATTTATTTCATATTAAATTATAGCAAAAGTTGAAAAACTAATTATAGGTAAGTACGTTATACAGGACAAAATAGATACATATTTTAGTATCCCCGCGCGGTTTCACCTGCTGCCCAACAATTATTTGTCATGTCGTGATGCTTTATTGCGCGTTTATGGCTCCCTCAATGAAAGGAATATGGGATAATATGGTTCCATCTATGATATGATCTTAGTTACCCGTAATGGGTGTAGATGCCTATACTATATTGACGCATTCCACCACATGGAACTTGCACTGATAACGGTTGTTTACCAAGTTGTTATGCAAACTACCAACTCATGTGTTAAAGATAACAGAACTCATAAATCGTTTATTTTCGTCTATGACAATGACATCACTGCTAAAATAATTAAAATTAAAAAATCTGATTGTGAAAGTGTCAAGTTTGATTTAATGGTTCTTTACGATAAGATTTATTTACAAGATAATTTTAGTAATTTCATTTAATATAGATTTATTTGGTTGGGTTATAAACTTACGTGTTTGGTCCTTGGACCTGAGATAGTCGTTCACCTGCCGATATGACGAGTATGGGTCCAAATCACCCTTTCATTGTGTGGGGAGCATGCTTCCTATGGCTTGCGTCAATGTTTGCTATAACTTGGTCATTGCTTTTATTCTTTTGTAAGTATCAAGTTAATAAGATGCGGGACAAATTCAAATTAATTTATTTTTGTTTTAATCGGCTGATTTGGAAGTCATTTTCACGAATACTAACTGCTTAACTAGTACCTCGTTTGGTCCAATGGTCGACGTATGCAAGACCTAGCGTGGGATCTGCGGTTAGATTCCCTGATAAAATTTCTTTGAAACACTCCGCGTATCTAACACGGAGTTAGGATTTGTGCGCAGGCGTGATACTCGTATTGTGTGATTATTATAAGTAAACTGAGTGTTACCTATTGTACCGACACAAGATGTTCTATCTGGGTACCAGCCTATGCAGAGTAGATTAGTATTAAGTGCCTTGTGTTTGTTTGCTAAAAAATATTCATCTCCTGTCTAGGTGTCGGTGATATATTGATGTTAACTGGGACAGACGTCGTTAACGCGATTGTTTTACTATCTGGAATTATAATGCTCCCAACAAACGTACACATTCTATGTTCTATAGCAAATGGTAGACGGATTGAGTAAGTTTGTATTGTGTATAGTTTCTCCGATATAATGTACCATGCCCTAGATAACACAGCTAGGCGAATATCGGGAAAGGAAGAACATCAGAATGAGTTCACAATAAAGTAACATATTCGAATCGTTTTGAGATTTTTTGGCCGAGTGCAACAGCTGCGTGCGTACCTACTTACCTACTTATAATGGCGCGGTACATCAGTAAACCCAATCGGTTAAAGCTTGACATCTGTTACTATATTTTTAATTGCAGTTATAAGTCGAAAGTTGTTTGCTGTCCACTGTGGCTATGCATTGTATGGATAATAATAATAAACATGTTGGGAGCTGCGTTTTGCATTCAAAAGATTTATTCTGGCAAATATCCAACCCTTGAAAAGATAAGCAATACTATAAAGCATTATAGAAGTGTACCAAAATATAAACATTTTGTTGATAACTTGCAGTGGTCTTTGAAATGTTGTGGGGTATGTTTCAGTTGAATTTTTAATACCTAGATGCTGACTTCTGACATTACTGTGGAAATTTTATAGAATATTTAGTAGTAGGTATGTGTAGGGACATATACAAGTAATTATTTTGTTTATTTCAGCTTAATTCCTATAAAGATTGGTTTAACCATGATTGGTACGATAAAATACGTGACTATGAATGGGATCCGAGTGCTAATAAACGCAATGGCTACAAGAGAAGAGAGTTGGAGACTTTGTCAGATAGCGTTCCATTAAGGTTAAATATTCGATTCATAACATAATTGCCTAGGTTAACATAAATCACTATAAATATTTAAATGCGAATCAATTCGGTTCAGAAAACTAAAATTCGCGGCCATTCGCAGTCAATCACAGAAGTCCAATTTGGCAATCTCCTGTGGTGTGTGGACACATTTTTTATAGTGGCAACTTTGATAGTTCACAATTATGTTTGGTTTTTGTTTCACAGTTGCTGTAAAAGTGGATCGTGCATATCAAATTATTTGCTAGAACTAGGAACGCACTCAATTAACACTAAAGGATGTGGGAATTTAATATATCGCATTATATTGTCATCAATGGTAGCTCACTTAATAATGTTCATTTCTGTAATTATAGTTGAGGTACGTTGGTTTTATTGGTTAAGCAAGTTAAGCGAATAATTAAGATATCTTAGCCTCATAGGTATTTAGCTAAATTGTATGCATGTATGTAACCAAAGTATTCTTATTAGCTGTTTTCTCAACAGATTTTAATTCTAAAGTATATAATTCAAAATAATCCTTGTCCTCAAGATAAAAGGCCGGTGAATATGAATGTACGACACATAATGTCCGTGAATGATCGTTTCGCCTCCAGCAACTCACTTCAAATGAATCCTGATGATACAGATTATGAAAATGAAGTTCATCTTGGAGATGTACGAATGGATGGTTCAGGGTATGTTGACAAGTATTTATTTGTAGTTAATGACAAACTGTGTACCATCCTACCTAATTTTTACTTATGTACCTACATACTTAGTTATTTATTACCAGTACCTACGTGTTCTGTCATTTCGACAACTACAAATCTTGATTTTCGATTTCAGTCAAATAGGATAGGGCTCAAAAGATTAAATTATAACTAACTTTTCATTTTGTAGATTAACGATAGTTAATCGAGTTATTGAAGATGAAGATTCAGAAAGTGCGAAGGAGACAAAAAAGTGGAGATATGAGGACGACTAGTTTCTACCTACTTTACTGTGATTGATAAGATGGTTTCATTAAAAAAAAAGAAAGTACCTTCGTATGCAATTCATTCTTCGAAAGAATATTCTACCTACCTAATACCTATCCAAACACTGAAAATAATTATGGTAAGATTAGTTTGCTCCTATTACACCGGCTAGAAATATGAATCAAGTTATAGAAAGAATGTACAAGTTGGTATGTGTCGACTGAAAAAGACTGCAGATAATTTTTCAACCGATGAATATTTTTTGTTACTCAGAAAATAAAATTGACGTCTGACATTATTTTGTATGGTTAGGAAGAATTGTCAAGAATGCCAAAATTATTCCTACGATAGAGCTATCTGGCGTTAGATAAATCGAGCCGGGCCCAATTACTATATCTATGGCGCGGTCCTGTATTTGTTCTAAAAAGGCATTGGTTCCGGTATAAAAAGTAATTAACGGTTGTCGTTGACTGATGTCATTTGACAGTTACAATACTTACAAATTACAATGTCACTGTCACTGTGACAGAAAGCTTTTAAATAAGGTGTTCTCTTGTCTGTATTGATCTTTATAAATAAATAATTTTCTATATTACTTATTGGAAAGTAAGTATAGAAATATATAAAATTGGTTCAATTATTTTAGTCCACTTTCTTAGTAAGCATTGAACACTAATTTACACATAACCTCAATTGCAGACCATGGTGTTCCTAACAATAGCTAACTGGGTACGTTCCCGAGGGCCTGACGAGTTTTGGAGAAAAAGAAGAATGTTCAGGCTCGCTGCACATTACATAGGACGTAGAAGAAACTGTTATTCTGTCACTGTACGCAATGTTCACAGAGCATTAGTTTATGCAACCAAAGCTAGGAAGTTGAAGAAGCAGGACATGATTGATCTATGGAGCACTAGAATTACAGCGGCTTGTGAACAACATAACATTACACCTTGCACATTAAAGCAAGGCTTGGATCGTGCTAACATCATGTTAGACCGTAAATCATTATCTGATCTTGCTTGTTGGGAACCACGGACATTTGAATGTTTAGCTGCCGTAGCTAAGCAGAAGCTAGAGTACGATGGAGTTATTGACTATACTGATAAAAAATACCCTACAGGTGTGAATCTTAAACTAAAAGATGTTATGCTTGAGGCTTGGCTGAAGGAAAAGAAACAATAATTTAATTCAACATTTTATTACCTATTATCTAGTAATTTTAGTTCCACATTAGTTCTGTAAATAATAAATATTACTTAACACAAATGCTTTTCATTGATTAGCTCCCTAATTCTTTCTTTAGTTTTTTTGTTAATTCATTTTGCTTCTCTAATATGTAAAGGTTTTCTATTTTTCGTCTTTGCTGTCTCTCCACATCCTTTATTACTCCTTCATGCATTCTTTCCCTGAAATATTAATTGTTTTGTTATTGTAAAGAGGAAAATTAAGATCATATCTGCAGATATAAAAAATATAGGTAAATTGTCTGAATGGGCACAATACACATTTGCAAGTAAGAAAATAGAAGAGCTACCCAATTTCAGCTAAATTCAAAAGATAGTTTCAAAAGAAATTAAGCACCTGCATGTACTTCTGATAATATTACCTGTCTGTTTGTTGTTTTATGTGCACATATGATACAATACCCAAAGTGACTGAACATGACAGCAGTAAAACAAACTTAGACGTTCCTGAAGACATTATTACTTAATAGAATTTGTAACACTCTCAATACACATAATTAGATTGTATTATCTTATGAATTCCAAGATAATATTTTTATGTCGAAGAAAATGTTGGTTGTCTCGAAAACTGTCACTTGCGGAACAAACCGAAGAAATTGTTATTTGTCAATGTCATTTGACATTTGACAATCTTGACATTTCAATTCCAGTTGGTTCAGTGTTACCATATTCAATATTTTTTTATTTGACTGATTTTAAAATATGGAATTAATGGATAAAATGGATAAAATAATGAATAAAAATAATCTTTTACTACTAAAAGAATTAAGGTTTCAAGGTAGCCCGCGAAATTTAAATTTTCTTATGTTTTTTTGGTAATTTATAGCTCGATATCGATATGAAATAGTATGATGATAAAACATATAGGGAAGAGAATAGGAACTTAGGGAAGGGACATAAGGTAATTTTTTTACCAAAATGGTTCTTTGTATACTTCTTAATTGCGGAGAATTAGAAATTTGTGGGTTGCTTTGAAGCATCCTCCATTATATTAATATTTTTCGAATGAGATTAAAAAAAGACACATATAAGTGGTGTTTTTTTTTGATAAATTATTAGGTACCTATTAAAAGAGAGTACCTACATAGTAAACCTATGATTGGTAAAAATAGTGGTGAATTATACTCTCAACAATTCGGGATTTACTATCACATTGTAATTTTGTTATGCCTTTGAAGGATATTTTCACCAATATTTTTTTACCGTATGAATGCTTTAGAAATCAGATGAAAAAAAAGCAATTTACCTTCAGACTTAATCTTTTATTAAAAACTTTTAGCTTTGTATGCACTAAGTAGGTAAGTAGGTACCTACTATGTTTATTGCTAGGCACTAGAATATTGGAACCAATTTCATAAGCTCAAAGTGCCTGCCTACCTAACAATAGGTGTACGGTAAAAATAAGTTGTACTAACATTTTTGTAATTGTTACACGTAAGTACCTACCTAATAATCAAATTGTAGGTAGGTACTCACATACATAGGTAACGTGAAAATGTCGATTAAATGTGTTATGGTCACAGTTTATTTCGTTAGTTAATTTCTTTTTAAATCAACAGTTTCTATCATCCTTATGAATTTGGTTCCACAGATTTTGTCATTTTTCTAAATGAAACTTGCGCACCGAAATTAATTCCCTCACTTAGTAATAAAAAGTGCCTGAAAAGTGCTTGTTCGTTGCTATAAAAAAGACGAATCTTTTGTATGTATATTTATCAGACATTTTTACAAAAACATAAATATAAAATTATAACGTTAAGTATTTACAAAGGTTTCTTATTTACTAATTTATTACAAAAACTTTGAGTATTCCACTAATCGTAAGATAATAATAACTAGGCACCTAATACTTAATACAAAGTTAAGTTCAGTCAGTTACTGAGAATTTTGTAACAATAAGTATAAATATCATGTAAATTTACATTATTAAAGAACATCTAAAATCTTGAGGATTTATTTAAAATGTTTTGTAATATCGTCTATAATATTTACAATAGGTACCTAAGTATTCATTTCAAGTTCGTTGAGACAAGTTTGTACTCGCCTAGCATGAAAGAATAGGTATAGCAGGAGCTCAAGTTATTTTAAACACGTTTTGAAAACAGATGAACTTGCACACTATTTAGCTCATATTGTAAATCTACCTACATGCAATAAAACAAGTGTTCATAATTTAAATAAACGCATGTAAATGTTCTCCCTGTAACAACTGCACACTGAAAACAATCACTGATATAATTACACTTCGACAAATGTTTCCTTTTCGTTCTACTCCGTCCACTTTTCATTTAAAGCTTACTCGCAGAGTCTATATAAATAGACAGCAAAGTCTATAGTGGGAAGCCTACTGGTTATTATGGCACAGCTACCTGCCGCAGTTGTCATAGAAACTGGCAGAGCCCCGGTTGGGGATTTCAGCAAACTCGCGTTTTGGTGTGCACAATTTTGTGCTGAAGTCGACGTTTCTTTTCCTGCAAAAGCAGAATAAAATAATTTTTAGAAACAGCCTGAAAAAAATTAGATATACCAATAATAACCAGCGCATGTTACCCTCTGCTTGGCAGTTCCATTTGGTCGACGAGAACTGATTTGACGTACAATCGGTCATTACACCATAGTATGCAAAGAGATCGCGGCTCCAGTACATTCATGTCGTACTCCCACGATAACTCCACCTAAAACAAAAGATGACGAAACATGTTTATCATAAAAATACACTTGATTGCTCCTTTTCTTAAAAAAAAAAATAATTGGAGGAAACAGCGTATTTGTACATTTGTATTTCTCTTATATGTATAGGTATTTATCTACACACCTTTCTTACTTTTCCACCCAAATCCATAGGGTGTGTAACCACTATGGTGTAGGTAGTGCCATGTTCTAATCTGTAAATAAAAAAATTGTTAGATGGTCGTAAAAATATCTAGTCACTTGAAAGTAATATGAATTGCCAGACAAATTTCAGATCACACTCACTTAACGTAGTTATTTGGTGTTAAATCCATTCCTCTAATTACCCCTCTATCGGACAACAAAGTTACTTTGAGGAAACCCTGTGGACAAAAAATCGATGTATATAGGACTATAGGCTTAATTATTTTCAGCGACTGTATGCAAATCTGCCTTCTTCATCATTCCATTTTCGTCCACGATTGGACATACTTAGACCTTTTCAATTCAACCAATGTCATGCCATCGCCGTCAAGCTCGATCTTCAGTTCAGCCAATCAATACTAACACTACTTATATAGCGGCCTACAAGTTTCAATAGTGCTCAAATCTACCCCCAGATTGAATTTTGAAATTTAGGTTTATGGTAAATCTAGTTTTCTTTGATAGTGAAAAAATAGTTAATGCTATTACCTGCACCCACGATTCTGCTCCTTTAGGATTTGCCAGCTGAATAGCTACACGGTAATGTCGTTCTGAAATAAAACCACGAAATAAATTATGAAATTATATTCCAATTAATAGAACAAAACTAGATTTTATTCCATGGGTAAATACGACGGTAGGGGACATCAATTTTGTCTGACAGTTGCGTTATATTTGGTCAAATTAACCCTCATGATAAAGTGAATTTGAAGTAAATTCCGATTTAGTGACTCGCTTATAGGGAGGGATATAGGGAGTACTCCCTATATAAAAAAAAAAATTGGTAAGTATGTAGAAGTAATGTTGCTATAGGTACTTTTACGTTCATAGGATGTTGAACAGTTTTCATTAATCTACTTGATACATTTAAGATAATTGTCATACACCCGGTATTAAACAGTTGATAACAACAATAATCGCATTTACCGACATCTCTTTCCGATTGTTCATTATATGCAAAGTTGGCCTGGAAAAGGTTGTCACCGGATTGTTAATTTTTATTATTAAAAAAATCGGTTTTGGCTTTCTTTTGCTTAGTTTCGAAAAGGTGTTTTGCAAATGGGCAACTGATTAACTGGTCCAAAACTATTAGGAAATCTTTTGGCAAATGTCATATTACTAAACCACATTCTAAATTAGCAAGTATTGTGTTGTAACATGAGGTTGAAAGCAATCAGCCACATGCTGTTATTAGGGAGAAAGGAACCTCATTTCAGATGCTATGTCGTAATGCAAGGGTCAACTGCACCTCGTCAAGACGAACCCTATTCAACCGCCATGAATAATATAACACACAACATACATGATTTATTTTATAAGTTTAGTATATATTAGGTACGGAAATACAATTTAAATATGAAGCTTTTAATTTTACAGCCATCGAATTTGATTAATAAAATGACACTTTACTAGTCACGCTAAATGTGTCAAATAAAATACTTACGACAATAAGGCAGGTCCTTGCCTGTGCTGAGGTAATATTTAGCACCAATGGTGTCGTGCTCCTCAGATGGGAACACCTCATTCTCAGATTGATTATTTTTGTTCGTAATCAAACCCGGGGAGCTGTCTGCGTGGAATCTATTACATCAATAAAAATCGGTCAAAAATAAATTGAAATTAAATCGTAGGTATGTATTTAATTTAAACAACTGAAATTGATCATACCCCATTATAGCGCAACCGTGTCCGCAATGGAAACATTTTCCTGTTAGAAAATGTTGGTATGACGGGCACTGATGTCCTGAAAATTTGGGTAATGTTAATTAGGGCTGCACATTAGTAACTCAATCATAGGCATGGAATCTAACTTCCTTACCTTAAATAATAATTCATTATAATTCACACGATATTCCTTACCTATATAGGAACACTTTCCATTGATAGATTCTGTGAAAAGCTTAATGGCTCTAACGTGGTTGCAGGCTACTAGTACCCTGGAAGCTTCCTCAAGTCCTTGTTTGACGAGTGTCAAAGGTACGAGCGGTCCTTCGGTGAGGTCACAACCTGGTTGCTCCTTCCCGTTATTCGGGTAGAAATCCAAGTGACCGACGGGTTGTGACATTCCATATCCTGCCATAAACACAAAATCTGTCGCACGCGTGAAATAAACCGTCGATTAATTAGTTACCATGTCACGCGATAAATATATATTCAGATATACTATACAAATGAATGATGGAACGAAAAGCTAAAAAGCGTATGGTACATATTTACAAAATAAAATACATATATACTATATAATACATAAATATTATATTAATAAGGGTTAGTAAGTAGTATGATTAGATGGTGGAGCGACAAAGCCAATTTTGTTGTTACAAACTTCATTTTATTACGTGATCAACAAATGTACATGATTCACGATAGTGCGGTGTGGATTATAAGAAGCGTACGTGCAGTATCACGAACGAATGAATATACACAGAGTTACGTCCAAGGCATTACCTAAAAGGAAAATGCTCTTTCCGTCAGTGTGTATGACGTCGACAAGTTGCGCGTCGCTAGGATCTAATCGCACATGCGTCGGCATTCCTTGGAAGTAAGGTTCGGCTGGATCCAGGCCTGTAATTCTTCCTAAGCCCTACGGAACGAGAAGCTAAATCAAAGAAAATATGAAAAGAAAATACGTAACATCATATAATGCACGATCTAGTAAATTTTGCTTTTTGGTTTTTACTTACCTGTATTCTTTCGCCTGCGTAACCTGCTGTATGGGCACCTAAGGAATGACCTATAATGTGGACATCCAATGGATTCACTCCATGTTCTTTCTGTAATTACATTTTGGCATTTTAGTAAGATATAATATTTCTGTTTCGTAGTGCAATAGTTTTTATAGTAATTTACCTGTAAAGTATTAATGAAATGTGCTACTTCAAGTCCCACTAGCCTAGTATTGGCCGTAGCTTGTGTGTACAGCGGTAGACTGCCGCCAGCCCAGTCCACTACAACAACATTGAAATCGCCAGCTTTCACAAGCTCATCTTTCATCTCACTGACCTAAAAACACAACACATCAAGGGGTAATTTATTGCATGTTCCATCATTTACAATGAGCCGTGCCACAAAGACATGATACTTACCCAGTTAGAGAGCGGAGTGTCGATGAAGCCGTGAATGATCATCTTAGTCAGTCGCTTCGGGTTGAAATTGGACTTTACTATAGTTTTGTTAACGTTCACGTTCAACAATTGTCCATCTGTTGGGTTCTTTTTTGTATATAAAATAAACCTGAAATTGAAATTTCTCTTTAGTCGTTTCATAAAAGATTGATTGACGTGAAATCTAGGTTTGCTACGTTGTCTCGTAAAATTCAGCGTCGGACAGACTCTATTGAAATTTGTAACTAACCATGTAAAATCTCGTTTTTAGTAAATTACAAACTATCGTATATAATATACGTATTACTTTTGAAATTCAATTCGCAAATAATGCCAGTAGTGAACTACTACAGATGTATAAGGAAAGACATAATTTATGTTGATGGCCAGTCACATCCATGTTAGCATGAATGGGACATTGTGGATATATTACCTAGTATTTATGACGACTCGTGGCAGCGGGAACACGTTGAAGGGCCGGTGAATGAGATGGTACCAGCTTCTAGTGATGTTCAGGCATCCTAGTTCGTCATAGCATCTTGTTTCATTTTCAACTGAAACAATCAATAAATAAAATTATAGGTATATGAGGTATCAAGTGATTCCAAACAAATCTAGCGTGTAAGGGGTTCTATTCTCTGAATTTTCAGTGACAGCATTTGTGCCCTCGTTTTTATGGTCAGTGCCTTTAGCCAAACGCCACTTTAGCGCTTGTCTACAGCGAGAGTAGAAAACTAAATGTATGGGGATGACATTGACATGCGTCAAAATTTACGTCGATCCCATGTAATTTGGTTTTCTATTCTACATGTAGACAAGCGCTAAGTGGCATTTGGCTACAGCTGCTGGTTAGCAATTTGAAGTTAGCAAAATTGCCAAACTACTGTGTCGGTGTTCGTATTCAGATTGTAAATGTTTTTTCTGTCATTAAAATAAAACACATACATGGTAGCCAGGGAATGTTGACCTCGATGCGGTCTGAACGCGCCCAGTTGAAGGGGTCCAGAATGCCAGCGAACGCTGGTTGCAACCCGAGTAGAATGCACCACAGCATCACGCGAAGATGTCTGTCTGTCAAGTGAAGCCGTCGCATGCTCTGTGGATCTGTAAAGAAAATATAAACCATTCTTCGTTGAAATAGGGACTTACAGATAATTAAAACAGACAGATGATTTAATAGAAATTGCAGTGTTTTGTAGTGATAAAGGAACACAATACTATGATCGAAGCTTTAAAATTAGCAGTAATTTTTCGAAGGGGTACGTAATGGACTAGATAAGGATGAAACATAATATCATTTATTTGAAAAAGCGAAAAAAATCGTTCATTTTGATTGACATTTTATCATGTCCCTATATGGTGCGTATCTACAGCATAATAGTAAGTTTGCTAGTCTATACTTAGGTACAGTTAGACTGCAGAATAATTTTGCTGTGTTGGACGTACCTACGTTACAATTATAGCTTCACTCGTGGATTATGGATTGAGTATGTGATTGCTCGTGCCGATCCCATCGAGGTCTAACATAAGTGCACGATTGTTAACCTTATTAATTGTTAAATCATTCCATTGTCTCTATTTACTTTAATTTAGAACGTAGGATTTTTTATATTTAATGTATTAGGTCATAATATTATTTACAAACATTACAGTAGATAATATCAAATGACGCAAAAGTATCTTATTTGTTAGATACAATTGGATTGATAATAAAAAAAAATGTGACAGAAATAGATAAGAAGAACATAACACTCTAAAACTATTTGTTAGTTATATCGTAAAATAACATCACGCGCTTTTTATCCCTGAACGGGTAGGCAGAGGTGCACATTACGGCACTTAATGCTACTGTATCGTAACACCCACTTTTCATTATTTATGTTATGTGTCATGTAATAGGGGGTAAACCGTTTGCAGTATACCAGGCTCAATTCCAGCCTCCGTGCTACTACTGAGATTTTTTATTTAAAACTTAGTAATACTTTTCCCGACCCGAGAATTGAACCTGAGACCTCTTACCGTCTCTAGTCGCACTTGCAACCACTCGGCCAACGAGGCATTCGTTACTTATATGTATAGGCTTTTATTTATTAACAGAATTAGTATCGTGTTTAAAAAGATAGAGCGTGAAGAATGCGCATGTATCGTTCTATATAATATTTTAATAATCAATTGCTTGTTAAAAATCTTTATTAACACTATATTGTTACAATGTTCCAACAATAATTATTCTCAAACCCTTTATGCGTATATCAAGATATATATCTATAATAATATAATATGTATATATATGTTTCAAGAAACAGAGATTAGAAAACAAGTGGAAAGTTAAATATTCAAAGTAGCCAGTGTCGTGATCCCTGTGCTAGTAATTTACAGTCATGTTCAGATCGTGGGTACTGATTGGTTTCCTTTGCTGTACCGTGGCGTGCTTCCTAGCTTTGGCCACGCGGAAGGTACCCCCCCTCACTTCTTATGCAATGGGTAGCTGTATGAGCGGTTACGATGTTATGTGTTAATACGTAAAGGGTAGAATTTGTGCTTATTTTATCTGTTAATATTACTGTAATAGGTTTGTCTGTAATAACTATGTAGAACGCTGCTTGCTGCTTGATCGAAGGATAGATTTAAAAGAATTTATAACCAGGTAACTCTCCATATGATAAGCCAGAGGAATATTTATTTATTTTATTTATTTAACTTTATGCAACAAGAGTACATAGGCGGGCTTAATGCCATGGGCATTCTTACTAGCCAACCTTTAGGTGTGAATATGAGATTGACAAAGATACAAGATGGGAATAGGAGCAAAAGGCGACAACCAAAGTTTTAGTGTTGAGGAGATGACCTAAGGAGGACTACTGGACCAGAGTGGATGAGAATTGCGAGGGATAGGGAAAAGTGGAAATCTATGGAGGAGGCTTATGCCATGAAAAAAAAGGCCTATGTCGAAGAGCAAGCTGGGGATAAAAGTACTGATGTATAATAATAGTAAATAAATTGTAAATTTGTAAAATCAGTATTAAAGGCTTATTTTATTTTAATTATTTTATAACCAGGTATAAATCAATTTTCAGGCGCTTGCGTATGACTTAAATGCTACCCGATCCTTTTAACTTTCTTTACCTTTTAATGCTTAGCAATAACAATACTTGTTTGAGTTCTTACATTTTTGAAAAAAAGTAAAAGTCATTAAAAAGTTTGTCAGTGAAAGGGGCGAATTTTTAAACTTGTTTGTTAAGCTCCCGTTTTATGTATTTTATATAAATTAATGTTTTAAAATTTTATTGTGGATATGTATTTCAATTGGAAATAATTTTGTTATATTCTACTCTATTTCAGTTATGAATGAAACCGAGTTATAAAGTTGAAAGCTTTTCCGATGCGTACTAGAACCTTGTAACGTCAATTTACGTACGTCCTATTGATTTAATTGTTTTAGGTGCTTATGTATTAATTTGTAGAAATTGTACGTCTATGAAGTAATTCACTTACTACATTTTGTGTGACTCGTCTTCTATAAAAGAACACTAATAAGTTTTTAATCGCTCGTGAATGTCAGATGTCTCGGAGCTCAGTAAGTAACTACAACAAATGCAATATTGATCTCGGCAGCTGACATGGGGTCTTCTATATGGGCTAAAGTTCTTTAAAAATGTGATTGTGTTCTGAAAGATTTCTAGTTCAAGTCTACAATGCGCACAGGGTAATTTGTTTGGCATACCTAAGGACGAAGGCTTTATGAATGCAATGGTTGCGTTTTGAAGCAACCTATATGTATTTATCGTCCAAGGCAACAGACGATATTAATATAAAGGTCTATTACGAAAGTAATCGTTTTACAAATTCACTACACGCGTCGCTGCCCGTAATCGTAACGTTAATATATGCGAGCACAATCTGAGTGCCTAATGATTACCAATAACAATATCATTTAATATGTTGCGAAGTTATATTATAAGTACTGGTATTTTTTTATTTATTTTTTTAAGGGGGGAAAATCGTCGAATGGCTGCTCCCGCCTGGGTGAGGCGGAAGGGAGTGTCAGACTCTTACTGACTAAAAACCACCCCGTTCCTTCTCCTGCACGTCGAGCCGGAGCCCCGGTTACCCGTTAGGTTCTCCTTGACTCCGAAGATCTGCGATACAGCCAACAGATGCTATATCTAAATTTGTCTACCAGTTATGAGACGAGATAATCTGTTAGGACTTTTGAAGAAATTTAGAAGCAAACAAAAGTTGTCAAAGTATCCGAAACATATTATTTGATTAATGTTTTGCATGTTAATTATGCATTTTATGGTAATTTTATGCAGTTCGAGAATATTCTATTGCATATTTTGACAGCGAAACTCTTGTTAAATGTGTATAGGTACAGAAACTGGAATGGCTATTTGGAAAACATCTTGTTGCGTTTAATTTAAACGAGACGAAACTGATACTTAAATCAAACTGTAGTCAAACATGTCTTGTGTTTAATACACTTTTTAAATCGACAGGAAACGTCTACTTACGCAGACAACTGATTAAGTATTAAACAACGTGAGTAGGTAAGTACATTGTAATTGTATAATCCAAATAAGTTTATGATATAATTTGATGGGACATTTCACTTTCTCTCATCATTAGAACAAGAATCGGAGCTGATTGCATCGTAAGATAAACATAACCGGAAGACTACCGGCAACTCATCAAATCGATCGATGAAAAAACCGATCCATCGAGTTACAAATAAAATAAGGCACTTCCAGAGCGGCGCGGGCGCCGCGCCGCGCGGAAGTACTGCCGCACCGGTGATGCAATGCAACGCGAACGCATTGTACCTTAACCTGCTAACTCTGATATAACTGTTAATGTCAGTGTGCTCGACTTATGCCAACTTTATGTAAGCCCATGAAAGGCATCTTCCGAACGCACGACAACTATTAACTGACTAAAACTTATTGTCTCACTTTTAATCATGTCTACAATGATGTACGAGTTACATACATTCGTTTTGTTTAGAGCTTGTATCATCTAGCAATTGGTAAACATATTCAAATAAACTTCAATAACGCCATGCTCGACACATGTAAGTAATGTTTTGATTGTATAACATTTTTGCAATTGTCAATGCCTACATTACATAGTATACAAATATCGGACGGCGACCTTCTTCTGCACTCGGTATCTCGTTGACCTACATTCGGTGTTGTTGTGGTCAATGTGGACTTAACGAAGCGAATGCAACACCCATAACCGTAAGTTTAAAACTTTAACATTATGACATTTATTACATTTTCGAAGATAAATTGTTCACATTTTGTGGAAATAGGAACTCGTGCGTAAAACTTGCGTTAACTAACTTACGCACTTGTTTTTGTTAAGTTAAAGTGTTGCAATTTGCAATGTTTGTTTCTTGTAAAGTGTTGATTTATTACCTAAGTTACAATATTTGTTTATGTAGTAAAGATAATCTTTGTATACAAACATGGCATAATCTAGGAAATACGTACGTAACACTTGATTGATCTCCAATCTGTTGATTATACGGACGGTTGCAACAGATGTTACACTTCGGTGTTACACTGTCTTGCAATTCTTTTGCTTGTTATTGCGAATTGCGCTTTCGAGAAGACGATTGGGACAGAGTGTGGGACGTGAGCGCACTATATTAGTTCTCATATCGTTCACTTGTTACGCCTCTGACTGCTTATTTAGGACACGAAAGAACTCTACATGGTTATATTCAGTTTGCATATCGAATATCTCACTTAAATTGAGACTCGTATCTGCACAATTACAGCCGTTGTAATACCAGTTTGTCAAGTTGCAGAATGATAAACCGAAATGTTTAATAATGGAGGACTATCCTGTACTCATATGATGGTACTGAGGTAATCATTTTTAATTGAATTCTCATTTGTGCATTTAGTGGTATAATAAGCACATCCTCGGGAAATGAATGATTGTCGCCATAATAGATGGTGGAGCCACCTGCAATTAAAGAATGCATGCTTTAGCAACTGTTCGAGTTGACAGGACATCAATTTGTAGAGGTTATAATTGTACAGAGCAACACATGTTTGTGGTCTATGGTTACAGTTGCAGACGCACCCGAAATC